TTCAGTAAACAAAATTCATAGACCTTTGCAAAGAATTATTTGGCGCGAGGATCACTCGCACGAAATAGCTCATTTTAATTTAAATACGGTTACATATGGACTAAAAAGTTCAAGTTTTTTAGCAACGCGTACACTTAATGAAATCGGGAGAAATTCAACAGATCCAAAAATCCGAAAAATCATAATGGAAGATTTTTATATTGACGATCTTATTTCGGGCGCAGAAAATGTTTCTGACGCGATAAAACTTAAGCAAAATGTTTCGGCTACCTTGTTAAAATCAGGTTTTAATTTACGTAAGTGGAGATCGAATGATCTAAGTGTTCTAGAAAATGATAATTTTAACACAAATTCAGAATTTTGCATAAGGAGCAGCGAGGAGACCAAAACTCTAGGGGTTATTTGGGATCCGATTAGTGATACGCTTTGTTATGCTTTTAATTTATCTATTAAAGCCGATCTAATTACAAAGCGAAGTATACTTTCCGGTGTTGCACAATTATTCGATCCTTTAGGCCTCATTAACCCGTGTGTGGTGAAGGCAAAATTAATTCTACAACAACTTTGGCAAATCCAAGCAGATTGGGATTCCGAAGTACCGCAAGGCATAAAAGAAAATTGGTCAAATTTTTTGGAAAACTTGCACTCGTTGAATGACATAAAGATTGATCGCAAAATTTTTAGCCCGGACTACACTAAAATTGCTTTACACGGTTTCTGCGATTCATCCATGCACGCGTACGGCGCATGCATCTATGCATTGTCCGAAAATTCCTATGGGGAAAGAAAATCAAATTTAATTTGTGCAAAATCGAAACTTGCACCTTTAAAAACACAAACACTACCTAGACTAGAATTATCAAGCGCATTACTTTTATCCCAGTTAATGTCGAAAGTAGTACGAATTTTACGAGTCCCAATTTCCTCAGTTACCTGTTGGACAGATTCTATGATAACACTTTCATGGATTAATTCGGAACCGAACAAGTGGAAAACATTTGTTTCGAATCGGGTTTCGGAAATACAAATATTAAGTGAAAATTCATCGTGGAAACACATTGAATCGGAAAATAACCCAGCTGATATTATTTCACGTGGTTTAAACCTATCGGAGTTAAAGAATTGCCAAAAATGGTTTCAAGGTCCTACCTTTCCTATCGAGGAAGAAAGCTCCTGGCCTAAAACGCATATTGTTAATATGCCCGACTTACTTGAGGCGCGAAAAGAAAACATCATTTTATCTTTTACTTTATTAAATAATCTTGGCTTAATAGAACGTTTTTCAACTTATCGAAAATTGATTCGTATCACCGCATATGTATTGCGATTTGGCTACAATTTAAGGCACAAAAAGGCAAGGCGATTTGATACACTGCTTCAATGTGAGCTTGACAATGCAATTACCAAATTATGTATCAATATTCAACATCAAGTTTTTCAGACGGAAATTAAATGTTTAAATTCAAATCAAAACATTCCAAAAGGCAGCAAGTTGCTTGCTTTAAGTCCATTTATCGACGAAATTGGTTTACTGCGCGTAGGAGGACGTTTGAAAAATTCTCATCTTGCTTTTAATCATAAGCATCCAATTGTTTTGCCCAGCAAACATCATTTCACTAGGCTTTTAATTGAACATTATCACAGAAAATATTTACACGCTGGTACCCAATTTATTCTCGAGAGGATAAGAGAGGATTTCTGGCCGCTGAACGCAAAAAACCAGATCCGCAGCGTTTTGAGAAAATGCATGGTATGCTTTCGTGTAAAACCTTTTAATATAAGTCAACAAATGGGTTCATTGCCTCAACCTCGCGTTACTCCCTCTAGACCTTTTACATTCACCGGAATTGATCTAGCTGGACCTTATTTTACTAAGGCATCCAAAACTCGAACAAAAATTTTGATCAAAACTTACTTGACGGTGTTTGTTTGTTTGTCATCAAAAGCGGTTCACATAGAGATAATTACAGATCTTACTTCTGAAGCCTTTATGGACGCGTTTAAGCGTTTCGTATCCCGTCGAGGACTTCCAAAGCATCTTTACAGCGATAACGCTAAAAACTTTGTGGGTACGAATAACATTTTTCACAAATTCTACGAAAGCGTTGCTCAAACTGCTAGCAATGAAACTCAAAGTAATTATTTCTTGGAAAATCGCATTACTTGGCATTTTATACCCGCGAGATCTCCGCATCACGGTGGAATTTGGGAATCCGCTATAAAGTCATTTAAGAATCATTTACAAAAGGTAATGGGTGAAACAAAGTTAAATTACGAACAACTATATACAGTCGTTGTACAAATTGAAGCTATCTTAAATTCGAGACCTCTCCTTCCCTTATCAAGTGATCCCACGGACCTACAATCTCTGACGCCAGGACACCTATTAATAGGTGGAAATTTATTAGCCACACCTCAACATGACGTAACCGAAATTCCCAGCAATCGTTTGAAAAATTTCCATCAGTTGCAGCAATTGGTTCAAAATTTTTGGAAGCTTTGGAGTCATTCCTACCTCCATACTTTGCAGCAGCGTGGAAAATGGCACGTAAAATGCGAAAACATCAAAGTGGATGCGTTAGTTCTACTCAAGGACGAAAATTTGCCGCCGTTACAATGGTCAATGGGTCGCGTTGTAGCAGTCCATCCTGGAACCGACAACTTGGTGCGGTTGGTTTCCATACGCACAAGGAACGGGATAGCCAAGCGGTCAATCAACAAGATATGCCCGTTACCCGTGGACGAGATCAATATTTCTGCGCTTTGAAGTCCGCTGGACATTTCAAGGCCGGCGGGATGGTCAATCCTCAAAACTGCCCAGCAACGGCAACATCGCGAGCACCGTAAAAAAAGGTTGCCTGCAAAAAAGGGATCGGCGCTGCCGACCCTTAAGAGAGACCACGGGACGCTGGGTCTCGACATTACAACCCGTGCTAGCAAACGTTAAGCTTCGTTATTCATTTTCATATGTTTTTTCCTTTGTTTGTTAGTTGTAAAAGTTTGTTAAGTTGTAAAAGTTAAAAAATAAACAATCAGCGCAGCAAATAACGTGGACCTACGTTAAAACCCACCAAAAATATTGTTAATTATTAATAGAATAACTAAAGCAAAAAATTTAAATCAGAAGCACTTTACTTGTTGAGAAATTTTCTATATAACTTGTAATGTTTTGACTACCACTGAAGATTCAAGATCTGCTGGTGTCTGCTCTAGTTTTACTTAGGAAATAAATTATTATTTTGACTTGTTGGAAATAAAGCCCAAAAACGCCCCCCTATCAACAAAAATTTCTCTTCTCTTCAAGATAAATTTTATCAGGTACCATGTGAAATAGAATGAACAGAAAACAAGTAACCCACTTTACAACTGATCACAATATCTACATAAAAGACATTGCACTGCCTACTTTATCAAGAGTTTACCACCTTTTCTATAGCTTAAAGGAGTGATGTGACCTCCACATATGGATGCTCTTCTGAAGCCTCAGCCTCCCTGACAGTTCCATTTTTGACAAGGAATGTTATTATTGTTTCCTTACAATTTCATCTTTTGGTAAACTAAAAATAAAAATAAAATGTAAATTGAATGGCATTACCTGGATAGGTGATTATTATTAGGATGGGATAGGAAACAAACATATATGCATGTCGACAAAAAAAATGGGATAAAGAACATGGATCAGTCCAAAAACTTGTACTAAATAGTTATTCACACAAGGGAGGTAGGTGACACTTACGAGTCAAGGACATAGCTTACTCTCGAGCCAAGCAAGGGTTGGGAAAGTAGTTGGAGACTACTCAAGATCTTTTCTTCCCAAGTTGTGGATATAATATTTTTTCCTCCTCGAGTTGTCCGAATCCAACAAGCAGATTTACAAAATCCGTATTTATTCATAGTACTGTTTCTATTTAATTGGTGTCAAATTATGTGTGTAAGTACTTCAGTAGTCACTTACCTCCCTAAGGAGGTACGTGACCTACAAGTGAAGTAGCTCAAAATTTTGAATAGTCGCCTAGAATTCCTGGTAATTCTCAAAAATTTCCTGTAATGCCTTTAAATTCTTCCTGTTGCAGCAGATTCTGGTAATTTCACACTTTCTGCGGTTATAATTTATGTAATTTTTGACCAACTGAATGGGAATTTTGTTTTCACTAAGCATGACGACAAACGAAAACTTTCCCACATTGAGGTTTCCAAGGATTTGTAATTGTCAAGGAGCATTTCTTGTGATTGTTCTAGTAAAACTTGCAGCTTAATAGTTTCCTTATATTTCCTGCCATTCTAGTACACTAAAACATATTCCCCAAACTGTCCTATGTAGCTATTTAAGTCTACCTTGCAGTTTGTTAAATGATTCGGGTTTGTCTAAGGTCCTATTAGGTCCTCATATTTGCAACACTTGTATTTTCGTGAAGGAGCAAGTATTAAAAAAAAAAAAGTTTGTGAAACCACTTTTAAATCAACTTGTACATAAGGCAACACTTACTCGTACATAGGCACATCCTTTTCCTTACAGTTTTGAACGCAAACACAAGTTTTCTACAAAAACACGAAAAAGGTACAGCAAGAATCATAACCACCAAAAATTTCGTTCTTATGAAATTTTTTTCAGAAAAATTCCGGCAATGTGGCAATTCACTTAGTTGGGGGTGACGCAAGCGCAAGAGATCCACACCTTCTCTACAAAAATATAGTCACCTGCGGCGCATCACCTTTTACCGTTGTAGGACCAGTATATTATCTTATAGCTATGTGGGTTTGAAGTAATCGATCCTTGTATTTTTTTAAAAGCGTAATGCCTTCCGGAAAGATTAAATTGCGAAAAATATTGTCAATCGTTTTTTTTGTAAAGAGGAGTTTCCTATTTTACTGAAAAATATACCTCTTATGGAACGAAATATAACGAAATATATATATATATATATATATATATATATATATATATATATATATATATATATATATACTTTTTATAAAACTTAGTCCTCTTCGATTTTTGTTGAGTTGAACTAACCAAAACTAACGTCTCGCTAATCATCCTGTTGGCTTCTTCAGAGCTCGATTCAACAAAAACCGACGCAGGAGGAATCTAGAAATTTTATAAAAAGTATTACAGTAGCCTGTGGAAGTTTCTTCGAAAAACAAAATGTTAGAAGTGACTTTCGGCCTTTGATATGATAAAGCTGATGACTAAAAGTGACATTTCCCTCACATTTGATGGATGTATAATTAGGTTTTTTACCAGTAGGAAGTGGGAAAAACGAAATAAGCACTTAGAAAAAAGTGAAATACATTATGGTATTGCATTTCTTTTAATATAATTAATTATCTTTATCTATATTATCTATATCTAGTACACAAACAGTATTAGGTAACAAAACAATCCAAAAAAATAACGAGTTTGTTGCTTAAGTATAGCCCAAAAGATAATAAAAATCAATAATAATAAAGAATCCAATAATTACATCTATTTTATACTTTGTTTCTTTTATTTTTTGTGTATTTTGAATTTTTATAATATCTTAGTTGATCAGTTAATAATTTAATTTGTTTCTTTCTGTTTTCTAACTTTTTTTTAATTAATGTATTACTAATATTAAGTGTTTTATGTTTTTTTAATAGTTCTTTATATAGTTGTTCACATGTGGAAGCGTTTGAAAGAGTATCAAGAGTGTGAGAGGTGTTTGCATCTACATTTTCTAATAAATTATCAGTGATTTGATTTACTTCAACCACATGTTCAATTGGAGTTTGTATGTCCACAGAAGTATCTTTAAATTGTGATAAAATTACATGTTTCTCACTTAATAAATTTGAAACAATCACTACTTTCTTCTTATTAAAAATTTGATGCTCACTATTTACTGATAATTTAGAATTTTTTGGTTCTGAAGGTTCCAACTCAAAAAGTTTTTGTGAAGGTACTGCATCTTGTTTTAATCGTTTCTTTATTGGCAACCCTGAAACAGAAATATGTAGATAAAGGTCTTCCATATTTTAAGGCTATACTTTTATAGCTATTTTTAATGTGAATTATATTGATCTAAAAAGCACAAATAGTGTAAATTTATTCTAAAGTAAAAATGTGAAAAATATGATAAAATTTACTGAATACATACCAAGTAATTCATTTCTCAAATCCCGTTTAAAATCCACATCCAGGAAGTGTTCTGAACAAATTCTGCTGTAGGCAATATTAAATTTGTCATTTCTATTGCACAACTGTACCCATTTTTTGCATGTAACAACTGATTTTGGAAAGCTATGGAATGTTACACCTGGCAAACGATTTTTGTAACTATTATTGCAGTTATACATAGCACACATATTTCCAGACATAGTTTTTGGTTATGTAGACTACTGCGAAAGTAAATTTATTAGTTTTAACAGAAGTTTTTATTTGCTCGTTTGCGAATTATGCACCAACACCACAAGTTTGACCCTGGAAAAACTAAAGATATTACAGAGTACTCGTACATTACATATTAATCAAATTACGTGTTTAGATTGAGTGGGCTGTAGTACGTGTACGCAGTTAGTCATACACACTGAGGTCATTATTCTTTGAATATATCTTTTCTTTTTCTACCTTTCTTGATTTTTATCACAGCGGCCAAACATACTTTTCTCAAAAAATACAATCATTGACAAAATTGATCAAAATTCAAATAAAAATCGTAAGCAAAGTGAATAAAGTAAATAAATACTTAAGTTTTTTACATGTGAGGCAAGTACAAGTGTGTAATTGGTTGCCTACTCCTAGGACAATGTTTCCACAGGAATTATAGGATCCAAATAGGTGGAAAAAGCTAAATCGTTTGGTTAAGTCACTTTACTAACAATACTTTGTTTTTCTTACTTGACGGGTTGGTACACATTTTGAGCATATGTACTGTACATCAATAGTAGAAGGCAGCGGAAGGAAATATTGTACCCGGAATGTGGGTTGTGTATTTTCATTACTTGCAAAGAAATTATTTATTTTCCTCAATTGTGAGTCAACAGGCCATTTTATTCACTATTTTTTACAAATGATTGTGGAAAAAGTTATTTTAAAAATTGTTTTTTTCACAGAACACCGATACATTTTTTTCGCCCAACTTGGCCTGTCAAACGTTGGGCTAGTAACATTTTGTTTTTGACGAAATTATATGGCGCCACTGATTAAATGCCAGCCTGTGTTTGATCTGTTGTCCCGGTTACGGTTTGTTGTCTAGTTGTTGTGGTTGTTTTGCAACCAAGTGACAGTTAAAGTGAAAACTAGGATTTTTAGGTCATAGGCGGAAGAAATTCCGATATGATGAACAACTGTTCATTCGATTATTGAAGTTTAAAACATTTGAAACATGCATCCGAGCAGAAGACGTAAAAAGCGGCCTAATTATGGTGTAAGAACTGTAGAAGTTGCCAGGGGCCCTAACGGATTCGGCTTCACCATTTCTGGGCAACAACCCTGTATTTTGTCATGTATAGTCAACAACTCACCAGCGGATCAAGCAGGACTGAGGGCTGGTGATTTCCTAATTTCGGTTAATGGAGTATCTGTTTCTAAAATAACACATGATGCAGTGGTCAGCCTTATTGGAAACTGTGTTGGTGCAATTAAAATGTCTATTGCAGAAAATTATTACTCAGACAGTAGCGATGAAGAGTTGGAGTGTGGTAGAATAGCAAGCAATAGAAAACCCAAATATATGCACAAACCTAAAGTTCATCATAGAGTTTGCAACAAAATATCTTCTGATCCGTGTGAAAAGAATATTGTAAAAATGCGTGATTGTTTGGAAAATCAAAATGGACCTCTAAATTCAAATATTTTCCATGAAGATACCTGTCCTAATGAATCCCAAGTTTTAAATGCAGTTGCTACAGAAAGTGGCCCAGTTGAATTTAAAGCTATTGTAGGATATTTAGGCACTATTGAAATGCCCAAACAGCTGATGCCCAATTCTCGTTTGCAAACGGTATGTAGTTGTATAAGGAAACTGAGACAAGAGAAACGATCTCCAACTCCGGTGCTAATGACAATCTTACCAACTTGCTTGACATTAAAAAACTCATCAAATAATATTCTTGCTATATACCCAACTAATAGGGTGGTTTATGTTGGGTCTAGTGTAGAAAAAGACTCTAGATATTTTGGCTTAGTAACAAGTGCCATAAATGATAATAGAAATGAGGATTGGCAGGAATCCAAAGATGTAGAAAGTGAAATCGACATATCAAATAGCTGCCATATATTTGTTGTTGATTCAAAAATTGTAAACCATCATCTTCATGCAAATATTGCTGAAAACTTTAAAATTGTTTGCACAAATGATGGTCTTACAGACACATGTCTAGAGTTTCCACAAAACGCTCTGTACATTATAAATGTCATTCAAAGTATGTATAAGTTACAAAGTGATTGCCTGATGCACAGAAATGACCCAAATTTGCCAGTAGTTGCCAATTCTCCACAGCCAAGTGCATCTAGTAATTCAGATTCGGGTATAGGATTTAGAGATGATTGTGGCAATGTGAGTGACCGTATTTTGGTTGTTGAATTTCCACAGCACCATCCATATCCTATTTTGAATACTAAGAATCGACCTCAAGGGATAAATGGGTCAGAGGGTTCATTAGATGCTCTCGAGTTGTCTACGGGAAGGGAGAATTTATACAATAGCATTCATAATAACACAACATGCAGCCCTATAAAAGGAAAAGTCAGCAAAAATGGAAATGTAGAAGTAGGGCAGTTGAATGATGTAAAAAATATACGAGCCTGTGAGAAACGAAATAGACCAGAAAAACCTGATTGTGTCCAGAAAGAAAGTCGTTTTTCGAGGCAATACAATTACCTTCATTGTAGGGCAATTATTGGTGCCATCAATGCAACAGTTATTTCAAATGACAATCAACAGGAACTGGCATTAATAGATACCACATCACACTGCAGTAAATATGAATCTGAATGCCATAATCCACAAGTGCAAAATTCAAAGATTTCTGAAGTTGAAGATTCTGATACTTTTCGATTGCCTTTACAAGTAAAAAAAGTAAAAAAAAAACTAAAATCTGCCAAAAGTTGTGAAAATATTATGGGTCTGGAGGGCGACAAACACAGTGGAATATTAACTTTTGATGGATCTAAAGTTAGTCTAGATGAACTAAATAATTTTGAGTCATTTGAGAAGTGTGGGTATGGAAGTTTGCAAAATTTGTGTAAATTTCAGGAAATGGAATGTCAAAAAAGGAATAATGCTCAAAGCGAACCTGATATAAGGATTGATAGGAACGGTTACTTGGTAAGTGAACAATAATTCAAGAAATCTATTTTATTTTTGAATTTCTTTTTTTTACTACCCAATGTGTTTTGAAAATTTTGATGAGTTGATGAGTTTGTTGCTATCAGAAAAAAAATCATCGGTTTATATCTATACAGGAGAGCATACATGTTTATTTTTGGTTTTATTGTAGGTTGACAAGTTGCTGGGTGGTGTTGAAATAAAACTGACAACATTTAAACAAACAATGCTAGAGGTTTTTTATTTTTTTTTGTCCAGAAATTATAAAAATTCTATTTACAAACAAGTACTAATTTACATTACTGTTTAAACTATACAACAATGTTCTTCCTGATGTTTATTTTATATAAATGAAACATTTAAACTTCCAGGTGCAAGAAACATTTATACCATTTCTCAATTCTCTTGCACCTGCCCCAAATTTCATTTCCGATTCGCGAGCTTGTGGAAAACTCGTTAAATTCCTGTGTGGTAGGCAAGGTCGGTGGTGGTGGAAAGGATCAATTTATTAAAAAATAGTACTGCTTCATAGTACGAAAGCGTTGAAAGGGCATCAAAAATGAAATAGGGACTTTAGTTTAATAGGACGAAATTTTGAGGATCAAGTCACAATTTCTGAGTTAAGTCATAATTTGTGGAATATAAATAAAAATTTCTGAAGAATAACTCAGAATTTTTAAAAAATAGGTAAAAATTTCCGACATGTCTATCGAAAGGGATAGTGTTCATCGAATTATCAGATATACAGGGTGATTTATAAAGAATGGACAATCTCTAAACTGCCGCACATGCCGCACATGCCGCATACAAATGTAGTTGGTTGGGTATCAGAGGTATAGGGAGTTAATAATTTAAATTTAAAAAATTAAATTTTGTTATTAATGGTGAAAGTTTTTTTGGTATTAGAATAAAAATTGGCAGTTCTAGGTTTTTTGACATGACAATTAGGTACGGATTTGAAACTTACTTGGACGTTGCTCCTAGGGGGCGCTAGTGTCACTGTATTATATAGATAAATTGAATCATATTTTTTACCTGTCGAGTTGAAACATGGCGAAAATCTGAAAAAATATTGAGTTTTTCATTATTTATGAATTACCCTATATATCTGACTATTTTTCAGAAATTCTCGTTTTCCAAAAATTCATTTTTTTTTCTCAGAAATTCCGACTTGGCTCAGAAATTTTGCCTTAAGTTAGAAATCCTGACTTACTCCTCAAAAATTTTGCTTATTAATATAATGCCTATTTTGTTTATTTTTATTGGCCTTTCAGCTAGCGAAAAGCATTGCTTATTTCTCTTAGGCCCCGTTAAACTATGCTGTTCTAACTTCTACTTTCACGCGCATAAAACTAGCTCTATATTCGTTACAAACTGTTGACAACAATAGAAGTCTGAAATCGAAAAAAACAATTTTGGCACGGGAAGCGAAATCAGTCTAACTTATTATCCTCGAATGCCTGAATACCTACTTCGTTAACTATGGTTCAACATTTACTCTAAAACGGTGTAACCCCATAAATAACAAAAAATAATATATTCCTTATATCGGCATAAATTAATGACATACAGAGAAGAGGTCAAGATTTCGTACCAAACTAAACATGAGTAGTAACGGCATTCAAAATATTTAATAAATAAATCTCGATACCTACTTAAAAACCAATACCCAGTAATGCTGTGAATTTCTTTATTTGTTAGAAAACAAATTATAGTAACTGGAATTTGTACTTACTTATCCACCCACAACTGGATATGAAAAGGTGACCTGGGTTCAGAAATATTAAATAATACGATTCTGATATATAAAAGTAGATTAAATTAAATAATCTTCGAACTCCCTGAATTTTGTCAATATGCTTTCAGTGCTTAGAATAAAATAAAAGACATATTTTTACAAAAATACGATATACTATTATGAGCCGCCTTAAGTGAATCACGCCACTTCAGCGTATTCTACTAATTAAAGTGAATTTTCCCCTACCCGGTCGTGTGCACTAACCGAGGAAACTCTACTAGTGGGCTTCCAAATGACTCTCATTACGAGTATTTTGCAAATTTATAAATTAGATTGAGGGATTTTTTATTTAATGTTATTTATGAGTACAAATATTGGATATGCTTCAGGAGATGTAAGAATTTAAAAACATTTTTATTAGAAAATAAATTTATAACATAATCATAACTATAACTGTAAAATTTTAAATATTGACTTAGGAATTATTACTAATGCTGATACTATTTCAGTTGCCACAACAGACTAGGGATATGTTTTATTAGACAAAACACAGAGTTTTTGATACAAACCCTTCAATATACAAATACGAAAATGACCTTATAAAGTTAATAATTTTAAACTTAGCGGTGATTTAACAGGAATTGAAGTCGTCTGTAATTTCAGGTAGAAAAGTTCATATACATGAACAATGTGCCCTGAAAGTCTTTAAGGTACAGGGTCTCATTTTTTTTAATGGGTCACGTTCTCGATATCGTCTTGGGTGACATCACTCCGGAACAGTTAAAGCATGGAATTACTATTTTATTTATCATTTTATATTTGTTCCTAAGATTCCAACCAATTTTCAGGTTTGGTTTGAGTGTTGCGTGAACCATGGGAATTGTTTTTTTTTTCATTTCTAAATTTAAAAATCTTTAAATAGTAACCTTATTAAAAGTTTTCTTCATTATGATAATTAATGTGATATCGTATTATGTAATAGGGGTTAGTATTATTTACACAATGTTTCGCAACAGTTTTCCCAATTTGAGTTTTATTAGTTGAAGAACACTAGTTTTAAATGCTAAAATTGCGCATTGCACATAGAAACGAAAATATGTAAGAAAAAGGATAAATAGAGGGGTAAATAAACATTTCCGACCAAAAAAGCTTGTGAAATGAAAAATTCTGCATAGCGAGTATCTTCAAATCTTTTACGGCCTGCGGAAAATATGAATTATAATAAATTAAATAGTGGTGGTATTATAACCATTAGCTTTTTGATTATCATCATAATATAAAGGGACTAGACTTTCCTTTGTTCGTCCCTTGACCCACTAAAAAATCGCAATGAACGCTTTGAATTCCGGAATCCGGTACATTTCAACTCGCACTATCGGATTGTTTATTAGAAGTTCCCGCGACTGAGCTGGCGTGTTGATACACCAATTGTTTTGAAACCGTCTGTGCCAACCGCGATCCGGAGTGCGCGTCCGTCCATTTAAATTATTGTTAATTGCAATTGTAAATTGAAAACAATTTATTTTAGGGTGTGTTGCGGCGTGAATATCGCTGCTTGGAACGGCGGTTGTCGATTCTGACGCGAACGAGAAGCGGTTTCCGCGATTATTTCCTAAAATTCGCGCGTGTTTTCGTTTGGTTTCCATATTTTGAAATAGCGGTGCCGTGACATTTATTACAATGTGCGACGATCGTGTGGAATGTTCCGCAACAATGCGGATAATAAATTAGTGAGGAAATCATGGAAACATGCTCGTAAGTTTCTCTGTATTGCTAAACATAAATTCGAGGCAACGTGTTGCCCTCAAATTCCTCAACGTTTCGTGGCCTAGATTTGCCGGTAAAAGCAAACATCCGCCAAAATCCCAACGCTGATTGCAAAACAAACAAAACATTAGAGAAAGAAGAAAAAAATAGCAAATAAAAAGTAAGTAAAAGTAAGTAAAATGATTTTAGTAGTTTTGAAAACGAATTTCATGGAATTATCGGTGATTGTAAATTTTACGAAGTTTTGCTTATTAATGTAATAATACAATTATTTATTGTTCTTGTTAATTATTAAGTATCGGCATTTTTTAATATTTGATTGGAAAGGTAAGCTAGGGGTAGCTAGGTTATTCTATTCTGTGATAACCTGGGGTGATAATTCTTAAAAATATAGTAAAATTGTAACTTTATTCTTCTGATAAGTATAGGTACAGAAGAGCTTGTTATACACGTAAATGTTGAATACAGAATACATATAAGAAAACGCATAACTAATTAATTATTATTAACTGAGATTAAGATATCACTTGTTAGCTTTATATAATTTACAAAAGAAAATGTAAAGCGATTGGTATTATAATAAAAATAATAATAATAATTATTATTATTTTCTAGGTTAAAAATGTTCTGTCTGATCTTTTTTTGTTTAAAATGCCTTGACAGGCTCTACCTACATCTTTTACTTTAATTGTTCAAAGAAACTTCCACAGGCTGTTGCAATACTTTTTATAAAACTTCTTGATTCCTCCTACTGTGGTTTTTATTGAGTCGAACTAGCTAACGTTTCGCCAATTATCCTGTTGGCTTGTTCAGAGCTTTACTGAAACTGTTTCGCAGTTTACTTTTATACTGTTTGAGGGGGACGGAGCTAAATGAGGGGCATAAACATGTGGTAAAGAATACATTGGAGGGACTGGACGAAAAATATCAACTAGGCTCAAAGAACATTAAAAAACATTGAGACTAAGACAAATAAACTCATCCGCAGGTGCAGGTCTCTACTACCTGTCACCAATATGGGAATTAGTCATCCGAGACAGTGTTTATGCCCTTCATTTAGCTCTCCCCCCCCTCACCCCCTCCAACAATATAAAAGCAGGTACAGTCAAGCTCTGAAGAAGCCAACAGGATAATTTTCGAAACGTTAGCTAGTTTGATTCAACAAAAACCGATGCAGGAGGAATCCAGAAGTTTTATAAAAAATATATTTTACTTTTATTGCTAAGTATTGAAAAATATGTGTGGCGAAGTGCTATATTTCCATTATTTATCATTACTTCGAAACGATGTTTTTAAATTTTTATATATTTTTGCATTTTACGATGGCTCCAATGTGTATATGGTACCGTGATTGTTTTTTTATCTTATATAGTCAAATGCATTTCTAAAAGCTTAGTAAAGCGCCTAAGTAGTTATTTCATTAGATACATAACTGTATCTAACCAAATTATCGTGTTTAGCTAAGGCTTTTCAAAATTTATAAAAAATCCTTAACTTATCACTATCTGTAGTGAACAGGGAATATAAAATCAAGTAGTACATTAGCATTTTAAATTTGCATTATCGATTTATCACTTTTCGTTACTACTAAATTGTTTTCCTAAACTAAAATCGTAAATTTGATTAATTATTGTTTTTATTTACCAAAAATGAGTCGTTAAAACGAACAAAATTGTAAATAAACTTAAAATGCTTACTTAAAAAATTTGCCAAATCAATTCCTAATTGATCAATAATCTTACTAATGCCTTACACAGTTCAACACCACACTCAAAATCATAATTGATATTTCAACACAGTTCCAGTAACAAATCTTGAGAAAGAGATAGAGAATGAAAACAGAAAATATCCCAATTTGTTATTCTACCATTTTATCTTTTTTGGGATTGCTTGATTTTGTATTTAGGAACTTCCGCAAAGATTACGTGCTTGGTGATTTCTTTTTTTGTTGCAACTTTTGATGTCTAATGACTGTTTTATTGTTGTCTGCATCGCTAACGACGCAGTTCTCTCAATGTCACCTTTGTTGCTTTGTGGCATTTGCAGTTTTGTAGAGGCATAGTGGACTTTAACACCTTGTATCTCATAATCTAGTAACATTTGCATAGGCAAGTTGGCTTAATCGTCATAATTACTTGTAGTATCTACAGTTTCTGAAATTTGCTTTCATTTTGAATTACCCTGTATTAGTTATAATAATAAAAACAAAATCGAATCGGTAAGCTTTAATTCAATGTTCATATTCTAGAAATCGACTACATGAATGTGGTGCAAGACAGTATTTCAAAATTCGAAGCAAATCTCAAAAATCTGAGTATTTTTTTATCTTTAAAAGTTGTTGAAAAACCTTTCAAGAGACCATTGATGAAAAGTATGTGACTAAATTCTAAACTTCCGATCTCCGTTTTTTATTTTGTTTACCAGTTGGTAGGTGGATATCAGAAACCGACGCAACTGCACAATATCATATTTTTGATTGCGGGGCGCCGCTTTCGCGTCACTTCGACGAATGGAATGGCGTTAAACGCCAATAAACATCATTGAATTAATTTAAATTGTATGTACTTAATGTAACGCGCGTCCAAAGTGCACCAAATTAAATAAACGATCGCAAGATATTTTAATATTCTAAGCCCTGAATTAGATGTACCAATGAAACCAGAAGTCCTGTGGTAATTAATCAAGTGTATACAAACGGCTCTTTATTTTAATTTTTGTTTGTTAGTATACACTGTGATTGCAGTGGTGATTATTTATATTTTGTTAACATACCTGGCCGTTGTGAACGAGTATGGGCTTATTATATAAAAAGCACTTAAACGCCAGTTTAGATTAACTGCTAGTAAAAAAATCCAATAACAAAAGTTTTTTCGTTAAACGTAGGTTATATCACCCATAAGTATATACAGGGTTACTCAAAAGTCGCGCAACGGCCACATATCTCGGGACTTATTAGACTTAGTGTACGGGGGTTTCTAATTAATCTGGTTTAAATGATGATATAGGCGACGTTTTATGTTTTTTTTCCTAAGCCGCGAGACTTATTTCAAATGGAAAGGGTATGTTTTTATTCCATTTTTGGATTGTTCTTTAAATTCTAAATATTTTTCATATAACAAAAAAACCAAAATAATTAATGATTTAATTTGAACGAATTGGTAAACTTAAATACCAATAAAAATATTGGGTTTGTAAAAGACCGCCCAGGAACAGGGCGACCAAAAACTAAAAGAACTATGAAGAATAGTTCACAAAGTAGTTCGACGATACATAATCAGTAAAAAAATGTTGACAAAAAATAAGTATAATAGAAGCTCCTTCAGGAATTGTCTGAAGCTGATAGAGATGATGAGGAAAATTTTTGTTTGAATAGTCTTGGTTAGTACCGAATTTCCTCAAAAGTTAAAAAATGTATGTTAGAACATTGTCAAGTAGCAGGAGGACGTCAATTTGAGCATTTATTAAAATAAGTACCTTCCTTTTGAAATAGTTTTTATTGTTATTTAAGTTTAAATCTATAATTATGTCGTTTATAAATTAAATTCTAGTTTATTTAAATAGTTTTTATTGTCATTTAAGTTTACCATTTTGTTAAAATCTATAATTATGTCGTTTATAAATTAAATTCTAATTTATTGATTAAATAATTAATTATTTTTGTTTTTTGTCATTCTTGCAAAAATGGTCTAATATTTCCTGAGATATATGGCCGTTGCGCTATTTTTGACTAACGCTGTATAGTTTTCGCATTTTGATGCTTTTTTGTATAAGATTTTTAACTTGTTTAGCCTAGCTGGTATAAAAATGACCGTTAATTTTTTGATTTAGTTTCAGTTTAGTCTACAAAGTCTGCTTTTTCTTGTGAAGTCTATTCATTGGGTTCCTGGATAGCTAAAACATTAAAGGACCTGTGATATTTAGACATTTTTTATTGGCTCGAGTTTACTTTCTCCCATTAATGGGATTGAAAATAAATTGGAGGAGCCAATATAACAATTTCAATTGCATTCAGCAGTAATTGGTAATAGTATAAAAAAAACGTCAAAGCAAAAATGAAGTCTACATATCTCGAGAACGGCTTTTACTCAAGATCATCAGAGAGACAAACGTATTTTTTTACTTATAAATTTTATACAAGAGATGCGCAATCTGGAAATCAATCAACATTAAAAGCAAAGTCAAATCTTATGTGCCTCAAAACTTCAAAAAATCTCAAAAATGAAGACCTAGCGGACCTATATGAACTTTTTGGATTAGAATTAACAAAGAAATAATTCCTTAATTAAAGTTAAGCTATCTGTTTAAGCAACACTGTGGTATCTCGTTAATATTAAAAAATTCAATTGTTTTTTAATATTTGTGTTAGTTTAATTTTTTTTTGTACATCCTTACACGTATAACCAAAACTAACGACTTTTGCTGACAACCCCAATTATTGTGCACTTACATATATATTATATACTTATAATAATAATTGTATACTTGCTAATTATTTCAGCCTTATTCAGTCATTGTTTATTTTCAAAATGCATCGAATAATTATTTTCTTATTGCTGAAGCGATGGTGATGGTGACATTAAATACTGGCAGAGTAAATAAGTTTCAAAATTAGTATAATGACAATAGCTTGAGCAGTGTAAGGAACGTATTTATGTCGTACACATGACATGGCTCTATACGTTATTTTTTCGTCCTGTTTTTTAATTAAATTTCTACACAACACATTCTTACGCTTCGTATCTCTTCTCTTTCCAATTGCACTGAGTGCATTTAGACCCTCCTTGGATAGCAAGCTTTGTTTGATTTTTGCCAATGCCTTAACAATACCTATCGCTTCCTCCAGCATCCCCTTTATAATTTCTTCTATTCATCCTGTCGAATCCCGTATTTTAAGAGTTTAAGAGAAACTCGAGGAGAAACTAGAAAATAGAGATTTTTTTAATTGCTTAGTTCACTTGTAATATATTCTGGTTTACGGTTTAAAACAAGTTCATGAAAGTTTAATAATCAATTCAATCGTATTTTTTGCAGGATAAGCTGGTGCAATAAATAAATGCTAACGAAACAAATTTCGTTGGATTACTGGCCTGTAACATTTCTTACGATCTCGCTGATTATAAATAATTAAAGTAATTTTAGTAAAAACACTTGGTCTGCTATCTAAATTATGCAATAACCTTGCGGTTGCGTCATTAAGTGCCATTATGTGTACTTGAGAAATTATTTCCGCAAAAAACGGATGCCTAATTTGCACAATACCAATTTGAACTATTAACGTATTTTTCTCTATACGGTCTTTGTATTTTTCTCGCAATTTTCATGCTTACTAATCGTTAGTGTCCATTTCATAAATTTGTGGTTTAGGCAGGTATGCTGAAAAAACAAATCTTTCGAGCCAAATGTATAAGTACCATAAAAACAGTATCTGTGCTCAAAGGATGGAAATGCTGTATAGCCTCGTAGTATTGTTACTTTTTTAAATCGACAAAAATGTTGGTTTGATTTGGTTGGTGAGTTGGTCAAACCGTGAAATTAAAGTTTAACGAAAATGAAAATGAAATAACAAAATAACAAAGTTACTGACTGGCAAGCGAACAGCGCTTCCCTTTTAGAGAGCGCACCGCCACCTTCGCACTATATTGGTGACAACTGCGACCTCAATCCGCTTCTCGTACCCGCAGCCGGCCTGTCTCAGCCCCTTCGGCTCGCTTGTTACAAATTTCATAAACGCCCTTCTAGTCACAAATAATAATATTCCCTGAAGATTTTAACAATTTTTGGCTGATAATGAACTCTAGTATGGAAAACTGGAATAAGATGAATGATACATTCGAAATTACATCAAAATCAATCCTGCAAAACTTTGTTTTTAAAACACGACGATATTATTGGTGCATAATTTAATTCTACGTCGATTGGCTGTACCTTGCTATATCCATTTTAGATGGTTTTGCAGTTATTACATATTTTTTCACTTTTTTTGTTTTTTTAAAATTAATTTCAAAAACCCACTGCTCAGAAATATTTGAAATTCGGGAATTTTCATCCCTTTTAGGGAAATAAAGCAATTTTTGTTTTGGTTGATGCTATATGAAATGACGCTAGTAAAATTATTGCATATAAGCATTTGTTTTTGCAGTGTGATAAAACCAACGAAGGAATCGTCTACAACAAAGGTGGCCCTGCGGGCGGGCCATCGTCGTGGGCGACATCCTTCGAAAAATTACTGGAAGATCCTGTAGGGTTGCATTCATTTGCTGTAAGTAAACAGAGTTGTAATTTTTAAATATGACTTAAATATATTTCTAAAATATTAGTGAGCAAACCTGTATATTTTTGAATCATTGAAGCACACTTGGTATTTTGCTAGAGTTTTATTCAAAATACAGAGTTTGTACCACGGACGGGGCGGCCGTAATACCGGAAACAAATGCACACTGGGAGTTGTCAAATTGTACATTTGGTAGTCATTAGGTGGAGTTTTGATTTTTAGTCTTTCATATAAATAGTTTGGGAACAATTTGGCAATTATTTAAAGATATTTGTTTTCTGTATTACAGGCCACCTTCCAAAGTCTATTTCTTCAAAGTTCAAAACTTCTATTTTTGCTGCTATGTTTTTCGAAAGGTGATTTTAAGTTCTTTTCAATGATCAAAAAATAGGATGTAGCATATAAAAATCGATTTTTCGGTTGATAACTTATAAAATATTAGTTTTAAAAATATTTCACACACATACACACACACACACATACACGCACACGCACACACGCACAATTTTACATAACAAGAAAGTTACAGCTATTTTTTAAACATACACATTTTTGAAAAAAAAAACTTATGAAACGGTGTTAGATATTCATGTGCGGTTTTTACCAGTATATTTTTTTGTGAAAATCGAGCTCTAAACACCGACAGCATTTATGGCCTATTCCTAAAAGTGTCCAATTTGGCGCACCCAGTAATCATAAAAATGAATTGAATGAAACTTTTTCTCGTGGTTTGAGATATACAATTTTGTTTGCCAAAAACTAATCAAAACTAACTAAATATAGTAGAATTTGATATAATGCTACAGAGTAATATCAAAAAATTATCCGCCTTTTAAAAGGCATTTGTTATGAAATTATTTTTTATTCGGCAAAATTAAATTAAATTAAAAAAAAATGAAAATGTCAAAAGGCAATCGAAATTTCAAGATTGCGAAGGCAAACTGTTTTAATACAGCAGTTTTTACATTATTTACTTAACTGTCACTAGAATATCATATCAGTAAACATGTTTTTTCCACTTTGTTAAGTTAATTAAACGCCGAGGTAATCGCTACTAGTTAAAAATATTCAATAACGACTATCTTTAAATGACGACAGTACAAAGTAATCTTTATTTTTTGTAAAAAATAGAAATCGCTATATAAGATGTTCTGTATAACTAAAATGATTATATATTATCTTTAAAATAAAACGGTCGTTTGGCAAAATATTACTTTTCTACTTTCTATGTTAGCAACCAAAATTATGAGATGGTTAATATGTTTAATATTACGAGACAGCTATAAGCTTTAGCTATAGGAGTGTCTTCATGTTATTTAATTTCAAAAATACAAAAAAATTCAAGAGTTACAACCTAATGAACTGGATAACCGCGTTTTCGAAATAAGCAGTACGTTTACAAGATAAAATATATTTGCTTGAAATTATGAATTAAAAAAATTACGGCCTTAACTGTTACTCAGTTTGTATTAATTCTGAACTTAACCGCAATTAAATATACAGGAAATTAGCAATTCACTAATGGAACATTGACGCAAATTGTCTCAATTCGGTCGATATGAGGCCATAAATTCGACATTGTTTACAGTTAAAATCGATTAGCCCTCTATATACAGTGTTCCCATAATGTTCGTCACATATGGGATTTTTTTTTAATCGTTACCGATGTTAATTTTTTGCGCTATCACTTTCTTCAAGTGACTTCGAGTTTACTTTACTGATGTCAAAATAGAATTTTAGGTTATCGGACATGCATGGGCAAATAAAAACAAAATCCCATATGTAGCAAACATTAGAGGGACACCGTCTGTTTGCCTAATAAAAGTATTGCATTTTATATATGTAGTTGATGTTTATTCTTGTATATTTATTAGTTTAGTTTAGTGACATTTTGATTTAAAAGACATATCTACAAATGATCACTACATTTAACACTAACTTTGAAATAATTGGGACCAAATCACGTCACATAAAATATTTTTTTCTGAAGCTCTAGGTCAAATTGCATACATAATTATTATATACATAAAATGAAATGTCCTCACAAAAATAAAGTTTTAAAATGCATTACATGTTTAAAATGTCTACAACACTATCAAGACCTCTTAAATTTTCTTCAGCTAGGTAGATCCTTGATTTAAAATGGAAATTTGTTTAATAGTTACACACACATATGGGTAACATGCTCCTAGTCCTAGTCTATGAATTGATTACGTTGGTCATATAAAAAATATTTGTCTTTTATTCAAAAATTTAAAAATTTATAATGCATAGTTTGTGATAATTTTTTTTCCAAATACATAAAAATTTTTAGTTTCATAATTACTTTTTTTTGCACTACAAAATGAACTTTTGTAGAGAAATGCCAAAAAATTATACCATACCTAAGCACCGCACATTATAGTATTCTAGTAACATTCAGGAAAGCCAATTTTTTCTTGATGCAGAGACTAGCATTATGTTGATACCAGGATAAGAATTCGTTAAGATTTTTAACTTTGTTTCATGTTTTTATTATTTAATCATTTCAGATCCAGTTTCTTATATTTTCATTTATTATTAATTAATGCCTTTTAAACTATTCTTTGGTTTTCTTCTTTTGCATACTTTCTTTCTCATTTTCAACATGAGCAAGATCATTAATATATATTAAAAATAGCAAAGGACCCATATGCTGCCCTGAGCAATACTAAGATTATTGGCTTCACTTAATTCTAAAAATACTTCCAAAGCTAAGTACCTGTATACCTCAAATATACATGTTGCCTAATTGAAATCAGCTGGCGGTTGTTGATAAATCCTGTAAGTCTAGAGCACATAACCATTTTAAATACAGTGAAACCTCTCAATGCGGCACCTCTATTAGGCGGACACTCTTGAAACGGACAGTTTTGCAACGAAATATTTGCCTACCCTTTTATCTGTAAAACAAACACCTTTAACCGGACACTCCATTAAACGGACGCGGACAACACTATCCTGACTTGAAAAAAAATACCTCTCTTAAACGGACGTGAACTTGTAATACCAGGACAACGCAATGCTACAATATGGGGGAATTACCTTTTTCATTTTTCATATCATATCGTATTATTCATTAGGCCGTGACTTCCAGTTTTATTTTGCAAGCAAATACCTGTAAGTGGCCACAATTTTTACAATGGCACCTACTAAAAAACTTCTTTCCCTGCGAGAAAAAAATGGAAATTGGTAACATTTCGGAAAAGGAAAATTTGTTGGGGCGGAAGCTCGCAGAAAAATTTAAAATCGGGAAAACTCAAGCGGCGGAAATTGTGAAAAATAAGGACAGCATTTGTGTACAGTGGGAGTCGGGAAGCAATATTGATCAAAAAAGAAATTTTGTAAAAACTGAGGGACTTCAAATTGACAAAGTGTGTCTTGATTGGTTTTCTCGGTTTGCGAGGTCAAAACATTCCAATATCGGGGCACTTGGTAAAGGCCAAGCCTCAAGAAATAGCGGAAAAACTTAATGTTCGAAATTTAAAAGCTTCCAATGGATGACTGAAAAAGTATCCACGGAGAATCAGAAGGTGCGAGTCAAGAAGATGTAAATGAGTTTAAAGATAAGTTGCCCACACTACTCCTGGGATATCAGCCACACGATGTTTACAGTCCCGATAAAACTGGCCTTTTCTTTCGAGTCTTACCTAACAAAACACTTGCTTTGAAATCCGAAAAATGTAATGGTGGAAAGCTTTCCAAGGAAGGACTTACAATTTTATTTTGTGCTAATATGGTAGCACAAGAAGATTTGCTCGTGATTGGAAAGGCTGCCCGACCTTTAAAAATGTAGCAATTAAAAATTTACCGGCAATATGGAAAGTTAACAAGAAAGCATGGATGACACGAGACATTATGAATGAATGGTTGTTTCAATTTGATAGAAAAATGGCCCTACAAAAGTGAAAAATTATAGTGCTCTTGGATAAAAGTAAAATTACAAAACATAAAAATCTTCTTGCTTTCAAATACGACATTAGTATGTCAACCTCTAGACTAGAGGGTATCATACAGAATGTTAAATTCTATTATCAAAGACGAATCAAGTAATATCCGCGTCAGATTTAGCAAAGTCTGTAAATATTTTAGAAGCATTTTATTTTAATAAGCCTGGCCTAAAGTTTCACGAGAAACTATACAAAATTGTTTCAACAAAGCTTGTTTTTAAAAAAAAAATGATGGAATGGGATGCAGAAGATAATATCCCACTAACTACGATACTTGAAATGGAACGATTTGGTATTGAAATGAACATAACGCAAGAAACTCTAGGAAACTATGTTGGAATCGACAATATTACAGCGACTGAACATTGAAGATGCAATTTAAAACATGAAACAACCTGAACCGGAAGAACACAGCGATCAAAAATATAATAGTGGGGAACCTAGCACAATTAACAGCTATAATGAAGCCTTAAAAATAATTAACAATCTGAAAGTTTATTATTATAATTTATTATCTAAAGAGAACTATATTGCATTTCAACACCTTAAAAATTTAGATCATTTTCGGTTCAGTTTGTTAAATCAAAAAACTATAAATATGCGTCAGACTAGTTTCTTAGAGTTTGTAAATAACTAGTTAAAGTTCGTTCACCTACATTTTTTTATAGTTATTTGTATGTTTTTGAAGAAATAAACATAATACATATTTACGATTTATGTTGTTTTTCTTTTTCATGCACCTCTAATAAGCGCACAAAACTAGAAGAAGCGTGGGTGTCCTGTTATGGGAGTTTTCACTGTATTTTTGAAAAGCTCGGTTAAAGACTTATGGCTCTATAATTACTGTCGTTAGCTTTATTTTTAAACAATGGTTTTGATATTTGCAATCTTTAATTTGTTATTGTTTAATTGTTCTGTTGATTTTTTCTTACATTTAAAATGCGTATTCCTAGGAATTCCTAAAGAAAGAGTTCAGCGCCGAAAACATCTATTTTTGGACGGCGTGCGAACGTTACGCGCGACTTCCCGCAGACTCCAGACGAACCGCCGAAGCTCAACGAATTTTTAAGCAGCACTTGGCGCTCGGCGCGCCGGAAGCGGTTAACGTCGACGCCCACGGACGCCAAGCGGCGGAACAGGATCTCGTGGACGCCGACACGAACTTGTTTGAAGTGGCACAAAAGCAAATATTTAACTTAATGAAGTTCGATAGCTATCCACGCTTCTTAAAGTCGCAACTCTACAAACAGTGTCTCGCCGGCGATACCGTGATCACCAAGTTTGATCCCAGGCAAGTCTCTCGCTTCTTTGCCATTTGCCTCTTAGGAGCGCGGACTGATAAGTCCCGGACCTTACAATGAAAACAACGTTTTTTATTTATTTTTTTGCTTTATTTTTCAACATAGCCCCATTTTTCATAATTTTGTTAAAACCTCTGAAAATATCCATTGACAGCAGTAATAACGCGTTCTCGTGGCTCTCAAATCTTAGTCCACAGGGCCTATTCTGGGCGCCAAGTCAGGAGCCGTGAGTGAGGAAGCAATTCGAACTTTAATTCGTAACTTTTAGCTGATGCAACGATCGAAGGGTGTGCTGGTGCTGGTCATGATAAAAGAAGATTTTTTTTTTCGCCAAATATCGTCTTTTTTCTTTATTTCTTTGCTCAATCGATGCGATAAATAGTAGGTAGTAATAAAAATAAACAATTCTCCCTGCATCCCAAAAAACGCTTGCTAAAATTTTGTTATCTGACAAAATTGCCTTTGCCCTCTTTGGAGCTGGTTCACTGGTTGCTCCCTACAGTTTTAACTGAGTTTTTATTTTCAGGAATGTACTAGCCCATACATGTCTCATCCGTAGTAAATCGAAGCAACAATTCAAAGGATTTGGTTTATAGGGTGTTAAATATTCATTTGAAACAGTTTTCATTTTCAACTTTTGCTCTGCGCCGCAACCATCTTGGGTGGACCTTCCTGATGTACAAAATGTTATTTAAAATTTTCCAGCGCGCTATTTTTATGTTTTGCCAGTCTTCGTTTACTCAGATAATTTTGATCTGCGGTCATCATCACTGTTGTGTAACATTCGATGCGTCTCTTTCGATTGGTCTGTAAGAATAATATCCGAAATTTGGATTTTCCGCCATTGCAGCTCAAATTATGACAATTCGCACTTCCTACAAGTTCTTGCTGTTCTTTTAAAACAGTGTTTTTTTCGGGGGGCTAGGCGGACTTTTCCAAATTTTTAAATTTTTCTTGAAAAGAGATTTCCCATTTATATTGTCACTTTTTCTGTTGCTAGTAAATTTTTTGCATGGATTTGTTTCCCATCCCAATTGTCGCATAAAGAAGTCAATGGCACCTAGAAAATTACTAGATTCATTTGAATTCTATTGGTTAAAGTCAGGAAAGATAACACTATTTTGGCTAGTTGATTTAAAAGTTCCTTTTGCTTTAATATTGCAATTGCTGGTTTTACATTGCTATATGGAGCAGAACATTTTTTCAGTTTTGCTCTTTGCGACTTTCATTCTATAACTGGTTAAAATATTTTATTTTCACTTAAATTAACCAGGCATTTATTAGGTTATATTGATTTTGAAATATGTTGATACAGTTTCGAATAACGTCGCTATATGTAATTAATATTAGGTTGGCTCTACACACCGGTATCAATTCGACCCCGACTAGCAAACTGAAAAAGTCATTAAGCAATGCGGAGGATCGTCGTCGTAAATCCTTATTGCCATGGCATCGTAAGAACAACAGTAGCCATCAGAGGTCGAAATCACGAGATCGGGAAGAATCGTCTTGCCTACAAAAATACAGCAATAGTTATGGCGCCGATTATGATCATCAGCGCACGGCCGACCTTGAGGGAGGCATACACTCGAGCCAATCGTCTTTGACGTCCCTAGATTTTGCTCTCTCCAATCAAGTAAGTGTTATAATAGAAAACTGACAACAAATTAAAAACATAGTGGAGCAAATGAGAAGATTGAACTTACTAAATTCGTTGTGACTATATTTTCGAATAAAGAATGCAGCAAATTAAAATTAGACTCAATTAAATTAAATTAAATTTGGGCATTCCTATAAGTTTAGGAAGTTGATTCCTAAACTATAAGTATTCAATTCAACTCCGAAGTCGATGTCTCAAAAATTATTATTTCTAAAATGTTGCACGTGTTTCGCCCACACGGCCATCATCAGACCTATAAAATCATTTTTTTTTAAAATATTAAAGTAACTTTCATAAATTAGGAATACGCATATACAAAAACGTCAAGTCAAACTGAAACGTGAAATAAGAAATGTTGCGTTTAAGAAGTAAAAAATATAAAAACATTTAAAAAAGAAAACATCATCAGACTTATAAAAGCAATTTTTTGAAATAATAAAATAACTTGCGTAAATTAGTATATATTATATAGTATATATAATATAGTATATAATTATTTATACGGACATACCAAGACGCTAATTGAAACGTACGTAGACACAAATTGGAATGAGAACGAATCCGTTTGATTTTACCGGGAATTGAAAAATGAAATTAGAAATGTTGCGATCAAAAATTAAAAAACATAAAAATATTAAAAAAAAACTAACAGGGTTACACTGGAGATGTAATCAAGGATAGGACTCTTCTTGGCTTTGCTGATTTACATCAATGATGTATTTAATTTTGAGCCTACATTAATTTTTAATAATATAAACTGCAGGTCTCCGGTGTAACCCTATTAATCGCAACATTTCTTATTTCACTGTTTAGTTTGAGTTGACGTTTTTGTATATGTTTATTCTTAATTTATGTAAGTTATTTTAATATTTCAAAAAAATTGCTTTTATGGGTCTGATAATGGCCGTGTGGCCGTAACACGTGTAACATTTTAGAAATAATAATTTTTGAGACATCGACTTCGGAGTTTAATTTAATCTTTATAGTTTTGTGAAACCAGGCGATGGGCTATTTGTTTTAAGTTGACTCCTATATCAAAGAATGATATATTCTACAGAGTTTATTACTATGAAGCGTTGTGTAATGTACTGGTCAATAATTTATAGAACGCCAATGTTCAATGATAAATAATGTAGTTCCTACCATGTTTATGTGTTTTTTTTCTATTTCATGGTTTTCTAATAACCAAGAAAGTTCTGTACTCCATTTAATTTGTAGTATCCCACAAGGCACTCGACCTAAACTGTAGCTCTTGCTTGCTGATTTATATAAATGGAAGAATGAGGTGTTCGCGTTTTAATCAGTTTATTTAAGGATATAATTCTTACTGACATCATTTAAGCCCGTTCTCACTTGGTGACTTTTCATAAAATTGCATTAATTTTTATTTCGGGCACTCGCAATTTGAAATGTTTATAATAAAGGTTTTACCGAATTTATTTGTGAAAAAAAGAAAACTTTTTCATTTTTATATGCAACCATATGCAACACAAGAACTTACCATTATTAAAAACGTTTATTAAAACTAACATGATATTATTAGCATGTAGCCTACATAAACAAATTTGTCACCACTGATTTCAGAGAAGGATAAACGATTGAAGTAATTTTACAAAGTACCCGTTAACAAATAATTTAACCTCAAAAAACCCAATCAGGTAGAAAAATTGAGACATATAAAACAATTTCTGACTACACTTATCTACCATTAGCATTAATGTATAAGTATATTATATATTCCCGCCAGGTTAACGCTGGTTATTTTGTTGACAATTGTTGAAGTTTTATATATAAGTGGAACGCTGCTCGGGCAGAACAGTGACCGAACTGCAAAAATTAGAACTATACTAATACTGCCTTTAAAATTTTGACTACTAAGTGAACGGCTGCTCTGTTTACAACAGACATAAAAAGAAAACAGAAACATTGTGTTTATTATTAATTCAGCAAAAAAAAATTCACCAAGCCCCAAGTTCTGGTTTCAAATGGGCCACCCTTGATAGTGTATTTCATCAAAAGCGTATGATCTCATAAATCGATATGAAAATTGAAGAGCTCAATTTATGTCTCGTTTTAATGGAAAAGAATATCAGAAGTGTGATGGTGTCCATTTTTGTCAATATATTTTTTGTTATTTGGTGAAGTTGTAATTTTAACATTAATAAACATTCCAAAAAAACTTTTTCTTATAAAGTTTTTACATTCTCTAGGTTTATTAGTGACATTAATAGATTATTTCATCCGTCATTGCAGTTTTCTGGAGAAGTGGTTATGGAAGCAAGGTAATTCCCCTGCATGTGATGTGGTGTGTCTGTCATATTTAATAATTTCCTTATACCATCAAACCGGAATTTCAATAAAGAATTTCTTGTAGGAGAATTGTAATCAAATGTTGACTTCATCTGCCTACATCAAAACAGCTCTGTGCCGCGTGAGACTCAGTAGCGGTAGCACCACTGTAGTACAAATTAAGGAGGACGAAACAGTACAACAACTAGTTCAAAGACTGTTGGATAAACGAGGACTAGTCTATTCATCTTTCGAAGTTTTTACAAATAAGCACCCGAAGGTAAGAAAGAATGGGTAGTCCGTTTTGGTATAGAATTTATTTTCGTTTAGGCATTAAACATATCGGAGTCCTCGTTAAAACTTGCGGGTTGCGAGGTGACAGTCGAGCAGAGGGTTGTTTTTAAGCTCGATCTCCCTAACCGCAAAATAATATCGGTCAAGTCGAGGTATTCGAAAATAATTGCGGACGTTTTGAGGCCTACCTTGCACAAGTACAAATTTAACCTAGAACAAACCAACGTAACTCGAGCTGGCTGTCCGATCGATATATCTTTACCTGTGACGTCAATCGATATGGACCGACTTAATATTTCTTTAAAAGAAGGTAAGTTTATCTACTTTGTTATTGTTTATGCTTAGCTGCATATGTAACGAATGGACAAGCTTTAAATCGAAAGCGCAGGTAATAGAGCAAAATTATTACATTTCCGGACCTTATTAAAAGACACTGTTAGCTTTTTAAATCGAAAAAAATTTGTTCGGGTTTGTCAAACACGATAATGAAACGAAAGTCAACATTTATTTCGTTCGAAATAAATGTTGAGTTCTGAATAAAGTCACTGACTGAGTCACTAGCGAGCGTGAGTATGGGAAGCTAATATTTTTTTTATTTGACGTTTTCTCGTATTGTACAGGGTTTTTCGAGATTTCATGTTATATTATAAAGTATAATAGTTGTATCAGCTTTGCATCTATAGACTTCAGATTTGGCTGGAAATACCCGGATTTAAACTTTAGAAGCTGGGAGTGATCAAGTCATGAAATACTTTTCTAAATTTTTTGAAAAATTTGTTTGAATTATTTTGGCGTCCAGAAAAAAATCTTGAACCAGGAACTGTTGAAGATTCGGGACTATAACTTTAATTTGAGGCATTTTTTTATGATATACAGGGTGTTTTAGATATGGACAAAAATCTACCACACACGCTGCTCGAGATATCCATATGAAAATTCTGATCGACTATTAGGGCGTACTGCATAGTTTCAAAAATATATATATTTTCTCGAAAACCATTTACTCTATTGGAAAAATCTTGGATAAGGAAACGTGGGAATTCCAGTACTATAACTCCTATTTCCGAATTTTTTTCAATTATATACAGGGTTTGATTATGGGATAATTTGGTTTAAGTAAACCAGAGAAGGATGTGGTTTATCCCCTTATAAACATGTTAACCCGTATTGTTATTTAATGCAAAAAAATATTTATAAGTTCACATTAATCTATTTGCTCCGCTTTGTCATACATGAATCCAATATTTGTTTAAATCTGGTTATGGATTTCACTCATATTTATCTCCTTGCTATGAGATTTACAAATTATTGGAAACCAAATTAATGGAATAACTATTACAAAATTTGAAAATTTGATATTATACTAGAGTAGATAGGGGCTATCTTAATAATTATTATTTGAGGTGGCAGCACTTCCGGTTATACCAGAAAGAAATGCCTGTAATGGCAAATGCAAAACTGACGTTGCAGACCAAAGAATATCTAAAATTTTGAAATTTTAATTAAAGAATTAACTAAGTAAATTTGGTTAATAATTTGAATAATTATTAATAGACGTTGGTGAAGAAAATAACAATTTAAGTCAAAAAATGTAAACAAACTATTTTTATAATCTTACCTTTTGAATTAAACATTAATGGTAACTGTGCATAAAGTGGTAAAAAATTTACGATATTATCTGATAAACATAACACAACGTTTTTTTTAAAAATATGTTTTATTATTGATTTTCGATATGCATTATAATTTTTAAAAAATTACTTTGACATATTTTTGGTTAAATTTTGGTTAAACACATAAAAACATAAAAAAAACTGATACTAGTAATCAGTATTATATATAGAAATAAACAACAAAAACTCAACAAAATTTAGCTGCCTATGATAGTTACAATTTGCAAATGCAATCTTCAATTTTCAGGCGTAAACGATACCACTAACGACGGTACCGATGTTCCAATTCTCAAAATTAATAATGTTCGAGTAAAAAAGTTGGAGGAGATAACCAACAAAGTCTTCGAGAGTATCTTACAAGAAAAGTCGGATATCGAAGCGTTCAAGCCGTCCAAATCTGACAAGGGTTCCGTCAAAGTAACACGGGAGAGTTTATTTTAATATTTGTGCTTTTATTGACCAACAAATTTCTAGAGTGAGGATTGGGGTTCGGAACATTCTTCTGGAATCTTTGGAAAATTTCTTCGCAGAGACTCGGCGATGCACGAAAGGAAAAAGAAACTTGGTAGTCACAGGGCAAAGGCATGCACCCACGGTAATAGAGAGGAATCGTCGAACGATCAGCTTATTAAAAAACCTTTGATTGCCAAACTTAAGGTTGGACCCAGTAAACAAGTCGCGTATAGCGAAAGTGATGGTAAGATTATATCAACTCTCAGACGATTTGCTTTATTTGTAAAGTACAGGTTGATCGGGAGCTTTGAAAATGTTAAAAATGCAATACCGATTTTGAAAGAATGATTCATGTGTTTTCTTTTTTATTATAAGGCGATAATGATGTCTTAAAAATTGTTGACAGGCGCATTGTTACAAACAAAAACCCTTGTTAAAACAATCAATTAAGTATAGGGGAGTAGTAGTTAGGAGTTAAGTATAGGGAGTAATTTCATGAAGCAATGTCACACAACTTCTGTATTTAAAATTTTTTGACCCGAAAGTGAGCTACCCTGAATATGTCAATATTTTAGAATTGGTGGAAGGGTTGACAAGAGCGCAAAGGCGATTGGAGGACCAACGTGGAACGGAAATCAATTTTGAACTTCCAGACTTCCTAAAAGATAAAGAGGAAGATGGCCAGTATCAAACACCTCGGCAAAGCATATCCGAAAGTAACAGTCGATTCTATACATCCGGTTCTAGTCCAAAAGTATCCTCTGTGAAAGCGACCTACGAAAATGTTTCTGTTAATAGAACTACGAGTTCACAAAGCAGTATTAATAAGGTCGAATCTATGTCGTCTAGAGTTCAAGTAGAAAAACGGACACTTGCTTCAGAGCCGCCTCCCCTGCCTCCCAAACCAAAAGTTATACCAATCAAGCCTCCAAATTGGGGACAGAGCGATGCTTTCAAATCACGAGAGGGTCCAGGGGATGTAAAGCAGGATGTGTTTCTTGATCAACCCACGAGCAGCTTTGTTTAATTATTTTTATATATTTATTGTATTCTGTACTATAGCTTATAAATTTGTAGATAGTTTTAGGTTTGACAGATGACATTTATAAACTGTTTTTTATTATTTAGAGACTTTGAATTTGAAGTCTTGACCATTTATTAGATACCTCATTTCTGAATTGTATTTAGGAATTTTTCCAAACCCGATAGGCCACCGTTTCATTTGAAAAGTCTCTTAATGGTTAAGAGATGGTTAAGGGATCTCTTTGCTGGTAGATTCACAAGTGCTGTTGTGAATATATGTTACTTTATAGCAAAAAAAGTAGTATGCCCTCTAAAGCACAGTGAATAAGAAAAACATAGCTTTGAACCAAACAAATGCTTTTGCTAACTGTTGCCTTGGCGGAATCAGACCTGTTTTAAATGGTTATTTTATTTTAGGACACCTTTTAACCATACCTAGGTAGTCATTCGTTCTATTGATCTTCGCTTTTCAAATTTTCTACAATCTTACAACCGCTCTCTGGGGATCCAGTCCACCCTTAAGTATGAAGGCTCCAGGTCTTCAAGCGACCGGGTATAAGTTTCGTTTTGGTTTCATTTTAGAATGGTTCGCGCATGCGCCTTGGGAATTTTATTGCTACGAAATTTATACTGCGCACATGTAAAAGATAATTAGACCGATGTATTCTAGTTCGAATTGCCTTCGTACTGTTTATTTTTACTTGCACACAAAGAAAAGTAGGTCTAAAGAAGGTGCCACGGCAGCGTGGCCTCCCCGCTCTTCACTAATATCATTCTCAGTCTAAAGCCTACCTTACATGGCCAATATTATTGAAATAATAATATTGAAAAAAATAAAATCCGTTCGATTTTTATTCAGAGCGATGTCCCTTCAATATATTGAGGTGTCATCAATATGATTGAGGGATATATTGCCATATTGACGGAAGTTCCCACGACGATAGATGATGTTGATGAAAAAATTCAATTCCGTCCGAACCAAGTTCAGGAAGGAATTGAACATAATTAAAGATTCGAAAAAATCAGAGGCAGAAACTGAGAAGATATACTAAACTATGTTGCGGTACTTCGACGTTATGGATTTCTTTGTCAACCAGGAAGCACAATAATTGATGATGAACATGAAGTAGGTTGAAGTTTCATTAAAATATTTATAGCGTAAAATGTTTATTTTATATTTATAAAATTAGTTTTGTACACTGCCATGCTACCAATCCCGTTCTGTTAAAATATTTGGAGTAGCTATCTCTGATAGATATAGCACCGATAGAGTGATGATGTGCATTTCTGCTAACATTTAGTGGGTGTACTACAAAACCCTCGTTTCTGCAAGAGCCAACTACTTTTCTCTAGTATTTGCAAGTTCTATATCCACGGATCCTTATAGCATGTAGCTATTGGAACACATTTTTTTTATGTTGGTGTGTAGAAAACAACAAGCGAGTACGATTTTCCGAACTTTTTTCGGTAATAAGCGAATGACTCTGTGAAAGATCCTGAATCAGGCAGCAAGAATTGGAAATAAATTTTTCCGAAACTCTTCAAGCTCTACTGTAACGGTAGTTGAATATACGTTGTTCATTGTTGAGTTTGCTTCCCTTAAATTTTGACCTAGTGCCATCATCGCCAGCAAATACATATGGAAGTTTCAGCAAAATTAGGTAACTCTTCTCTATTGGAAAGAGTAGGAGTGCTTCACCATATTTTGTGTGGCCAAGGACACCTCCCCCCAAAACACGTCCATTTACCCCGCGATCGATTTACTACAACCCTCAATACTATACTGAAAGCTCCTTAATAATTGTAGTAAAATGAACCTGAATTGGCAGGCTTAACAATTGACACGTGTTTCTCACACAATGTGGGAAGTACAAGCGCGTAGCGAAGTATTGGGTTAAAGCCTTCCACTCTTCTGGACTTCTGGGCATTTGAAACAAACTTATTTAGTTTCATAATGGATAACAGATTACATACTTATTATTCTTATTGTATAGAGCCGGGATTTATATGCAGTAAAAACCCATTAAATATATCATATAATATGCAGACACTAGTATTAAAATATCGAACTCAAATTTGTAAATAACTTTTAAATAAATCGGTGTTTGCTCACGATATAAAACAATCATGCGTTACTTTTTTGAGGAAATAAAAAAATATTCAGAATGTTGAATGTTATTTGGATGAATAATTAATTTTTCGGGGCCTGTTAGCAAAAAGATTATGCAACTGCATAAGAATCCAAGCTCTCTTTCATTTTGAGAAATTCAAACAGGATGCGGAATCAAGCCCTACTATATCAACTGTTGATGTTGTAAATACCAACAGGAAACGGAAATGTAAGCCAAAAGATAAAAGTGATCCCGCCAAATAATTTATTAAGTTAGCTTGCACTCGATTCCAAGAACCACAATGCGAGAGTCCCAAATAGCTTAAAATTATGGATCCTGAACAGAAAAAAATATTAATGACATTTTATATTTCACTTCTTTATATTACAAACTTCCTTTATATTAGTTTTAAGATACTGGTTTAATTAGTGTATAATGGTAATACTAAGTTGCATAATAATTACTAAAATTTTATAATTCAAATAAATTTTGTTTCAACTAAAGTTTATTGTTTCCTTGCCTTGGTATAATCTTTGAGACTCAGAGTGCATAACAGCTCTCTCCAACTTATGGTTATTGCAGCTATTTAAGAAGAAAATTTCAAAACCGTTGCCAGTTGCAAGAAATCTTAATGTGTTAATCCTGCCTTATTATATATGTAAAACGAGTGCAACTAGGTGTTAAAACAGTTGTTCATCCATTCTTAAGAAATTTTTGTAATCATCTGGCTCGTTTTGGGTGCTCGAAGCAACAACAGCATAAACGCTGACCTCTATGTTTAAGCGACTTCACATTTAAAACAAAAAAAAGCAGCACAAAGCTATTAAATAATTTGTAACTATTTATAGGCGCTGATACCAGTTCAAGTTATTTAAGGGTCCAAAATAAAATTAAACAGTAAATATGTTTAGGCTTTTCTGATTACATTGCTCTATTTATAATTTATTGTTCATTTTGTTCCACCATTTTTAATGTGGTAATAGATGGCTGCTTGGGCGGTAGCCATTCTGGTATAATTTTGGAATGCACTCTCCATTTGCCATACTCATTTACTATATGTTTTTCAAACACTACATATTCTAAAACATCTTTGGCAAGAATTTCACTTCCATGCATTAATCTGCCAAAACGATCATAGATTGCAAGTATCTGAAACACCACAGCATTAATGTGAACATTATATCCAATTAATCAAAAGATAGCATTACTTGTTGTGTGTGAAACCTAATAGTAACCTGAGCAAAAATATTTTCTTTGGTTACCACATCGGTACACCTAGCATGAACAATTCTTGGGGACTCAATATCCTTGATATATTTCCAATGTATTGTTTTGTTATGGATATTGTGTGTTACTTCTGGATATGCTTTTTCTGTCACATAAGAAATAATATTTTCTGTGTCCCGGGCCGCCATAAGCTCATGCATTTTGATATATATGTTCGTTGCTTCTTTGCAAAAGGTTGGAGAATCAAAATCTTCCTCAAACTGCCTGATTTTTCGAATTGCCATCATGGTTTTGGTTTTTTTCTCTAAATGTTGAAGACTTTGTTTTGCACCCTAAAACCAAACCGCATGAGTTGAAAAACTAACTCTTTTTACAAAATTTGTGGATTCCTCATGCGTCGGTTTTTGCTAAGTCGAACTTGGTAACGTTTCGCCAATCACCCTGTTGGCTTCTTCAGAGCTTGACTGAAAATGGCAAAAACCGACGTAGGAGGAATCTAGAAGTTTTGTAAAAATTATTACAGTAGCCTATGGAAGTTTCTTTGAAAAAGTAACTATAATCTGTTTCTTAATGTGAGAAAGTTATGTCATTATTGAACTGTAAAACTTAGTGGGCTTAGCAGTATTCCATAAGCTTAGTGTACCTATAATAAGGGTCATGAGAATGGCAGGTAGACAGATCTCCTTGTACTTTACTGTTTAAAATTAGAATTATAGTCACTTTCCTCCAGTTAGCAGAGTTCTTATTAAAAATGACTAGTGTTTTTGAACTTGTTGCTGAGAAACAGATTCACCACCAAAACTCAAGATTCAGAATTGCAAAAATAGAAATGTGTTCAAATATGACTTAGAAGAACTCTTATTTAAAAAAGAAAAACCCAGATTTTATCTTGGACAAAATAATGTTTGAAATGAAAAAGGATGATTTGCTTGCATGGGTAAAAAGAAATTGTGGAAAACTTTGAAAGAAATGATTTTTCATTACAAAAAAAATTGGAAACAGAAAATTGCTTTCAACAGACAGAATAGAAACACTACTGAGGGATGAAATAAAGGCAGTAGATTGTGAAAAATGAACTAAAAGAACTAGGAGAAAGGATGCGGGAAGCTGATCTCATATGTTAGAAAACACTGAACAGGCCCTTATTATTTCGGTGGAACCAATAATAACACTTCATCTGACCACTTGAAACATTTTCACTAAAATTTACAAATGAAGTTTGACTGTAAATAGTAGATTCTTAAATTTAATTAGGAACCAGCTATATAGGTATTAAAAACCAAAATGAAGAATTTATTGGAAACTATCATTGCATAACCCTGACATTGCAAATTTGCATTTTATTACTCTCTCGCATTAAGAAATGAAATATAATAAATACTAAATTCAGCATAAGTAAATATGAGACTGTGAAAGAAAAAGATATATTGGAAATATTATATATACTTGTGTGGACACTGGTGAAACTTTCCCATCTCCCTCAGGAGGAACATAAGCTTCAAACACTCCACCTGTGGAGCTAATAAAAAATTGTCTTTCTAACCATGGTCTTGCTGGTAATAATCCATGTTCCTTTAGTCTGGATCTAATTTCTTCTTCAGTCAAATCACTGCGTTTTTCATTAAATTTGGGCAAATCAACTTTTATAACCTTAAGCCGTCTGAAAAGTTTCCATTTAGGATTCCAATGTTTTGTACGTCGATGCCGAACAAATTGCATGCTAACATTGTGGGAAATGGGGAGAAATTGCTGGAAGACACCCTAAAAATATATTAAGAGTACATAAGCAACATAATTTGTAAATTAGCAGGCGGTACCTGTAAAGCCCTTATATCTAAGTTTAAAATTGTACGCAATGCCATACTTAAAAGTTTAAAACAGCTTATTAAAATAATTCGAACATTTGTGTTTTTACAAGAGGAATTACCAGAGACACGGAACACCGAACAACATCAATGCATAGAATATCAACTTCAAGAAAATCACAACCTAGCTTTTAGCACGAACCCTGGATCTGGATTTTAACTATAAAATTAAATTAATATTTAATTTATATTTACTTATTAAATTAAAGTATCCATTTTTTGTAAAAAGTACAAATTCATGTTGAAATGCAAAATACACACAAATAATAGTATATTATGCAACAAATTCGATAACGCGGCATTTTAGTCAACATTGCCGTTTCTTTAGATACGGGTTGTAAAGCTATCGGACGTTTCGTTAGATTTTAGCTAAGGATAGTATTTTGACTTTTATCGAAGCTCAAGGTCACGTCATACGTCACTTAGTGTAGTGTTTTTGGTAGTATTTTTAAAATAATAATTATTAGCCTAAGTTTTATATATAGTATTTCTTCGTAAATGAATCAAAAATTTTTGCGGTAATGGACGAATAACCCAGCTGACATGCCTAGCAGCACGCCAAGGAAATTTTCTTTATGTATGTCTGTGTATGCCACTGCTAACCTTGCAAATCAGCCAGGGTTTTTTTTTTATATTTGTAATTGTAACGAAATTTAATTTTCATCTTAATTTCAGACAAAATTTAAGGTCAGTAGTGGAAAAATAATCTAAATTTTTAAAAAAATTAAAGGTCGACAAAATGAACAGCAAAAATCGCGAAAACATTGTCGAAATTTGTTCATTACTTGCTCAGCAAGAAAATCTTAGAGTTACTTTAATCGAATCCGGAAAAGGCGCCCTTATAGCTGGGTTTGGTGCATTTTTTGGGGGTTTATTGGCTGGACCCCCAGGATTAGCCATCGGTAAATTATTAGATCATATAATTATAAAATGAAGTAACTTTGACTTTAATAGGAGGTGTAGTTTCATCAATTGGAGCTGCTTGGTATGGTCAAGGGACATATAAATCTGTAGCACAAGTTATCAGTGAAATGTCATCAAACCAAAGGCGAGCTCTAGCTGAAGCAGTTACAAAGGCTATTGAAAAGACAAAGCCCCAAGATTTTGTTGGTGCTTTATCACTGATTCTCACTAGCGCTTCCCTCAAAGATGTAGTAATTGCAGAACTAGGGTCTTTTTTAATGCGAGAAATGCAGTTGCAAATGGTTAAACAATGAGTCGGCGTATCGTATCCTATTAAATAGTGTTTATAGATCTATATTTTATTGTGATTATTAGTAATTTCTGTGATTATATTATTAAATTATGGCACTTGTTACAATGAAAATACTCAAATAAATTTAATTTTTATATTTTGCTTTTTTCCTGCTTTAAGTTTAAGTTCCAATACATAATTATACAGTCAGTTGGGTGTTTAGATCGATAGATATATACTCTCATTTTAAAAACTTGCAAATTTTTTGTACAAATATTTTTTTCGTAACACTTTTCTTTATTTAAAAAATGTTTAATTTTAAGGTAACCCCTGCAAGTTTTCTATTCTGCAAATTTCAGTCCGTCAGATGTTTTTAAACTGTTTTTAACCATAGTATGTATTTAATATTTTAAAAATCAAGGAAAATGCTGAATTTTTAGGCTATTTTTTAAATAATTTGAATTTTTGAAAAGCTTGAATTAATAATAATATATTTTATTCAGATTACAAGAAAATGTAAGAGTGTAGTACACAGACATATTTGTTTGCTGACTTCAATATTTATCCTTGCAAATCAGAAGACATGTCACACGTGGTTTAAATTAAGGTTTAAAAAATAAAAAGGGAATTTGCGTAATTTTGCATAAGTTACTAAAAGGCTTTGAAAATTTCGTTTTATTATCTTTCGTATCACAGAAAAACAGCATGAAAATGTATACAAAAAACATACGCACACTCGGCCCGAGATTCGCCAAAAAAAGAAAGCATGTAGGCTACATAAACGTTTCCAAAAAAGGGCCGTATAAAATACTAAAAAAAAAGAAGCAGCACTTTTGCAGCAGATTTCGAAAATCTTACGACAAAAGGTGAGCTCATGTTACTTACTTTTCGTCTCACCAATTACGGGGCGCTCTGAATTCGAGAGACTGCCCACTTAACCTTCCCAGCAGTCTTTTATTTGGACTCTCATCTACCACGGAACTTGCATATTAAATATCTCCCCAACTGTTTGTTGTTAGGAGACAGACAATTTGTTAATACTAACTTTCGTATTACTTTAAATTACGACTACTTTTTAAAACTCAGAAAAGCCCTCAGCAAAGACTGACCCGCTGGGCAAACAGTTCTTAACAAGTCAACTAGTGTCTATTGATTTAAGGAGAATATTTCTGAGCCTAACTGGGTAAATTCCTTGCTAAAGAGATATCAGAATGTTGCTGGTAAAAGATTGGCAAGTAATATTAAACAAAGTCCAGCAGAAGTCTCCTCTGCTCTGCTTAAAAAATATTTTGACAATTTAGAACAAACCATTGAAAACGTTGACGAGTGTCGGAGTGTCGGACGATGCCTGGAAAAAATTATGCATTTTCCCAAGGAGTACCAAATACTTCTATTATTCAGCTACACTTCTGCCGCCTTACGTCATATGTAAGGCAGAAAATGTATAGGACACTTGGACAGAAGATAGTGCCAAAGGAAGCCCATGTATAATCGAACCTCACTGGCTGGATCGACATGTGTGATTGGTTTGTCACTTGTTTCTTACCACACACTCGACGGCTGGGGGAAATAGTATATTATGCAACAAGTGCGGTAAACGGCATTTGACTCACAAGTATATTTGACACGAGCGGAGCGTAACGGAGAGAGTTTTTAATAAACGAGTGAGTTAAAAAGTTTACCGAACGTGTTGCATACTATACTTTTTCTACGACTGTTAGTTTTTGGGTATATTTTCGCAAAACATGAATACATTCACTGACGTGACTGTCAGAATTGACAAACGTTAAAGTTCAAAACGTGGGAAATATCTCCGAAAACATCCGATTACTCCCAAACCTGTCAGGTAAAATCCCGGAAATGTCCGAAGTGGCTCGGATTCGTGGGAAACGAAATTGACGTTTTAAAGCGACGCTTCTCGCACGCTAGATCGGTGCGTAATTAGGTACTTTAAAGACGGGAGTAGAAAAAAATATTTTAACCTGCCAAATTATAATGCTTTGCACCAATATAGGGACTCCTGGTGTGGTGTGTCTATTTGTTAAAGATAACCAATATAGGCATATACCTTGTTCAAGTTGACTACAATTATTATTATTATCCATAAGCCACATAAAAACCAAGCTACATAATATATATAATAATAATAATCTTTGTCTAACAGATTAACTACATACACTCCGGCATAGTAATAGTGAAATATACAATCCATTACAATATTTCAAATTTACGTTTAGTTAATGTGGTAAATTATGAACGAATAAGACACAAAACGTCAATATCATTGCAGAAGTCATTAAATAATTTCATCAACTGATAGAGAACACCTTTAATCAAAAAATTGTTTGTTGGAGTTACTAGGTGAAATACAGGTGACGCACTTATAGACCTTGAGGGAACATGGAAGTTCAGCTGGCTCAGCAACTCAGGGCAATCCACTAATGAATTGCAAAGTTTATATAAACACTGAAATGAAAGGGACCTCCTACGATTCAACAGTGAGGGAACCTTAAACATTAGTAATAAATCACTCTGTGGTAGTCTCCTGGCTAGGTAGAAACTATTTATATGAAAGTGAATAAATTTCAATAACTTTCTCTGTACATTTTCAATTTGAGTGATGTACTTGCCAAATATTGGTTGCCATACCGTTGAACCGTACTCTAGCTTCGAGCGCACATAACTATAGTATAACAGTTTTAAAGTATGTTCCCTTGCAAAATCTCTAGAGTTTCTCACTATGAATCCCAGCATTTTGAGTGCACTTCCACAGACTTTATCGACATGATTTCTGAAGGACAGTTTTGTGTCAAACGTTACACCCAGGTCTTTGAAATTGTCACATTTTCTCAGTAAAACGTGATCCAGATGGTAATTAAAAGTTGTAGTATCAGTTTTGTTTGAAAATGTTATTGCAAAACATTTTTCTGTATTCAGGGGTAGGTTATTAGAAGCAAACCAAGAACCAATAATCTCCAAATCATTCTGCAGAGACACACAGTCCACCACACTATCAATTATTCTAAACAATTTCACATCATCAAAGAGCAAAATTTGACTATCAATATTAGCTACTACATCATTAATGAAAAGCAAGAATATCAATGGCACTAAATTGCTATCCTGGGAACGCCGCTACTAGCGATGAACGTAAGCGACGGGTGACCGCGGAGCTCCACATATTGTATTTTGTTATGCGGATATGACTTTATGAATTCCACAAGGTCATCACAAAATCCAAGCATTCTCAGTTTAGAGAGCAGTATAGTGTGGTCCACCCGGTCAAAGGCTTTTGAAAAATCTGTGTATAGCACATCTACCCGCCTTCCATCGTCCAAAGCCTTAGCATTGAATTGTGTAAAACAAGCCCAATTACTGATGGTGCTCCGGTCTTTTAAAAAAACCATGTTGTTTGTGGGTTACCAAGTGTTTCATTTGGTTGAAAATACTATCATGCATCGACATCTCGAAAGTTCTCGCAAAAGGCGATATTATCGATACAGGCCTGTAGTTGGATATATCAGATGATTTTCCATTCTTTATGATGGGAGTTATTCTGGCCTCCTTCCAGACATCTGGGAAGGTGTTTGTTGCCTGGGAAGGTGTTTGTTGCTAGCGCTAAGTTAAAAATAAGAGGTTTAACCAAGGCATATGCACAACCTCGCACAATCAAACAAGGAACTTTATCAGGACTACACGATACTTTGTTCTTAACTCGTGCTAATTCTCTTAATATAGCGTCATCAGTTAGGTGAGCAATGGTAATAAATGCATTAGAGAATTGCTTTAATTATTTCGAATGTGAACCATAAAAATGATGAAATGATCTTTTGTGGTAATAGATACAGGAACGCAGTCGTTAAAAATAGTATACAATGTTTGGTAAAACTTGTCGCAAACTTCAATAACATTTTTAGTACTTAGTAAATATGACCAATCTGTATCAAGTATGTTGTTGTAGAGTTTGTGAAAATCTGCTCTCCTGAAATTGTATTTGCGGTGTTGTAAATTGGTATGACGGCTTCTATTTTGACAGTCGAGAGTCATCCTGATATCGATATCTACTATACTAATATTATTCCTAATCATATTTAAATCTACAGCAATTACCCTAAAACCAATCTTAACTGCTAACATGACGTCCCCACTACGCGAAAGACCAACACTTCGAAGGTCTGCATCATATCTAAAAACTGTGTATCTGTTGTCAAACACTTCGTTGTTCAGAGTCCCCTTCTGCAACCAACTGTCCGTGATCGCAATAATATCCAGATTCGTACTACACACTGATTTGAAGAAGTCCACTGTTTTCGTATTGAGACCCCACACATTTTGATAGACACATTGCACTTCTCTTCCATGAAGATCAATAGATCTGCTAGACAAGCTTGCTAAGGTTTGTCTCACCCTTGCGAAGTCTGTCACTTAGTTCCATCCGGGATGTTTTATATTCTTCAAGCTCCTTTGATGTTCCATAGAAATTTATTGTAATATTTTTATATAGGTCGACCTTTCTTAACTCTTTGGATTATCTGATTACAGATGCTACATCTACTGAGGAGTTCATAACAACCTTCAATAGCCTAGCATGTTGCGCATTCGCACGACCTACTCAATACACTTTTATATTATTAATGTTTACATCTGAGCAGACCTTAAGTAAAATATCCCTGGTTTGATCTTCTGAGGGAATGTATTCAGGGGAATTAAAGATCATAACGTTGTTCTGCATTCTCTGTCTATCAGTAAACTCACGAACCGAATCTCTAATAATCTCATTAGTGCAGGCCATAACACCATCAGCTTCCAGTGGAAGTCTGTTTTTAATTATTTCAATTTCATTCTGCAATTGAGTATTAATCTTAATTTGTTCCTCGTGATCATTCAGAGACACATCACTACCAGACGGTCCAGGGCCCGCACCGATCGAAAGACGGCCGGATGCGCTGTTAGACTGCCCAACTTTCCTCTTAAGTACCATATCTGAAGCTAAATTGTAACCATCTGTTAGGCTTTGCTGGTTGGCAAAAGTGGGAGCTTTATCAAAGGAATTGCATACTCAAGTGGTATCTCCCGATTTTTTCCATAGAGAGGTCTGCTTGTTGAATTCGTTGTTTGTCAGACCTGATGGAACCATGATAGACAAACACAGCATGATATAGAGGGTAACCTGTCACTAACTGATCGTTCACAAAGTGCACACCCAGTACTGGAACCGGCATTGGGAGCCACTGTATACAAAAGAAAATTTGTCACTGGTTGAGGAAATTTGTCAATAGAATTGCACTTACTCAAACGAATCCAACCCAATGGTGCGGACAGTCTGCGGTCAAGCACTCCACAAAAAAAAACCGCTGCAACCGTATCCGACAAAAACAGAAAACACGTTATACAATTAAGTGTTGCGATGTAAGAAAAGGCAATCCTTCCTACACACAAATTTCCCGAATTAATTCCACTTTAGAGTCATAAAATAAAAAAGTTATTACTGGAGCAAATTCGTTAGCGTGCTGCGGTTTCCGCGACGAAAAATAGATTTATACAAGATATTGATAAAATTATGGTTGCTCAAAAATCACAATGCATTATTGTAGGAGAAATACATTTGAATTTAATTGGTGAATCAGATCCAACTAAGGAATATATGAATGTCATCGAAATGAATACCTTTAAAATACAGAATATAATAAGCGCGGAGAAAGCACAAGAAAAACTGCTACAATATTAGACAACATCTTAAAAAATAAAAATATGAACTGTAATATTAGTCTTACAGATCATGTTATACCTGATCCCAGAATCAAGACTATTGAATTAAACAAAAATATCATAAAAAAAACATTAAATAATAAATAAAAAAACAACAGACAAATGGATAGAAACTTTAAAAATTACACTACAAACCCAAGAAGTAACAACATTTAGTAAATTAACAGAAATAAAAATAACATCAAAAACTGAATGCGCAGGAGTGTAAGATAAAAATACACAACAACAACAACTGAATAAATGCTAAATTTATAGACAAACTTAGAGAGAGAGACAACCTTTACAAAAGATGGAAGTTGCTGAAAAACATTCAAACTGAAATAGAAAAAAAAATCAACTAAACAACTAAAGGACAAAACTAAGAAAAGAGTATGTGGAAAAAAACTTAATGAAGCTGGGACAAACTCAAAAAAAATATGGGACGTTTTAAATGGATTGTATATAAAAACATCAAAATAGACAAAAATAAGAGAAATAAAAAGCATGACAGGACAATTAAAAATGAACAAAAAATGACACAAGAGTTCAACACATACTTCTCAGAAATTGCAAAAAACTTTGCTTCAAAAATTAATGCTAATATAAATCAACGGTTAAGATTCAATCTACCTTGAGCCGACAAACTTTCAGAGCACTCTAAATGACCTAAAGAAAAACAGCTCACCTGGAGAAGACACCATAACAAAAACAGATTTGACACTAGTTTTTGATGTCATTGGAGAAAAAATTGTGAACATTGGTAACAATATCCTAGAAACTGACCTGTTTTCTGAAGAACTAAAGACAGCAAGAATAACACCAGTATATAAAAAGGACTCACCAAAGGACCTTAGCAATTATAGGCCAAGTTCTATCCTAAATACATTTTCAAAAATAACAGAAAAAATAATTAAAAATAGGACAGCAAAGCTAAGTCTGTGTTAACAATATTCATCGATTTTCAAAAAGCATTTTGACACAGTCAACATTCATAAATTATAAAAAATGGGCTTCACAGGTGTTGCACTAACACTTCTACAAATATACTTCAAAGACCGCAAACACTACACACATAAACAAATAAAAAAGTAAAAAAGGGACGCTTGCTGTAGGTGTTGCCCAAGGGTCGATCCTTGAACCTCCGCAGCATATACTGTATATACAAAACCTTCAATACTTCGAACTAACAGCAACATATCTGTGATATAAACTTGTTTCTGAACAATGTTAAACTGAAAGAAGTACAAAATTATAAATATTTAGGACTAATCTTAACAAATAAACTTGATCGGGACATACATATGAACCAAATTGGCTCAATAAAATGGTGTACAGACAGTTTAAACAAAGAATCTAGATTTTTAATTTAAAATAGTTTCAATGCACCTTATATAAGGTAATTAATTCCATGCTGGGGAAAGTGAAACAACTAATAATACCCATAATACCCATAATAGTACCCGTAGTGCAAGCGACTTTAGAACTAACTTTTTAAAAACTCTTACAGTACCAAGATCACCATTATATAGCTGTATTCAGACTTATAACTCTATATCAAAAGTAATTGGTAAACCAAAAACAATAAAACAATTTTGTCAGAAATTGAAAGTATAATTGCAGTGACTATTTACACTATCTACTTAAACTTAAGAAGACTTACATAAAATACCAAGCTTTTTCATATAATTGTTTTATTTTGATTGTAAGCCTCCTGTACCAATTTTTCACACTGTTTTGGAGTTAGTTATAAATAAATAAAACAAATAGTATAGTAAAAACCATATCTCTATATCTTGTTCCTAGCCTAAATTACCAAAGAAAGAAACATTAGTTATGATAAAATTTTACAAAGATGCTATTGTACCTTTAGTTGCTTTCCAAGATTGTAAAATAAAATTTCATAATTTTATTTTTTCATATCATAAAAGTATTTTTCCTTCCTAGCTGGCCTGCTATTTATATTCTGCCTACCTTTGCACTTCTAACTTATTGATTCTTATGCCACTATACTTTTTTAAATCTAAGAATACTTTTATGATTTGACATTTAACACGTTGACTGCACAGTAATTTTCAGATTTCTGGCCAAAAATGAAATTTTGATTTTATTACATTATATTATTAAAAAGTCTAAATCTAGAGCATAGTTATAAAATAAAAGAGTAAAAACGTATTTTCCTAAAAAAAAAATGTACGAATTATCTCGTAGTTGGCGTCGGAAACAGTAATCTCTTCTCGGAAGTCAATTACGAGTTTATTCGTAGGCACACCTGCACTGACTTGTCGCTTCACTAATGCTGAATCATTCATTGCGTCATCATCCGCGTCAGTTATATCTCAGACATCTACCGACAGATTATACAAGGTAAGACCAATTCTAAATCATTTCAACAATATTATGCGGGAAAACTATGTACCAAATAAAAATATTTGTATTGATCTGTCTATGATGCTATGGCGGGGAAGATTGATTTTCCGCCAATACATAAAAAATAAGAAACACAAATATGGGATCAAACTGTATGAACTTTGTGAGTCCGATGGTCTCGTTATGAAAATAAAGATTTATAGTGGAAAATCTGAGAAAACTGACAATAACGTAGGCCACACTACTGATGTTGTTTTACATTTACTTGAGGACTATCTCGATAAAGGATACACGGTTTTCATGGATAATTTTTATAATTCTGTTACACTTACAAAACTGCTAAATACACGAAAAATGTATGTGTGTGGAACCCTACGAAATAACAGAAAAGCGAACCCTAGAGATTTGGTAAATCGTAAATTGAAAAAAGGGGAGTGTATTTGGCAGCGAAATGGTCCTGTTACTGTTTGCAAATGGAAAGACAAGCGAGATGTCCTTTGCATTTCATGCATGTTGTTGAAATGATAGAAGTGCCCAATCGCAATGGAAAAATTTCTATGAAACCGAATATAATTCGAGATTACAACAATGGAATGTCTGGCATTGACCAATCAGATCAAATGCTTTCGTATTATTCATCTCTAAGAAAGACTATTAGATGGCCCAAAAAGGTTGCATTGCACATTATAGAGATTTACATCCACAATGCTCACAAAATTTTTAAAAAAGTTACATCTTCTAACATAAAACTGATAAAGTTCAGAGAGGAATTCGTGCTCGCATTGATTGGACAAGAAATTCAACACGTTACGAAAAAGAGTAAATTGCAAAGTATCCATTATTTAGAGTTTCCCGCCTACCGAAAAAAAAACAGCGTCCAACGAAACCATGTCGCATATGTAACCAAGGAAAAAAACGCCGAGAAACGCGTTATTACTGTCCAGTATGTAGTGAAAAACCAGCTCTGTGTGTGGAAGATTGTTTTAAAAAGTTCCACAAACAGTAAATATTATTATACTTCTGTAATTTGACTTAATTCTTACACTTACATTTTTTATGTCCGTTTTCAAATAAATTGTCTTTTCATGCAAGCCAACATTGATTTTTTGTTCTTTCCCAATAAGCCATCTATCGATATTAGCACTGATATATTACGAGTTTAATCGTAGCAACACAAGAATGGCAAGTGAATACAGTACGAGATAACTCGTAGTTGGCGTCCTTGAAAAGATCGCTACCAACCAGTTATCTCGTAGTCGGCAGTCAACGTGTTAAATAACAATACAGCAATATCCCTTGAAAGAGGATAAATAAATAAATAAAATTACCATTAAAAAAGTGGTCTGTTCAATTGTTTCACAAAAGATTTATTAAAATTGGTGACCTTATAATAATCTAAGATAATTAAAAAATCAGTCAAAGTTTATAATGAAATTTATGGCCTTCCCAGACCAATGGCCACTGCCAAAGCAGAAGTACTCTGTGGATTTGAGGCAATATTTTCTGGTAGGTTACCTTGAGTCCACTGCACCAGACTGTGTTCAGGCATTTGTGAAGCTTGATAGTGGTCATTTAACAAAATTTGAGAAAAACTCAAGTGTCTCTGGTAGGCCTCATTTTCACGTTGTATATCTCCGCAGATTCTATGCAGGTCTACAAGAATAAGAGAGAATGGAGAGACAACTAAATAATATATAATAAATAATAAAAAGTACCTTTCAAAATAGCAGAGGCCCATAACTGTACATGAACATCAGGTATTTTGCTGGCTAGTTGCATAGCAGGTGTCACCATATTCATACTCTCCCTGCTATTACCCAAGGATAAAAAGATGTGACCGAGAAGGACCAGAGAACCTGAGGTAAGTCTGTTCAAGTCCTCCGCGTTTGCCATTTTCAGTGTTTCCCTGAGAAATCTCCTAAAAATAACCAATATTACTAATGCAAACAAGTGAAAAATTCATTGCAGATTAGATACTTGGCTTCATTATAACGTCCTTGAAAAAATGATTGCAATCCCTGAACATAGTAAGCTGCTGCTTTGAGACTGTGTGAATGAGAAGGAAGATTATCAGGGTTGATTCGGTCAAAAAGTGTTGTGAAATCGGCTTCTCGTTTACCTCTAAGATATACAATAGCCAAGTTTAAATTTGAAAACGTCCACAATTCCCTTTCTTGAGATGTCTAAAACAGTAAATCACAAAAATTTCACAAAAAGAGTTTAAATCTTACATTTAGTGCAGCTATAAATTGGGCTTCAGCTTCTTCCATGCAATTCATACTCATTGCATAGAGCCCAAGTAAGGTGTGAAGCTGAGGTCCATGTGCTTCAAGCAAACGGGGACATTGTCTACAAAGTGAAGCCGCAGAGGATATTTCCTGCAATGCTTGGGATTTATTACCCATAACGAGGCGACACATTATGATGTGTTCAAGTAACATTAGTTGGAATACTGACAGAATAGGTTTGTTATCCAAGACTAAAAAAGATGTAAACCAAGTTATACTACCACGACAATGATAATAATATAGACTTACTTTTTAATTTTTCAATGTGTATTAAAGCTTTATCTGTATATTTTTGTGCCTTTTCCATATAACCTGCTTGCATACTATGCATGACAGTTAATAAGTAAACAAGAACATATAAGTGTTCTTTAGGCATCCAAAGAAACATGTCTCCTTGACTTGGACCAGTAAATACTAAAATCACAAAACTTAAAGTTTACCACAAGCTCATATTAGAATTTATTTAAGCCGGATAGCAAAATATTGAAAAAAAATATTTTTTATGAAGACTTACCATCATCTGTAGCCATAATGGCTTGGATTGTCTGCTGCAATTGTTTCAAACACGGTTTTACACCTTTCACTTGCCCAGCCATCAAATAATGACATACCTATAAGTAAATATCAAACATTTAAAAGAAAATGCTGTCTAAGAACCTTACTTGTAAAACTAAAAAGTATACTTTCAAATATTCCCTTTGATACACTGCTCCTGTCCAGGTTTCTATCAAATGACCTGCTTGACTTAAAACTGGTTGCACCTCCTGGTGTTTTTTGTCAATTAGTAGGAGCTAGAAGTAATATTTTTCTCAAAAAAATTATTATATAGTTAATAGATTTCATACCATGCCTTTACTTAATAAAAATAATATTCGTGTATAGTATGCATTTGAAATATGTGCATAATCTACACCAACTCCTAACAGACTACTAGCTAATGTGTAGTCTTTTTCAGTGGCGTGTATTTGCTGAAAGGTTAAAAAAGTTATCTAAAATTTGAATTAAATTAGATCACCTTACTGCTAGCTGAAAAATTAAGCGACAATGCCAGTACACATTATGTTGCGACAACTCAATAGCTTTCCGAAGAATAGGTTTGGAAACCGCTATTTGGTCTTGCTGCTCCAGCAACTCAGCCAATACACTGGCAGCTTCAAATTTGACGTCATCGAATGAAGTAATTGATTGAGAAAGCATCCACTAAAAGCAAACTTTAATCTCAATCACATGACTCTTTGCTTGTTTACCGCTTGTTCCAAATGGTTCTTAGCAAGGTCAATGTTTTTTGTGTGACTCAACAAAATATTTCCCAGCTGAAGGTGGGTTCTTGCTTCAACTCTTTGAGGAGGTTTAAAGTGAAATACTGCTTGCAAACACTGAATACATAATTTAATCATGGGGGGACTGGATGTCCGGAAATATTCCGCTAAACCCAATAAAGAGAGATACCAAGCATCTTGTGAGGATGCCATTCCAATTTAAATCTTATTATTAATTCACAAACAAAATAATATTTACATTTCAGGAACAACTTACTACATCTTCAAGATAACCATATTTCTACTTCCTTTCGCAGACTTGGCTAGACATACTTCCACCACAGTAACACATTAAGTACTAGAGGGTATATGCGGATTTCTGTCCCTGGACATTACTGGTCGATTCTTAAGTAATGTTTTAGGTTTAAATGTTATTGTGATTAGTTAGTGTGTAGTTTCATTTGTTTACGGTATATTCCGGCATATTGTCTTAGTCATAAATAGGTTGGTCGGTGATCAACAGTATTCGTTAACCTTATTCGTTTAAAGGTTCGCACACTTGGCCGAATAGTTTTTATATACTGGCCAAATAAAGCGTAAAGAAGAATGGAGAGTAGGTGCAATTTGGAGGAAACATTATTTTGTATATTTGAATTTATTTTCTGTGCCATAGATATATTTTTAAAATGCAAAGTAACAAATTCAAATTATTAATACCTAATTTTAAAATAATTTTTTAATTGACTTCTCTCAAATCAATCTTATACTGATGTGAAATAATTTCTAAATTAATTAAAGCACAATAACTGTGACATGGTGGACCTGCAAGATAACATCGATTTTCAAAGAGACAGATTTCCTTTCTGTATAGTGTGGACACCAATACCAGTTTTAACTTGGTTTTTTCCAATAATTGGCCATATGGGAATAGCCCTATCTTCGGGGGTAATTAGAGATTTTGCTGGACCATATTATGTTTCAGAAGATAACATGGCTTTTGGACGACCCACCAAATATTGGCAATTATCACCATCTTTAGCAATGGGAGGAGGATCAGGCTGGGATGAAGCAGTTACAAAAGCTTCTGAGATATATAAAAGCAGAATGCATAATTTATTGTGTGACAATTGTCATTCTCATGTTGCTACTGCTTTAAATTTAATGCATTATGATGGATCCAGGAAGTGGAATATGGTCAAACTAGCAATGCTGATAACATATCATGGAAAATATATTTCACTTGTTGGATATTTAAGAACATGGGCCCCAATGTATGCTTTAATTTTACTTATTGTTTTAGTTATTACATTATGTTAAAATACTGAAACAAATTAAACACTTAATTCACTTAAAAATATTTGTAATGATAGAGCACCGGGCTCTTCTAAAAACAACTTTACCATTTTTCTGTGAATTATACTGCATGTAGCTCTGCAATTTGTTAGTTGCATTCCTGTGAGGAACATTAAAAATTTCTTCAGGTCTATAGTTGAAACTACTGATCCTTCTTGTGCACCACTTTCCTCTAGGTTATTAGAAATGTGATCTACTAAAGTGAAATAATACTAAAATGCTAATGAAAAGAATTTGTTATTAAATATTTTACCTGCAAAACTTTCCACATTTAAATTTGGAAAGTGAGCTGAGAGATCTACAATGTTGGTTTTAATTTGTAGAGTCAATTTACCAGTTCGATTAGCATTAACAATTAAACTATGACTCATGTTCCTCATTCTTTCCACAATATTTTTTATCGATTTTAAGTTAGGCATTTCAATTGATACCTAAAATTGCGCTGATATGAGAGTTTCATAGAAAAATATTTCAACATATTTACATGAAAATCACTGAAATTAGGTTCCTCATAATCAGCCCAATGTTTTCTAGATATAATTTCAACAGGAATGTCATGTACATACTGACGGCTTAGTGTTTCTCCGGCAACCTGAAAAAAAGTGCTATAATCCAAATATTTTTCATAATTTCAAATACCATTTCCATTTCCAGTGTGAGACATGGAGACTCTTTATTGGTCAACTTTATTTTGAAAGATTTAATTTCTTGCTTTAAAAGGGAACATGATCTAGAAAGCAGAACTGAAGACAGCTATAATATATTAATCACTAATCAAGCATTTAAAGTGTCTCACCAGTAGATAACTCTAAATAAATCTCATTATGTACTTCACTAACTCCCACTATGTTGTACTCTTTGAAATAAAAACTCACAGGAAGTTCGCACCAAACCAGAGGCCTTCTTGGACCTCTTTCTTCTTCGGATATAATAAAAAACAATTTTGTTGATGTTAATCTGAGAATACAGCTTTTGGCAAATCTGGTCAAACTTAGGGAGATATCTAAAATTTCCCCAAATTAAATTTGTAACTTTACAATCAAAATCTTACTTATATACTTAAAAATTCTCGCATTGCAGGATTTTCAGTCATCAAAGCTCTGAATTTCATTTTCCAACTTGTATTAGTATTAATCTTGTTCACATTTTAAAATAAATTCGTTGGTGGCGCGCTGTCATTTATTAATTTTCTCTAAGGGTTTCTTCTTCCCTTTTACTTCTGTTAGCCAAGATTGCTAGGATCATTGGGCCAATTCACTATGGGTTTGAAGCTGGAATAAGAGGTGAGTTTTTTTACAGCCATTGGCCAAACTACTAAGATCATTCGGCCAGTCTTCACGGAGAATGGTGACTTTAAAATTGGGAGGTTAATCACTACCTTTGGTTAATTATTTAATCTATGGTTAAACTTTTTCGCTAGTGTATTCACTACTGGCAATTTCAACTCAAAAACAAAGAGTAAACTCAGCTGGTTCCTTTCTCCAAATCTGTAAGCTGACTATGTCATGTTATTTATCTATGACTGGACCTGCTAAGTTAAGCTTGGAATTGGCGGTTTTCTTTACTTCCGGTATTGCAGGTAAAATAATATTAAAAGGCAGCATGGAAAGTATTGCCACGAAATTTTCATTTTAAATTATTGTAGATCGAGTGGAGGTTCAGGTTAGATAATAACTTTATATTATAAAAAAAGCCGGCTTTTAAGGTTACTTAGTAGAAACACTAGTTCTAACAGGTAGGTATGAATTTTTGGAATTTCTTGGGGCTCGTTTATAACATACATGAAAATTGTTAGTGTAGAAGACATGGATGAAGATTGGGACGATGAACCAACTTCTATAAGGGCATCTTCTTCAGTAATGGTAAGTTGATGAAAAGCATTTTGTAATTTTTGTATCTTTGATTTTTTTATAGACTGGGGTGACATCAGATGGTGGAACTATGTTCGGTGCCGGGCGGGGGTTTAAAACTTTAGAATCATGTACAAACGATAGGGATTGGGGCTCTGTTGGAGATAACTTTGGCGATTCAAATGGAAGTGGAGGTAGATGGGGAAGTGATAATCGAATGGGGAGTCGCGGAAGTAGAGGAACTAGAGGTGGTCGTGGTGGAAGGGGAGGGGGTAATTTTCTTCAAATGAAGTTGTATTGGGAGAATATATCTTTGATTTTATAGGTCATGGTGGTCAACGAAATAATAATGGGTTCAGTAATGATTTCCATGATGGGGGCAGTGGTGCTGGAGGTTGGGGTCATAGTGGAGATGATGTTGCTGGGTTTGCTAATGATCGTGGCCGGGGCAGGGGTAAGTTTGGGCAAGCTGTGTCTGATATTTGTAAAAAATTAGCCTAACTTTTACTTAATAGAACTTGAGCTTCTAGTTTCAACGGCCTCAAATTGGAGTTGCCGCGAATTTTTAACAGCATTAATCAAACAACCAAACTTGTTTTTAATTGGTGTTGTAATTTGATACTATTCTTTTTTTTTTTTGTTTACAAATTGTGAAACCTAATTTACATTCATAAAGTGTTACTTTTTTGTGTATAAATAATGTATCACAACTTGTAATATGGAATTATATATGGTCACAGAAAGTAGGAGATTCTTTATTAAAAAAATTGTATTTCGATTAATAGATTGATACTTAAAAAAAAAAAGACTCGATCATCAAAAGATGGGTATCTGAAATGGTGTTGTCAACAATGTGACCATTATCCTTAACTTAGTTACAATTTGGCTAGATCTGATTAGAGAAAGTTTTTAAATTAAGCAAACAGTGATTTGTGCAACATATAATTATATATATTTTAATATCACAGCCTATTTAAATAATAACGTAATAAGTATTCAAAATGCTCAAAAAAGTGGTTAAATATAAAGAAATTGTTTTCATTCTAAGTGCAATTTGTCTTTATCTTCTAAGTTTAAAGGAATGGATGGAGGTGGTTCATAAAACTTGCTTTAGGTTCGAAAATATACCTGCCACCAGAGTAGACACTAATCTGCTAAAATTGGTTGATGCAACTCTGAAATTTTCACATACTTTTCTCTTCTCCCTCTATAATTTACAGTATTTATATATATTACTCCTGAGATACAGTTTGTTATATTTGAGATTTCTTCTGGACAGATAATATTTTTCTGCATTATCAACCTTAAATTTAACAGCTTTTGCTGACAAATATTCCTCCCCATGCCACCTTAGTATGCTCATTATTGAATAAGTTCTCAATCTAGATACCTTTGAATTTTGTTTGGTTTTGAACATTAATAATTATAATAAAAAAATTAACAAAATTTGCTGTTATATCTTATGAATTCTTTAGGTCGTGGTGGCGGTCGAGGGGGCCGAGGAGGTAGAGGACGAGGTGGTTTCGGAGGGGATGAAGACCGAGGAGGGTGGGGTGAGCAGAAAAGTCAATACGATGAAGGCGACGATGGGGGAGAGCCTCCCAAACCGCGTGAAATTTATGTTCCTGTCGAAAGAGTTGGGGATGACGATTTGTTTACCGCAACTATTTCATCTGGTGTGAATTTTATCAAGCTGGATGAAATCGAAGTGAAAGTCAGTGGTGAAAATGTTCCGCGTCCTATTAGATCGTTTGAAGAGTCTGGACTAAGATCTCATTTACTTGAAAATATTAAAAAGTCAGGATATGGTAAACCGACCCCCATTCAAAAGTACGCTATACCGATTATACTTGCCGGTCGCGATGTGATGGGATGTGCCCAGACTGGCTCCGGAAAGACGGTGAGTTTTACGCATGGTATCAATTAACAGATAAGTAGGTTAGTAAGTTAAAATTTAAAAAAACTCTGGGTTCCTTGGGTATGAAAATTAAGGGTAATAAATTTAATCATTCAGTTTTCAGCTTTTAAGACCTGTAATGTCACAGCGGTGTTACTACAGGTAGTTTATTAGAATAAATATAATAATAATTAGACTATTATTATAAGGGATTTGCAGATATTTCAGATATCAATTATTGCAAGATCAAGTAAATAAAAGCTTATATAGGAGTAAGAATAGTATGAAAATATATAAATTGTAATCATTAATATGATTTTTTGTGTAGTTATGAAATTATGCACAGTGGATCGGTAACAAATATTAGGAAAGAAAGAGTAACCCAAGTCGAGTGCAAGGCACATAATTTTTCATAGTAACAAAACTTCCTCTTTTTCTTAAACTCAAGGGGATTTTAGCACATATTTAACTCTTTGTTAAAATCCTTCAAGCTTACAGCCTCTCTAAATTTTAAAAATGTTGGTTTTGATAAAAATGTCTACCACTTGATAGACCTTTCTATGTAAAGAATTTCTATAACACCTTCCTTTAAGTATTCACAAACAAATTAAAATTTTAGGTCAATATGTTTAACTCTCTTATTATTAATTGGATTTCTTATTAAAGAAATACAAGCCCGGTTCAAATCAATAACCAATTTCTTTAACCACATTCCATCACAATTGATTTTGTCTCTGTTGTGAATAATAATACATATCCTTGCTTTAGTGCATTTCCCAAAACTGTACATAAATATCCAGTAACGGATTTCCGATCTATTGTGTCATTAGCCAATCGGCACCAACATAACACAAAGAAAAATCATTATATCTACAATATTCTAAACCTATATTAATTGAATGTTTTAGATATCTAAGAACTTTTTTCAGGTAGCACAACAATTCATCTGTACCTTTATCTTGAAATCGGTTGAAAAAATAACTGAAAAACAAATATCAGGTTTACTGCCACTTTTAGATCTACAAAATCCTAGTTTTAATAAAAATTCATGGATCTTATCATTCCAATACTTTGACTACTGTTTCAGTATGTACAATGCCTTTTTTAATTTTAAGACAAAATCTTTTTACAGACAACTCCCTGAGGAGGAAAAATATAAATTTTTTCATTTAAAAACCCATTTCAAAACGCAGTCTTTACATCTAACTGCTGATAAATGAGAGCTTAACTGATTTTCAATAATTAATAAAGCCCTGATAGCAGTTAATTTTGCGATATCTTGTGCAAACCCAGGAACAACCAATCTAGCTTTGCATCTGTCCATTTCTCTTTCTTCTAATGATTTACATAAAAAACCCACATTGTATCTAAAATTTTATATTTTGGAGGTTTACTAACTATTGAACATATCTCATTCATCTCTATAGAGTTTAACTTTTAACCAATATTGTTCATCTGATCTTGTTTTTAATTCATAAAAGTTATTCGGTACATTTTCCACAAAACTACAAGCATCAAATGCTATGTATATTTCAAAATCGTTACTTATATGGAAACTTTACATCCTTTCGAAGTTCGAAGTTCTTATATTTATATTACCATTCAAAATCTCATTCTCATCATCCGATTTTTGTTCAACCTTTTCATACTCATTAAATCTCTGCAGTATCACTTTCACCACTCTCACTCATTCTCGTCTCATTATTTTTAAAACCATAGGTCTTTTCATTAAATTTGATGTCCCTTGCAATAATGATTTTTTCTTTATCAAAACTGCAAAGCCTTTGTACCAGCATAGCCTACCATAACACATCTTTCTACCTTAGACACAAATTTGTCTCGAAATTCTTTTTGTATATTAGAATATGCCATACAACCAAATATTTTAAAGTTACATACATCATCTGGGAAGACTTCAATTTACCTAAACTATCATGGTCCAACAGTAAAACTGGTGCTACGCCTTGCGGGAATTTCTCAAGTGAGGCAATTGTTGTTTCCGATTGTGTGGCCTATTTGGCGTTATTTGAAAACATACAGATCCCAAATAAGTATGGCAATAATTTGTTGTTCTCGAGTCAGCCTGATATCTGTGTTACGATCAGTGATAAATTGTTATTAAGGCTGGATCCACCTCATCCACCTTTTGTTTGCAACTACAACTTGGCCATTACCTCACCCAGGAACATCGCATGTGACTATTTTTATTATATTTTTGAATTAAAAAATTAAATTGCATTATTTAAATTAAAAAAAAGCAAAAGGTAAGACAATTATAAGCACAAAATTTAAAATGAATTTAGTGTAGTTCTTGAAGTGAAGTATTATCACTTTATTTTCTTTTATCATTACTGGTTGAAATTTTTATCATAGTCTAATTTCATTTGCGAAGCAGAAATTCTTAAAACTGATGAAAGGTGCTCATCTGAAATTCTGTTTCTTAAAGAACTTTTCCTAAGCTTCATTGTTGAAAAGATTTGTTCACATATATAATATGAACGGAACATTGTCATTATCTTCATTGCATGAGTAATTAGATTTGGGAAACTATCTAGACTTGATATTTTGCCTCAACTTCTTCGTAATTAACATTGAATGGGGTCGCAAAAATACTGGTTCCATTTTTCTATAGTCCTGAAATCTTTCAAATTCTGAAGATAGTTTTCTCAAATTAATTTCGTATTTTTTAATCTTATTGTTTGATATAGTGAATTTTAAAGATTGTATTCTTGGAAAATGAGAAAAATCAATTCAGATTTAGAGATCTGCCTAATTGGTAAATAATAATAATTGTAATTTAAAACTCTTCAGGTATTGCCAAATATCGTGAAGAAACTGATTTTCCCTTGCAATTTGTGCAAAACTAAATCAAAAAGCCATGTTTCGTTTTCTAAGACGTCAAATTGATTATAATTGTCTATCAAGAAGAAAATTCACAATATCGTGTTTTAAATCCCAAATTCTTTCAAATACTTTTCCAGCACTTAACCAACGAACTTTGAATAATACAGGATATCGGAATGCTCAGCATGTAGGGACTCCAAAAACTGTTGAAACTGGCGATGAAATAATCCTCTGGACCGAATCATATTTATTAGTTTTACAACATTATTAAGTATATGGTCAATATCTAAAGCCGATTTATAGAGAGCATCCTGATGTATAAGGCAATGCAAATGCATCATTTTCCGGATACTTAGAATTAAATTTCCCAACAAATCCTTGATTGATTCAATCAATAGGTAAACGAAGTTTATCGATGAGATTTTCAAATTCACAAAATATATCGGTTGTTCCTTTCATTGACTGCAACTTCTTCTGTAATTGAATGTTTTTGTAGTCAGTAGTGAAATTAAATATTTTCAGTTCTCTCGGTGATTGTTCTTCTTAGGAGAGACAGTGACTGAAAATCATCTGAAAATGCTTTATTAGATTTTGCAATATTATAAGCCAACACATAACTGGTTTTCGTAGCGCGTCTTTGAGAATGATGAGCTCTCTCAAGTAATTGTTGTTGACTTGATAAATTTTATATTAAATCTTTTAATTAATTTTTTTCACCTTAAACGGGCCGGATTAAACCTTTCCGCAGGCCGGACTTGACCCCCCATCACTGTTCTATAGCATAAAACTTTTCTGGTTACGCCATTCTTTCGAACTTTTGTTTGGAAAATGGAATTAAATTTTTAGGATACCAAATTTTATTTTTCAAGACGTCGTCCTATCTTTCTTTTTTTGGTCGCGCTTTGCCACCAAGTGTAACCGCACGCCGACTCCATGCAATTTTCAATTCCTGGGTATATGTTCTAGGCTCATCACCTTTTGTCATTATGAAATTATGTACAGTGGATCCATAACAAACATATATTAGAAAAGAAAGAGTAATTCGAGAACATCATACAACGTGCTTTTCATTCCCAACCTTAAACCTAAGTTGAGAGAATGGAACATAATTTTTCATAGAAACAAAACTTCCTCTTCTTAAACTCAAGGGGATTTTAGCGCATACTTAACAGTTATTTTTATAAGAAAATCTACGATTTTATAAGAAATTTACGATTTTAGTCATCATGTTCCCAGATGAACTATAGTCGTTGGAATCCAGAGAGATAATAAGAGGTTGTACAGTGCTTTCTAGCATGTTATCAGCTTCTCATTTTCTCTCTTCTATTTTAATCGCATGTTGGACGCACATACCCCATTTTTCACAATGCACTGGTTTTATTCCCCTTGCATGAGGTTTTCAACATCCTTCATTTTAAAAGTGGTGTTATGCTTTGCTACAAATCCTTTTACTTGCCCCCAAACAACTTTTATGAGGTTTAGTTCACCGTGAGATTTATTCAAATTTGCAATCTCCAGTACCTCCTTTTTCAGCATATCTTTCTGAAATTGCTTTTTATTTAAAGTGAGTCAATGAATGATGTCATTTTTTTTGCCAGGTCGTTACAAAAATGGATAATGTGAAAAAAAGAACGTATAACTTTTCGCAACGAGAAAAAGAAATTTTAATATTTTTAGTGAACAAATATTTTCATGTGTGGGAAAATAAAAAACGAATGCAGTTTCGACAAACAGAAAAATGATACTTGGGAAGTTCAGCAAGGTCATAAAAATTTAGCACTGCTTTTTCTTTATTTCTTCATTTCGAGCAATTGCTTAAATGGATTTTTATCAAGTAAAAGCCACCTAGGTTCAACAATTGCAATGATGTACATGCACTTGTAAGAGCAATAAAAATTTCATTTATTTTGGACAATGGCTGGATCCAATTATCACTCTAAATTAAAATTCGGTGTCATTAAGTGCATAAAACAAACCATTGAATTCCGTTATATGTCTTTTTGCGACCTTTTTATCACTGCTCAAATCAGAACTGAAGCAGTTCAACAAGTTGAGAAATCTAGCTCTCCCATTATTGGAAAAACGAATCCCCAAATTTTATAAGAAAAACGCATAAAAGCAAACCTGACAAAATTGCAAGTAATAAAAGCAATGTTCAAACAAAACAATTTAACTGGATTAGAACCAATGAAGGAACTTATTCATTGAGTAGAACTTGTAAACTTGTGATTTTAGTGTATTTTTGATCGCTGAATCCGAATCTGAAATCTGAAGCTTAACAATTTATAACAATTTCCTCGACCATTTTTGGAAAACGGGTTTTAGATTGGGATTCAGCGGGTAAAAATACACCGAAATCACTTACTTATTCTTGTGGAAGTAAATTGATCCCGAAAACCCTCTAAGCTGTGTATTTCGCGCTAATTTTAATTTTACAAAGTTCAATTTTGCTACTTTCTAGAAATTTTATTGAATTAATTATTAATAAATTTAACATTTGGGTCATAATATGCACGCTTATAGAAATCATAAAATGCTGTCAAAATATACTTTGGGTTTTCAGGTCCAATCTAAACACACTGGCACAGGCTGATTTACGGTGTATTGTTTGCAAATTTTAGTTACTAGAACTTTGATGTTTTGCGATAAATATTTGGTAAAATATTTCCATTTCCATTAAAATGAAATAAATTAATTATTTATTGTTGTAAAATTTGTCCTATGTTATACTTGCGATTATACTGCGACAATCGCAAGTATAACATAGGACAAATTTATGCGTACTTGAAAAACTACGCCAAACGTTGCAGCTTGGTGTGAATTCATACATGATAGGTTCACATACAATGATATTTGATCAATATATGGGACATACAACAAGTAATTTGGTGAATGTTAACATTAGCTGGTGTATATCGATAATAACCAGATTTCGTACTTTCACTTGAACATATACATTATATTTCATTTGTTAATTCACACATTATAGGCGGCCTTTCTGTTGCCGATGATCAACAAAATTCTTGCGAGCCAGGATCCTCCTGTTCGGGATGGAGATACTGCACAGCCTAAAGTAGTAATTGTGAGTCCAACTAGGGAGCTAGCAATTCAAATACATGAGCAAGCCAAGAAATTTGCACATAATTCTATTGTTAAAACTGTTGTCGCTTATGGTGGTACATCGGTCACACATCAGAAGAATCAAGTCTTGGTAATACTTGTTGTTTTCTTCTCTATCGACTCCCAAGTCTTCATTGATTATTCTTTAAATTCAGAATGGGTGTCATATTTTGGTGGCGACGCCGGGTCGTTTAAACGATTTTGTCAATCGAGGTCATATTTCGTTTGCATCGTTGGAGTTTTTCGTCCTTGATGAAGCTGATAGGATGCTGGATATGGGTTTCTTGCCAACCGTAGAACAGATGTTGGGACACGCGTCTATGACTGCCACGGTAAGTTAGAAGGTTACTCGTGCATTTCATGTATCCAAGATAAAAATGCATAGCAAAGGCCTCTGTAACATGGTGAGAGCTATAGGGTCGCTTAAATTATAAAGAAGTTGCACATAATCAAGTTTTCCAATTGGTAGAATTCCATGTTCCCAATTTGTCCAATAAATTTTTGGCAATTTCAAATTTACGCAAAGAAAAATTGTGTGCATTGTTTACTATTGTAATTATAAAGCTGGGGTTTTTTTGGATTATTCATTGTCCAAACATGTGTGGCAATTTCCTAGCTTTACTGATTTCCAACCAGATGGATGTTAATATGGATTAATCCGCCTCTGTGACAAGGCAATGCTAATCAAATAAAAAAAACTAATATGATAAAATACATACAAAACCATCAAGCAACTTAAAATGCATTATTAAAATATACAATTAATCGAGAAAAATGAAAGACTCAGAGCACTCCAACAAATGTTTTATGAGTAGGGTTGTGGAATTGACCGGGAATTTTTTTTTGTGTCAGCTTATTCATTTTTATTTTTTTATATTGTGCGTTATGGCGCCATCGCGCCGTTCTGAGAACTAAATGGAGTGGATATTTTTATTGTGATTCCCCGAATTGCAAAGTATCTTATTCAGGTATTCCTTGAAGAGGGTTATAGCTCAAATTTATTTAAAAATACATATTATTATTAAAAAATGATAGATAACCCTCTGCAATTGTTATTTAAAACACTTTGATAGAATTTGACTAGTCAATTAAGACGTGGTCAATTGACCGGTCAATAAAGAAGTAGTCAATTGACCAGTCCCAACATTATTTATAAGCATTGATGAACGAGGTGGTTCTTGTGAACAACATCTCGAGATAGCGGTGTCAAAACACCCAAGGAAAAAAATACAGGATGAAGATGACAGTTACATTGCATAACAACAAGGTACACTCGACTGGGCAACCAAAATAGTCTAAGAACCAGCGAGCCATTTGGAGGTGTTTTAGGCACTATCAAATCGTAAATGTGACAATTCTGATGAATGCGGAATGAGGATATGTTTAGGCCGTTTCTGGTCATTTTACGGATGCGCAAACTGTTGCTAAAAGAATATATTTATTTTTATTATAAAATTTAGCATTTTTTGAATGCAAAAGTAAAGTCCTTATAGAGGGTCTTAAAGTGTGCGTTTTATCGTAAAATATCTGGCTTTAGGTATTCTGGTATTTTTTTAGTACATTTATTAATTAATACCGACATTTGCACTAAAGCCCGATAAGTTTGACGGCCTTAAATATTTATGCGATGGTGGTAGCTGTCACTGCAGCTGCGCGGTAAAAATATTTTTAAATTTTATTTTTAAGACTCAAATATCTCACAAATGAATAAAAATGTCAAAGAATTTAACAGACTTGTATACCGGCAAAAGAGTTTAGTGATTAAAAAAATTAACTAACATTAACAGTAAAATTTCAAGTTTAAATTTGTAATGTAAAATGTCTTTTAGATCATGGTAATTTTTTACGTATTAATTTGGTTTATTTAATTCCAGATATTTTTTGTAGTTAATTAAATTCTCTGCAAAAATGTTATGGTAATTTTTCATATTTTTCATAGTTTTGATAGATTCATAGATACCTAAGACAGTCAAAAAAATAACTGCTAAAAAAATTTAATTTTAATTCACTTACACTAGTTATTGTTTAAGTATCATTTAGTCCAATTGTTCATAATAAAAGCATTTATTTATAAATCGAGATCCACTTCTAATAGAATCATTATTTTGTCTACTAACAGTATGTAGAGTTACATATGAGGTTCCTACGGCTAATCTCATCAATTCAAACTAACCAAAAAATAATTTATTCGAATGCTGGTGTTGAGAAAAAATTTAATTTTAATTCACTTACACTAGTTATTGTTTAAGTACCATTTAGTCCAATTCTTCATAATAAAAGCAATGTAAATAAAATTGATAAGATATGATAAAAAAAATCACGAAATATTGAAAATAATTTTGAACGTCCCGTCGTTTTCACTAGTTTACATTCCAAAAATACTAATTCGTAAACAATTTAATATACCAAGCGCAGCTGTAGTGACGTAATCTACCAACAACTAATCACAGTTTAGACTTGCTCGACTACGAGTGCGTCTGATAAATTCTCTTTCGGACTTATGTCTACTTATGATACTTTTCTCTTATGTAAAATCTTTATTTTTCCCAAGTAAATATTATACACCTTTAAATCAGGCTTGATAGCAAATATTATCCGTATTAATTAATAAATGTACTAAAAAATGCACATTTTTACATATAGAGTAGTCGGGTTGCACATTAAAAATACTAAATTTTGAAATAAAGAATTAAAATCCATTAAAAAAATTTTTTTTGCAAAACTACACTCGGTTGCAAAATTGCCAGAAACGGCTCAATCGACTCCTCATTCATGAGCATTGAAATTGTATGATTTTTATAATTTCATACTGTCTTTAACACCTCCAAATCGTTCTTCAACTAAAAGAAAAAGACGCACGCTATTCTCGCACAGTCACACACAGGAACCATCAGAACTGACTGACAAACATCAAAACCTCATCAAGTTTTAACTCTACCGAAAACATCCTATAGCTTCCAATCTGTTAGTAAAGTACCCGAAACGCGTGAAGTGGCTCGTGACAGTGTATGATAGAGCTAACCCTAAAATTTTTGGAAATCAAGGCATATAGAATATTTCTGTGTACATTAAAGCATTAAAAAATGTTACTAATTTTACTAACACTATGAAGAGTTACATGTGATGTTTCCATGGCTAATCTTATAAATTCAAACCCCAAAAAATAATTTATTCGAGTATTAGTGAACGGGTATATAGAATGTTGCTGTGTACATTAAAGCTTTAAAAAATGTTAATAATTTTAATGGAATTGTTTATCAATGGCTGCACACCAAAGGTTTATGTACTTTAAGTTTTATTTTATAATTTAGATTTCTTCTGGTTTATTGGATTTCATTGGAACAGATTGCGCAATATACTACTGTTCCCACATGGATTAATATAATCTAAAATTAAGTTCACGGGAATCATTCACAGACGAAATGTCGGATTACAAAGAATCGCTCTTTTCCAGTCTTTTTTAAAATCTTAAATGTTTTCCAATTTAACCGGCCTTATGACTCTTACTTTTGAGATCTCCATGGCACGCATTTTATTTAGTCTTAAAAATAAAAATAAGTAAATAGAAAAACTTTTTGTCGATATTCGCCTTTGAGTATATCGTAATAATGTGATTATGATTTTTTTATTGCTCTGGATAGTTATTTGGAGTAAGTAAAATATAATATGTAAAATCTGCCTTGGTTTGTAGAACTAGTTGTTACTCTTTAGTAGAAATTTAGTTTGCCAAAGCGCACTTGGACGAATTGTTATGAATTAATTTATTTACGTATTTAAATATCAATTAATTAAAAATCCATCCATTAGCAGAATAATTTCAAAATATTGATATGCTTTGATTTGTGGTTTTTATATATTATTATTATATGTAGTAATAACTATTCAGTACCGCTGGCGATCGATTTTAAATTAGCGCAACCGTTTAAAAAAAACTAAATTAAAATCTTTTACCTTTTAGCACTTTTCAAGGAAACAAGCTTTTCCCAGCTTTTATTCATTCGTTTGACAAATGTTTTTACTTAAAATTGATGAATGTGCTGGTATTGTAAGGAGCCACAACTTGTGTCAAAAACAGCAAGTTCTCTAAATCTGATCGGCCCAAATATCTACTTTTATTATCCGTTTTCCTAGGGCGAAAGGCAGACCCTGATGTTTTCGGCTACATTTCCCGAGGAAATACAACATTTGGCTGGCAAATTTTTACACAACTACGCTTTCATCGTGGTGGGAATAGTGGGCAGCGCGTCGACCGATGTTGAGCAGGTGTTCCATCAAGTAAGCCGCTTCGACAAAAGGAACAAACTAATAGAAATGTTGAAACATGGTAAAATTAATTCGTCTGTTAATTATTCAAGTGTGTATCGATTATTTGATATTTTAGCGAAAGGAGAAAGAACTCTGGTATTTGTCGAAACGAAAAGAAATGCCGACTTTCTCGCCACACTTCTAAGCGAAAACGATATTCAATCCACCAGCATTCACGGCGATCGCCTCCAACGCGAACGAGAACAAGCCCTTTGGGACTTTAAGAAGGGCATACGCAGCATTCTGCTGGCTACAGGCGTGGCTGCCCGCGGCCTTGACATTGAGGGAGTTCAGCACGTAATTAATTACGATTTGCCGAAAAGTATCGACGAGTATGTACACAGAATTGGACGTACTGGGAGAGTCGGTAAGAAAACTGAGAAATTTAGTTAATTAATTTAATTTTGTCTACATGAATTTTGGGTGCTTGATTTTTATTTATTTATTTATGAATCGAGATCCACTTTTACATTAAAAGAATCATTATTTTGTCTATTAACACTATGAAGAGTTACATGTGAGGTTCCCATGGCTAATCTCATAAATTCAAACTAAATTCGAACTAACCAAAAAATAATTTATTCCAATACTGGTGTTGAGAAAATTTCTCCAAAATTAGTTTAGTCCAAGTAGGAAAAACAGATTACGCGGTGTTATTACTTTCTCTGCTAATTGGACAAAGGGTTCCCGATTAATTTTGAGAAAGTACCAGCTTTTTTTTAACCAAAATTTGGAATGGATATTCTTTGTTAAAATAATTAATTGAAGTCGATGCAGTTTCTAAACAAAACAAGTTAGTATTGTTGGTCACAGTCATATACCAGATAATTAGACTAAATATGTTTTAACGTGCAATACACTGGCGAGCAAAAAAATTATTCGACAAATTTTTTGAGAAAAAAAGTTTATCGCCGTTAACTGGTTAACTGAATTTAACGTATTATTATGTTGATTTTCGTGATTTTGTCTTAAAACAAAAAAATTCTATCATAAACAAAACCCAATTAATTTTTATTTAACTATTAACAATATTGAGAAAACCTGAAAATTAATAACTTGTATTTCCTCCTCTTGTGTTAATGTAATTAAATTACGGACTACGTTTTGGCGATGTTGTTCCATTTCTGCATTAGCAACTCTCTCAGCTCTTGGGCACTTCTTGGAGCTGGTTTATGTCATCTCATCCAACATATAGTCTAAGAGCCAGTAGGCGGCTACCTGCATGTATTTGACCAGACCTGGGTTTTTGTACATTAAGGCCCCTATACATGATGTGGGGACCCACTAAGCCCAAAGCGGTGGACCCAGGTACTGCGCAGATGAGACAGGTATTGATTTTTGGCGAATTTTAAATATATTTGACCAGGGCTGCCGTTTTGAAATCTTAAAATATATTGTTATTATTATCGAAAAATAATAATGGCAGACCATTAGCATGCGGTTAACATTATGGCAGACAGTTTTGAAAATGCTCAAAAAATTAAAATTCTGAAAGTATTTGACCAGATCTGCCATTGAGATATATTATTCATTATAGTCTTAAAAACTTATATTAATAACGGCAGACGTTTTTATTGAGTACACTCCTCAGTAGATAACAAAATTTTTGCTACTACCCGGTCAGATGTATGTATACATACACTGCATAGAGCTTTTTCTTTCTCCTATGTATTACTATTCTACTCATTCCAGCTTATAGTATTTTCTTTTATAGCTACTACCACTTAAATAATTTGGGTTTGTACCTGAGATGGCTCTATTATAATCCCAACCTAACGGTTTTTGTCAGATGTTTTCAGTATGTTTGTGAATCTCGAAACAGATGCCTCCTGTTTAGTGAATTTAATAAAATACACAGTGTTGCTTTATGTTATTTTCTTTTAATTAAACTGTTATTCGTTAAATGTCTCTGACATTATGTCGAGTGAAAAAGAACTAGTGAAGTGTGTTTTTTGTGCCACAGCAAAGACTGAGAAATTATTGACATTTTCAAGAGAGACGATGGAAAAATGTCGACAAATTTTGAGCTTAAGCAAACATTATAAATTAAAATACAATGAAATAATTCTACCGGACGAAATTTTTGATTCTGTATATCACAGTAGTTGTTACAAAGCGTTTACGGCTTAAAAAAAAAATTGCAACCGATCTCAACAAAGAACGTGTATTACAACCCACTACGTCGTCGTCTGCAACTAAGCAACCATCAACATTAGCTGATAGCTCAATAACTGATCATACAATAGTACTTGATAATCTTGTAAAAGACGTAAATGTTTCTAAGACAGATGAAGTAGTAGAAAAAGATGGTTGATGGTTTTTTCATTCTCCATTCTATGAAAGAGGTTCCCAAAACATTCTGGAGTATTTCAAAGAAATTTCTGCACATGGTGTCCAAATACTCTACCCGAAGAATTAATGTAATCTTTGACCAACATTTTTATCCATCAATAAAAGATAGTGAAGGATGTCTACGACATGAAGCATCGTTAATTGCGTTAAGGTGCGACCGTCGGATTTTGTGAAATAATTAAAAAATACAAATTTTAAGGAGGCTCTTGTAGATTTTTTACAAGACATTGGTGTAGTGAGGAAATGAAATCATTTTTAGGTAACGGACAGATTTATTTAAATTTTAGAAATTGCCATTCATATCAAGTTGTTGAGAACAGTATACAATCAAGAGTTGTTGAAGATCTTTGATGTATTTCACATGAAGAAGCAGATACTAAAATAATATATCATGCTTGTAATATCGCTGAAGAAGCAAATATTGCTATTCGAGCATCTGCTACCGACATTTTAATTATAATGATTGGTAATATGGTTCAATTAAAGAATTCTCATTCTAATATTTGGATGCTCAATGGAACAGGAAATAACGAAAGATATATTAACATCACAAAAATTTATAATGAGCTTGGTGAGTTGTTAGCAAAACGCTTCGGATAAGAATAAAAATTTTAGTAAATAAATACAAAATTTTGACGCAACCGCAATACCACCATGTACGAGTGGACTCTACCAACAACTTTTGAGAGCCCATTACATTTCAACTATTTGGAAAAACGCTTATAAAAAGCAACCTTCAACCTTGGACCCATTGAAGTATGGTTGGATTGAGCAGGACAACACATTTGTCTTTAAATGGTTCGATGGAGATCAACTTCCATCTTTTGTTAGCGACTTAATTACCAATGTCCCTGGTAAGTGGATAAAAATTAATTCTTTATCAAATATGTTCGGATCAATTTAGTAATTATTTATATTTTACAATTTACAGTTTATTTTTACAGAGTCCAATTCAATGGATGATGAAGAAGAGTTAACCTACGACAAACATGACTCCGACACCTTTTAAATTTTGTCTTAAATAAATAGAAAAAATTAAAATACAGGTTTGAATTGTTTTTTGTTACTTGCATTATACCCCAAGATTTCAGATTATTTCGTAATATATCTACTTCATTTGTCATCAATCATAAAGTTTAGTTTATAAAGTACAAAAAAATATTAATTTTTATACATATAGTGACAAAATTAATTATAAGTAAGTTAAATTTATGTAAAACAGCGATCGTAATACATATACATCTGACCGGGTAATAGTAAAGATTTTGTTATCTGCTGAGGAATGTACTCAATAAAAACGTCTGCCGTTATTAATATAAGTTTTTAAGACTATAATGAATAATATATCTCAATGGCAGATCTGGTCAAATACTTTCAGAATTTTAATTTTTTGAGCATTTTCAAAACTGTCTGAGATAATGTTAACCGCATTCTAATGGTCTGCCATTATTATTTTTCGATAGTAATAACAATATATTTTAAGATTTCAAAACAGCAGCCCTGGTCAAATATATTTCAAATTCGCCAAAAATCAATACCTGTCTCACCTGCGCAGTACCTGGGTCCACCGCTTTGGGCTTGGTGGGTCCCCATATCATGTATAGTAGGTATAGGGGCCTCAATGTACAAAAACCTAGATCTGGTCAAATGCGGGTAGCCGCCCACTGGCTCTTAGAGTAATATGTTTGATTCGATCCATGTCTGGACTGAGTGCTAGCCAATCAACCCGCCTAATTCCCACCTCATCCAAATATTGACTGACAGTTCTTGGTGGTGTGTGGTCTAGCATTATCGTGCATAAAAATGTCATCTTCGTCTATAGTGAATATTAAAGTCTTAGGATTATCCAGGATTTCCGTAATGTACCTGTAAGCTGTCAGAGAGCCATTCTGTATAAAGACCGCATGCTTTCGAACTGATGTGAAAGTCTTTCAGCAATATAACCTGGGGCATAACTCTCTTTGGGTCTTCTTCATAAAACCGGGATTCATCGGAATACAGTACCTTGTTCCATTCATAACCGTTCCAGTCTAAGTGATTTCGGGCAAAACCTAACCTTCCTATTCGATGCCGTTGGTGCAATGGCCTTCATACTGCGATGGGGAAGGCAACGGGAAACCACCCCATTATTTTCCCGCGTATATCACAATGGCAAGAAACTCACAAAGAATGGCCCTCAGTCCCCGGCAGACCTTCGATGGTCAGAGGGTGCGAAGAATCCCCGGGTTAAAAACTATGAACCACACTTACAAAATAGCGACATGGAATGTGCGAACACTGTTTGAGGGAGGTAAGCTGGCAAATGCCTGCCATGAGATGGACAGGCTTGGTATACATATCCTTGGAATTAGTGAAACGCGATGGCCCGGCTCAGGATCGATCACGACCTCAAACAAAACCTTTTATTATTCGGGAAACAATGATCCCAGCCATCGACATGGAGTGGGCATCTTGCTGAATTCCAATATAGCGGCCTCGGTTGTAGGTTTCGTACCATTATCTGACCGATGCATGCTCATACAACTAACTGGAAAGCCTGTAAATATTAATTTGATTCAGGTATACGCTCCGACTGGCGACAAACCACTGGATGAGCTTGAGAAATGGTATAGTGACCTCAAGGAATTACTTAGTTACACGCGAAAGGAAGAAGTTACCTTTGTTATGGGGGACCTAAATGCGAAGGTCGGAAAGGGAAGCTCGTCGGAGATGGTTGGGAGCTTTGGATTGGGGCAAAGAAATGACAGAGGGGACAGGCTAATAGAGTTCTGTCAGGAAAACAAGTTTGTAATCTTAAATACCTTGTTCAAGCAACCCCCGCGAAGACTATACACGTGGACATCTCCCCAACACAATAATGACAACATAGTGCGAAACCAGATTGACTACATCATGGTGAACCAGAGATTCCGCAGCTCAGTCAAAAATGCAAAGACGTACCCCGGCGCTGACATAGGATCTGATCATAATCCTGTGTTAATTGATTTCTCTATGACACTCAAGCTCACGAAGAAAAGAAAACCAACACCACAAGTTGATGTGCAACAATTAAAACAAGAGGCAAAAAAAAGCTCCTTACAGATCGAGCTTAACGCCAACCTCCAACGAATTAACCGAGGCCAGCGGACAGCAGATAACATTGACGCGACCTGGACTGAAATATCTTATATACTAAAGGAGGTCACAACTGAACACCTTAAGTCAGAGACTAAGAAAAAGAAAGAATGGATGACCAGAGAAATTCTAGATCTAATGGACAAGCGTCGGGAATGCAAAAACAAAAACCCAACAGAATATAGACGCATCCATTCAATTATTCAGCGGAAAATCAGAGAAGCAAAAGAGAACTGGATGAGGGAAAGGTGTGAGGAACTAGAAGACCTACAGCGTAGATGGTTTCAACCTGCACAAAAAAATTAAAGAATTATCTGGAGCAAATAAGCGACAAGCACCATATAGACTGTTTGATAATAACCACCAGCAAGCAAAAGACATCTCTGAGGAAATAGTCATATGGAAAAATTATATCCGAGACTTATTTGCCGACTTAAGAGAAGAGCCATCCACTGGCAATAATAATGAAGGTCCTACCATAATTAAATGTGAACTTGAACGCGCTATCAACCAACTAAAGAACAATAAAAGCCCAGGACCTGACAATATTTACTCAGAAGTTATTAAGTTAATTGATGAAGAAAACTTGGATCTCTTCTTAAAACTACTTAATCAAATATATAAATGTGGTAAAATTCCGACAGAATGGCTGGAATCTACATTCATTCCCATTCCCAAAAAGCCGAATCCTCGTCAATGCAATGACTTTAGGTTGATTAGTCTGATGAGCAACGCCCTGAAGATCCTTCTCAGAATTATCCACAATCGAATCCAGGAGAAATGCGAGCAGGTAATCTCAAGAGAACAGTTTGGATTCAGGAGAGGCATGGGCACTCGTGAAGCACTGTTTAGCCTGCAAGTTTTGGCTCAGAAATGCATGGACCAGCAGAAGAGCCTATACATATGCTTTGTTGACTTCGAAAAGGCATTCGATAGAGTTCCACATACAGGCCTTCTAAACTCCCTTGTCAACGTGGGAATCGATGGAAAGGACATTCAATTAATAAAGAATCTCTATTGGCATCAAATAGCAAAACTAAGAACAAAAAATACTACATCTGCGGAAATAGAGATTTGTAAAGGAGTAATGTTTTCTCGGAGGAGCTGTTTAAATTCGCATTAGAGAATATCTCAGATGGAATCAAAGTAAATGGGGAAACTGTCAACAACATAAGATATGCTGATGACACGGTTCTGATGGCCGACACAGACATCGGGCTTCGGAATATTATTGATAGCGTTCAAAGAGCATGCTCACAATATGGGATGAAGATCAACATTAAGAAAACAAAAACAATGGTAATTAGCAAAAATCAGAATATCCCGATTCCATTGCAAATCGACGGCGAAGTCCTAGAAATGGTAAATCATTTTAAATATTTGGGTTCCTGGATTGAAAGAGACACAAACCCCGATTACGAAATAAGGACTAGAATTGAGCAAGCGCGCCAGGGATTTATGCGATATAGGCGGCTCCTCTCTGATTCATATTTGGACCTGGGCCTACGTCTGAGACTGGTACGATGTTACGTCTGGCCTATCCTGTTGTACGGCGTTGAATCATGGACGCTGAAGGCGGCCATGATGAATAGATTGGAGGCGTTTGAACTCTGGTGCTACAGACGAATGTTGAGGATCCCTTGGACAGACAGAATTACGAACGATGAAGTACTTCAAAGAGTGGGTGGTGAGCGAGAGCTACTACATATCATAAAAGTAAAGAAAACATCATACTTAGGCCACCTACTCAGGCACGAAGAGTATGAGTTGCCACGACTGATAGTTGAGGGAAAGCTGGAAGGAAGGAGGGGTTTAGGAAGAAAGCGACTGTCCTGGATGCGAAACATCAGAAACTGGACCGGCCTGAACTTTGAACAAGTAATAAGAACGGCACAGGATAGACAAGCATTTGCCAATGTGATCGCCAACCTTCACTGAAGACGGCACGCGATGATGATGATGGTGCAATGGCGGCCCTCTACCCATCCTTCGACAAGGCAATCCATTCTTCTGACAGTACATTTGCTAACATTAACATTTTTAACTTCTTGCAGTTGATTTCGAAGCCAAACAGCAGAGGTTATCCTATTCTGCAAACTCATGGACACCAAAATCGATCATCTCTTTGGTTGGTGATACTTGTTTGTTTGGATCATCTTCTATTGATCTCCCGCTTTACTCGACCATCTTGTATTAATGCTATAATTCTAGCAACAACAATAGGATCTAAATTATGACCAGTTAAATATACACCTTAGATCTAAAATACACCAAAACAATCATAAGTTTTATGAAGATAAATGAACATTATTCTGGAAAGTATCTAACGTTTGAATTTTTAATTAGGCCGAACTTACGTTATTTCAGAAAAAGTCGAATCTACGCTGACAATAACTGACAGATAGCAAATATCTCCTACTAGACCGACGATTCGGTACTAAACTTTTTCTTCCAAAGTTTTGATCATTTGGCAATATTGGGTGGTTTGACAGTTTGTTAGTCCGACAGGGAGGTGCGATTTGGTAAGTTCAGAAGAAAATATCGATTAGGCATCAGGGTGGGATTAACATTCATTTGTTATAAGATTAGACGTCATTTCAATAACAGTGTGTATATTTGATAAAATGAGTTGAAACCGACATTCAACATAGTCTGGGATTTCCATGACTTGGTTTAGCCATTCACATTCTACACTTGGCACCATAGGTTTAGTTTACCTATGAAAACTGGAGTTGGGATGATTTCACACATTCCACAGCGCAGATCGATTTTATGTCGGGTCGTTAAGTCTTAAATGGTAAGGTTAAAACTTAAAGGCTTAAGGCTAATGTTGTTCTAAAATAGATTATTAGCGGATCTGTATTGTACCTGTGATATTATCGTGGCTATCAAGCTATAAGCTATCTCCAGGGCCGTACTCAACAGGTTAAGGTTAGCTCGTTTCTCTCCCCCAACGTAATATCTGGCGTGCCTCAGGGGTCCCATCTGTGGACAAAATTGTTTCTTCTTATCATTACGTTTCGAGCTGCACTTTGAGGATGTCATTAGCTGGGCTAAATGTATGTTGGGTCTGGTTGGAATATCTGGAATTTTTGAAAATTTCGGATGTATTGTCAAGGACTTCATATGTCCGTTCTATCTTGGAGTATGGATCAACAATCTGGTCTCTTTTTGACGAAATTCATAAACACCGAATTGAGGTTGTGCAGAACTAGTTTTTAGGATATCTTAGATATAGGATGGTCCAGAGTGGTTTACAAATGAATATCATTGAATTGGGGGCTTCATGGCCTGGCTATTCTTGAGGACCGTAGAAAATTTCTGTCTGTCTTTTTGTCTCCTGTACTATGTAATACAGGACATGCTCAGAATATGCCTTTAAATAGGCTGGTCTCCTTTGTAAATCAATACAATGCCATTGATTACCTCGGTGTTCCTTTAAACACCTTTAATTTTTTTTTTGTTAAATTGATTTGAAGTACTGTCATCTGAATGATACGTATTTTTTTACTGTCCATAGTTTGTTACTTTCTTTTTGTTGTTATATCCCAGGTTGCTTATAAGCTTATTAATATTTAAGAGATTTGTAAAATGGTGTAACCGTTGAGAGAATAAATAAATTAATATTATCTCAACTACTATTATTTTATTTTCTTCAAGTTCAGAAAATTGAATGCAGCATTCTGAATTTTGGAATGAAAATTCTGATTGAAAAAGAATACAGATCTTTGTCAGACACATTAAATCACTCAATTGCTTGACAGAAGTTTGAGAAATTGATCAATCATAAATTTGAGAGGTTTGTTCACTTGCGATGTTTTTAGGTAACCGGGGTAAGGCGACAAGTTTCTACGATTCGTCGTCTGACGGAGCATTGGCGGGCAGTCTTGCCAACATTTTGAAACAGGCGGGACAGGAGGTACCTGATTTCCTGAGTAGTGGCGGCTACGGATACGGTGATTCTAATGACAATTTCGGCGGTCGTGATATTCGTGGGGTAAGATACTGTTTTGTTAATTAAAATTTAATCATTATAAGCACTATAATATCTAGTAAAATTTTCAAATTAAATTGAACAATTTGCAATTACTGAAAAATGGATAAACTAAATAATATTAGTTAAAGAATAAATGTTTGTTTCTTTTATTGTCCTTATTCAGAAAAAAAATGAATTAAAAAATCTTAAGAAATGTTACGTTTGATTTAAATTTCTATGAAAAAGTATGTATACAAATACATTATTTGGTGGTAGCATTTACGAACATTTTTTTAACAACGCGCACATTTAGTGTCACCATATTTTTGCCTCTATAAAGAATAATTAGATTGGTCAAAATTGGTTTGTAGAATAAACAGCCAGAGTAAAACAATTTTTGGGTTTTTAAAAAGTATTCAGTTCAAGTACAAGGTACACTTCCAATGTCAAAATGGAATCTTAAAAATTATTTTTTTTTTAAATGAATTTCAAATTTATTTTTGCTTTCAACTAAAGTCTACACCTATTTGTTTGGGTAAAGTTTTTTAAGATCTCAGTTACTGTTAGTTACTATTTTAAAAAATTTCAGCCATTCATGGGAAGGTAGCGTTTGATGTTAATAGTCAATTTTTTGCGTTAAATATGTACCGAATGTAGTGTATATCCAAATACAAAATTTCTCTATTCATAAGAAATAAACTAGTGTAGGTTTAACGAATTGATTTAAAAAGTTGATATTATTATTTCCAGGATGACTTTGGCCGTGCTCAAAACATGGCCACTCAACCCGCTGAAGTCGTTGAAGAGGATTGGTAATCATCTCGATCCCTTTTTCATTTTTTTGTTTAGTTGTTCATTGCTTTATATGCTGGCGCAAGACATTTCTATTTATGTTGCTCGTTTTATGATCTGTTGTTTGTTTGGGAGTACTTGTATTAATTATATTATGAATACTTGTATTAATTATCCTACCAACAATTTACAACTTGAATTTTCTTTTTCTTTTTTTATTGATGTTTGAGTTTTTCATGTTTATTTTGATTTTCTATATATTTAATACTTAATTACCATATAACCAATCTGTGATACTCACCGGCAAGCAGAGGGGAGCTAATAGTTAAGTGTTATATGGTTTTCATAAAATATGTTAAGGCATTCCTGATGAAAAACACAATTAAAAGGTAGTTTAGGTTGTTTATGAAATTGAATAAATGTTGGTTTCTTAAACTGTGTGCTGATTTTGCTTTTATTTTGGGTATCAAAAACTCATTGTTTTAATTTGGTTTGACAAACTTGTTAGAGATATAAAGTCTAGACGTCAATTTCAATGTTGAAAAAATTCTTGGGAAAATGTGATTTATTATTAACTGAAAATTTCAAATGAGTATTCCTGCGGTAAATTGTTGCTTATCTCATTTACTTTTTTTCAAGAAATTGTTTAAAACAAAAATACTAAAAAGTAAAACCCGGTAGCCCTTTAGAATCTAAGTATATAACCAGAATTTTAATCATGTTAAAAACAATGGTAGGTGATAAAATAAACAAGACATAAATGTGAGTCCATCTTTAGCTTTATTATACTTAAAAGTTCTTTCAATGATTATTCAAGTAAATAAAGGGACCAAAAACTGGCAGACCACAAAATTTATAAACAAAATGAATAACCAATGGAATTTACTTAATATTTATATTTCAAAATCAAAATTTGACTCAAACAACTACTTTCTCTTTTCTGGCAGCTTCTGAACTGGCTTCACTTTTCTCATATTCACTAATGAGAGCTTCTACTTCATTTGCTGCAAGAATATGAATGATGGTCTTGTTATTGACTCGTGTCAATGTTGCCATCTCCACTAAAAAATTAAGTTTTATATTTTTACTAAGAAGTACTATGATGGGTGTTACCTTTTTCAGATGTTAATTTTGTCATATCCAAAGTTTTTATCAACACTTTTATTGCCAGCGCTTTTGCATCTTTTAAAGTCATTTCTCCCTCTTTATATTCCTGTTTTAAACTTGAAATTGCTGCCTAAAAACAAAGAGGGATTTGAGTTACTAGAAAAAAAAAACATTATTAACTGTACAAATACCGAGCTATTATTTCCTATGCATGTAGCCTTCCAGCCACTGTAGTTTCCACTGGGATCAGATTGATACAGCTGATACCCATAATGCTTATCCCACCCCATATACAGAATTGAAACTCCAAATGGCCTTTTCCCACCATACTGGGTATATGCTTGCTTTACATCACAAAGCCATGATACTAATTGTTCACAAGGAATAGATTCACCATATTGGAACAAATACCTCTGGCCGATAAGTCGCAGTTCATTAGTGAGCACATTTGCGTCGGACGTAATGCCAGCTACACTACACACCATATCACTAAAATGAATTTTTGGTATGTAGTTGCAAAACACACTATAAGACCACTTGCATTTAACACACTTTGGTAAAAAAACTATAAAAAATTCTTACTCATTAAGTTTATAAATTTTTTCAGAGACAAATACTTCATCCAAAAGTTTATTTGTGTTTCGTCGCTCTGCTGCTAGTAATATACCATCATTTGCCAAAATACCTAAACTAGTGCCGGCTAATGAAATAGCTTCCATAGCATATTCAACTTGATATAGTCTACCTTCGGGCGAAAAGATAGTAGTCCTGGTATCATACCGGCGGGCCTAAAAGATTAAAATTAAAAAAATTTGTAAGCAATGTTTTCTTATGACAAAAAGTTTTAAGTGGTCAGCAAAATAGTAATTTTATTTGGGATTCTTACCATTTTTAATTTCTTTTTAGCAGGGTAATTATTTTTCTAGGATTATACAAACTCCAACAACTTTTTTCTACTTTTCGAACAACTTAGGATGATTTGCAATAACAAAAATCACACAACCACAAAACCCTTAGGTTATATGCATAGCATAAATTTTGGTATTTTCAGTTTTTGGATTTTAACGGCAGCAGAACCATTAGCATTGGTTCAGGGTTCTGAATTTCGGCTCCATGGTATATATTGAAGTGAAATTTTTTGCCTGTGGCTACATTTTTAATTTCCTTATTCTCTGGTATGATCAGAGCAGTCGTGCCCACTTGGTATGAAACGAAAAAAAATTCTCTGGTAGTTCTCCCTTTGTAAATAGACAGCTGTCAAACTGTCAACCTTGGGTCGCCATTAAATATTTTGGAGAAGTTAGTTATTTTCCTTAACATACAATAGAATTTTGGTATATTTTCCATCATAATCTCAAAAGGTTTAATGACGTTATAGCGACATATTATTATTGATTCTTCGGATTTAAAACCAAAGTAATAATATAAAGTACGTTTGTAGCAACCTACTCTGTTGATCATTTGCATTTTACCTGTTTATTAGTAATGACACTCTTATTTAATAGTTTTATTGTCGTTTTTAGCTCACGATGAATGCCGATCCGCGAAGACCAGATAAAGTCCAACGTTATGTGGCAAAAAATAACTCCAACGCAGAAGATCTGACTCCTGATTACATGAATATTATGGGTAAGATATTTTTAAGGAAATTCAAAAGGAGATGCTAAGTAACTTACCATTTGGTATGTTAAAGTCTTTGCCGCAAATATAGTAAGAAAAATAAATTAAATTTCTGGTTTAAGGAAATTTAGTGAAATTGTGATAAAAGTAGATAGTTCCACTTTCAGTGACTGGAAAATTTGAGCTTATACGTGGGTGCAAACAATTAAGCAACTGTGTCCTGATAATCATTGTTTTTGAAAATGATTATGCTATCTAACAAAACTGTTAAAAAGAAATTAAATTTCTGGGTTTGAAACAGCAAGTTTTAGTAGAAGGTGAATATAATTTTACAATTTTTATTTAGTGACCTGAAAATCTGAGGTTATGTCTGGAAGAAAGCAAATAAGCAATTGTAACCTGGTAATCATTGTTTCTCAAAATGTTTGTGCAACTATTTTATTTAGGGTTTTGCGTTCCCTTCTACTATGTAGAATACCTTGTAGTGTATTGCCTGCGTTTTTAAAAAATTCGAAAAGGAATATGTGCACAGGTTAAATGTTGGCTAGCAGAATAAAATTCCAAAGGTTTATGCTTTTTGAAAAATTATAATTTAAGAACAAAATATTGATATAACAGGGGCAATGATTTGTAAATCTAATCTTTCATTAATGGTGTTAATGCATGCTTGACTAAGACCATATTGGGATGTGTGGGTACCACAAGGATGTAAGTAATTTTAATATTTGCATTCCGTAGGTCAGCAACCGACCACGGCAAATGCAGCTGGCGAGGTGATTGAAAAACAGCCAGATCCACCTACAACTGGTGAGCCGAACCTTCAAGTACGCCCTACAGCCCTTGAAGAGGTTCAGTCTCTAAATAATGAACTTGTTGCAAGCAATGCCGCTAATGTGATACCCACCAGCCCTCAATATGGTGTTGCCATTATCTCCAGTAATGTAACAGTTCCAGCGGTGCACGATTTTCCCGCAGAAACTGTCTCTTTGCCTATTGAAACCAGTGTGGACACAACTGCAAAGGCAGACGATACTAAAGATATTCATCCGGCTCCCAGTCGAAATGATAGATTTAAAGTGGTTAAAATTGCTAGTCTAGAACCTTTCAAAAGAGGTAGATGGAAATGCATGGATTATGTGGACGAAGCGCCTCCACCAAGCGTTGTTAATAATACTACCAATAAAACACCCCAATCTACAGGTAATGCTGGAGTTAGTGGAGGTGTTTATTTACATTCACAAAGTCTACCGCCTCAGCAAATTCAGCAGATGCTTATACAAGGTGGATTTACCAATGGTACTCAATTTTTTCCTACCGTACCAGCCCAGCTCCTGCCCCAAGCTCAGTACTTTTACCCCCAAGTCGGCAATATGCAAAATCAAACGATTCCGCAGCCTGTAGCATCAACTATGCCTGCCCAATTTATTAATAATCAAACTTATTTCCCTACTGGAGTTGTGACTAACCCGGCGGGTTTTGCATTACCTCAAAGTTATCCCAATATCCAATATGTTCCAATACCAACTCAGGGAGGAGCATTTGTGCCCACTTCACAAACTGTGCAGTTGCCAACAAATTTTCCACAAAGTCAGACTTTTGGAGGTCAGGCAAGTGTGTCTCAAGCAAATATTGTTCAGCCCATTGTAAATGGCCACAATTATACTCAACAATCTGATCAACAAATGACAAGTCAGGCTGTGAAAAATGTGGTAGTCAATTCAATACCCAGTAGTCAGTCCCAACAACAGCCCGCAGTGCAAAATCAACCATCACAGTCCCTCATACAGGGGCAGCAATATCAATCACAAAGTGGTACATACCAACAGGGGGCCTCTTTACCCAATCCCCTGACTCAGACTCAGCCAACAAGCCAAACTCTAGTTACCAGTGTAACAACCACCCCTACAGTCATAGCCGCTCCGGTAATAGCAGTTCCTCAACAAATACAACCAAATAATGATGCAAATAATGTTTATACAAATCCTCAGTTTGCTATGAGTGTGAATAGTTTAACAGTGTTAGGAAATAGTGAGAACCCTTTGGACGCTAATGAACCAAACAGTGTGGCCGAAACAGTGGGTGATGGTACAGAAGATCCATCAAAAAGCAATCCTGTTGTCAATGCGATAGACAACAAAATCGAACAAGCAATGGACTTAGTCAAGAGTCACCTTATGTACACTGTAAGTATTAGCTTTTATTTTACAGTAGTAATTATTAAGTAAAAGGTTCTATAAATTGCTGGATTTTTTAATTTTTATATTTTAAAAGCAATCTCAAAACAGAAACATTCTATCTGTGGGTGATCAAGTTTTAATGTTTGCGAAATAGAAATTATATCACAAAAATGCTCATTATAATGATGGGGCAAAAAGAGGTTTGCCATGGTGTTAGGTGCCAAATTTCATCATCATTTACTTCATAAGTGGAAATATGAAAAGGATTTATATTTTTTACAATTTTAAACCCCAACGAAAACAAACACACTATTTAGTCATTCTAATTACAAAAGAGATTCACCAGTGCACTGCACCGCACCTTATCCAACAAATCACACTTTTATTATTTAGGCAATTACCATTATACGCGAGCCAAAAATTAGGCAGATTGTTGGGGCTTGTATCATTTATATTATTGTTCCATTATTAAACCGACTAATCGCATTTGAGTTCATCAAATCCGAAATGAAATTAAAATTTATTTCGCCCGAAATAACAAAGTCACTACTGCTCACAATATGGGCCGAGAAGCGGTGTGTATGATCTCGCTCCGATTGTTGATTACGGTCGAGTTCTTGCAACGCCTGCAGACAGGGCGGAGCCCACCCATTCCGCCTGCTGGTCGGAGTTTCTGTCACTCTTTAAAATATAACTTAATTGTAATTTTTCCACATTTCTAGTTGTCTAATAGTGCGCCGGTGGTTCATATATAGGGTCAATATTTCTACATTCATCCTTGATTCCAATTTTCATGTCTGTTTTTGTGGTAGATGGTAAATTTTCTTTTGAACAAAACCCCATAAAAAGATGTCCAATTTTGTTAGATCCGCCATAGTTTTTACAGAAAATTGATAAAAGAATCGCCATTAACTTTGTTTAAAAAAAAAGGCCCAATAATGCAGTTTCCGATTATATCAGCCCACACAATAAATGAACTAGAAATAGAACGATCTAATCTGGGATCTAATGAATCTTGGGTTTCAAAATATAGTTGATGTACTATTTTTATGAAATCTTGCTTGGTCCGTGAATAAAATATAATTTAGAAAGCTACACCCTACTTTTTTCTAACGCCAAGCACACAAATTGGTCATTTTGATTTAGTTCTTGTACCAGCTGAATATAGTACGGTCGGATTTTATGTTTTTCGAGTTAATCTGTTTGACGTGAATTAAGCGACACCTAACACGTTTTCAATTTGTCTAAATGAAATAATGCAGGACCAACTATTCTTATAAGTGGATGTCAACTTCTTTATTTTAAATTGAACAACCAATATAGTAATGTTTTTTTAATTCCCGGAAAATTCTAGACATGTTTTATGTATAATGTCCTATACATAAATTTTACCGTTCCCACCATCACCATATGCAGTTAAGATTATGGAAACTCTCATATCTTTGATACTTTTTGTTTTTGTTAGTCTGCGTCGGTCCGTTAAGAGCAGACCAAATAAAAAAAAAGTAAAAAAAAATAATAAATTCATCCAGTATATCCGGATATGTCTTGAAAATATTTTAGCTGGATTGCCCCCACCATCAATAGTTTCATTCCAAATTTTTGCTAATTATAATGTCTACACACACTAGGATGTATATACTGCGGCAGTTTCATCTGTAATCCGTTGAACTAATGGACCAAATATTGATTCTTCATCAGGTTAGGGGTCCAGATTCACTCATCAAGTGATACGATGTGATTTCAGTAACACCCTGTATATTGTTCTTAGTAGACTCAAGTTGGAATTATTTGCAACTTATTCTTTTTGGGAAACGAGAAAAATAAGTATCCTACAAGACAGTCAATGGTGTTGAGTTTAAGCCCCATCGCCCTGAGATCGCACTTATCTGCACCTACTGCTCTGCGGACTCTCTTTTGGCAAAAATGAACCGAACCGAACTTCCAATCTACAGTTGAGAGTCGCACGTACTATATTTGTCAGCGTCTAAAGCTAAAACTGACCAAAATCCTTTGGTTCATAATCAATTTTAACAAATCCAAATAACCAAGTATAAATTAATAACAAAATAGTGTATTCGAAGTATTTTACCTAGCCTTATATTTGGGAGATCGAAAATATTATTTTCCCTTTTTTGTTTGCACACAGCAAATTGGGGTTGTTTAACTTTGATGAGTAAACAAAAATCATACTTTTACGGGGATTAGCCGCCCATAAATGAACACATTTTCATAGTTTGTATTAACCAAAGTGTTTTCCACTTTTCGTTTTGGTAAATAAAAGTCGATTTTAGCACTAGACAGTAAAACAATTTTAATATACAAACATTCAATTGTGGGAAAGCTCTCTTTTCACATCGGTTCGTGGGTAATGGTACAATAATACAAAGATTGTGCGGGGTTGAAATTGAAACAGCGTAGTTTTGGTCTGTGGTAATTAGAATAAATCATAATGTTGGAAGAAGTTTTGAACCTTTATCGGTAAGTGCGACAAACTTTCAGTAATTCTTTACAAAAGTTTGTTGTTTTATTGTTTAAATTTACTAATGAATAGTAAAAAACTTATGGGTCTCCGCCTTCCAATATTATGCCGTATTCTTAAACTTATAAATTCATCTTCTAATATTCAGGATTAAAGTGAATTTAGTTTCGCCTAATCAGTTAGTTAATTAGTTAGTAATGCAGTTAAAAATATATTTTTAGTGAACTTATAAACAATCGCTAATCTCGTTAAATTTTTATGTTCAAATGAGGTAGCCTACCTTCAGAGTGTTGTTAATGTCGGGTTAGTGTCTGGGCATAATTTTTTGAAGTTTTCTCTGGCATATTTTTTAATCTTCAAGTAATGTGTTTTTTTAATGTTTTAATTTAATGTTTTAATTTAATTTGTTTTGTGATGTGTATTTCACAGTAAAGCTATATTTCGCAATATAATAATTTTTAAATACTTTTTCAATTGTGTTTAGTACATGAAATTGTCTTTTTTTTTAAACAAATATATTATTACAGGATGCCTTGTTTCTTATATCCTTACATGCAACCTGTTAAACTTGATTTAGTTATTTGTTGTTTGTAAATATCCTATAAAATTAGGTATTAAGCGAGACAACTAGTCAGCACTGTAGTACTTTGAGTTGCGAGTTAACTGTAAAAATGTATCCATTATCTAACTAAACTGAAAGGAAAATAAAGCCAATTTACGATCTTATATTATTTTCATAATAAACGCTGCGCATCAGCTCTTTTTTAGTAAATTATAGATACCTAAATAAGATTTGTATTTAAAGTAGAATAATTGTACAGCAAAATGTACAGTGGTTCGATTGTCTTTCTCGATTAACTGTATTTTATCATTTTAGGTAAGGGAAGAAGTCGAGGTATTAAAAGAAAAAATCGCAGAACTCATGGAAAAAATACAACAACTAGAAACAGAAAACAATTATTTGAGGTCTCTGATACCGAAAAACCAAAGCATAACCTCCACTACGACAACAACCACCACCTATACAAATCCCGTGACGCAACCCCAACCATCTAACGTTTCTGCTGTACCATCTAATCCGAACGTAATTACGCAGAACTCGAACCCGGTCGCGGGCAATACCAACCCCAGCCCCGGCGTATCGATAACGTCGCTTCCCCCTAGTCAAACGGCAAGCATTCCTAATAACTCGACAATTCCGCCCACGCAAAAGGAGACATCAGGCAACGAATGATCCGATTCAATCGTTCGGCCAGTTTAAGCCTATTTTTTTTTGTATTGTTTCGTTTATTTAGCATCCATTAGTTGTATGTTTTATCGTATGTTTTCGACTGCCTTTTTTAGTATAGACTTATCAAATAGCTAAAAGGTAACTGTGATGGACGACTTCAAGCGGAGATTTGCCGGACAGACATTTTTGCTGTTGTTTTTGACTTCCTCGGTAAATTGTCGGGATATTTGAACCATACGAAAATTGAAAATAATGGTTTATATTAACCCGTTTCCTTTCTTTTGTTTTACTCGGAACCTTCAGTGGAAAAAATTGGAAAATCTCGCCCCACTTATGTTTACCGTTTACATTTGGCTAAGAAGAGGAGGTTTATGACGCAGGTCGTCGATTTATGAACTAACTAATTATTCTAGGCGGTGGGGATTAGTGTTTTCATATATCCGCTTACACCCCAATGGCGAGTTTTGTATGGAGAAAAATAATTTTCCAATTATAATTTAATAAATTAGACAAAAATATTGTTGAAGTCGTATACCATTTCGGTGTTTCAATGAATTTCCGGAAGAGCCTAGATTTGCCTATATTGATAGCTGTATGTATATCCTACACTAAGTTTGACCTTAGCGGATTTATAGATAGCAAGAGAAATGTATTGAAATGTAATGGGTAGGGAATTGTCAATAATTGAAAAGAAAAACTAGCAAATCGGTAGATAGGTCAATGCACGCCAAAGGTCAAACCCGCAGTAATATACTACAAAATGTTAGCACTGAAAATTTGTCAAACGTAGTATTGTTTTTCTCAATATCGTAGCACCTATGGAAATCTGGTATATGTATTTTAATCATATAACGTGTAATCATACTAGTATAGAAACAGCAACAAATTATTAGCCTTTTTCTATCGTTGTATTACTTTTGTATCTGATTGTTGCAATTTTGTGTTTAAAAGTAGATAATGTCTATTGAGTGATGTTGAAGAAATATGGATGTTTGAGGTGAGCTTCGCGTCGATGGTCTTTGTTTTGGTTATGTGTTTTGTCTCCTTTTCCAAAGTAGTTTTTTGCTCGGTTGTGCCAAATAATAAATAAATTAATCGCCTGATAAATATTCGAAATGAAGCTCATCCCATCCAGAGATTATATTTTTATGATCGGAATGGCGTTTATTGGCCGATAATAAACAAATTGTAAATTGTGTAAAATTTTGTAAAGTATGTAGATTATGGAAAATGAAAAACTTTATTTGAATTTGGTTCTGAATGAATCTGTGATTTATTTTGTATGAGTCTTTGTCGCTTTTTTGAAAAAAAAAATGTCAAACTATATATACATATATTAATTATATCTGCGATGCGTTTTATTATATTCCTCTACCACGATTCGGAGTAAATATGTAATGCTTATTCTTGACAAAGTGCTTTAGTATTCAATAATTTAAAAGAAATCAATTTTAGGTATGGTTTTCAGCATGTGCGGGCTTATGATGAGAATGAAGTGGTGTGCTTGGGTGGCCCTGTATTGTTCCTGTATAAGTTTTGCAAACTCTCAGATTACTGACGATACAAAGCAGGTATGTCTTATGTCTTCATTATGGCCGCGTTATAAGCGTGATGTTCCCTATGCAGATTTTTATTGAAAGTTGTGTAATAACAAAGTGTGACTGCTTTTGGTGTTGTTTTAGGTATTGAGCTCCTTTATGCTGTCAATCTCAGCAATAGTAATGTCATATTTGCAAAATCCTTCACCCATGACTCCTCCATGGGCTTCAGCAACAGATTGATTTATGAAACAAACTATGTAGTAACTAAATATATATGAAGTTTAAATTTTGATGGATTTTTGTTTGCTTAGAATTTTTTTTGCCCGATAAGGTGTTGTTAATATGTTATTTAAAGGAATGTTTCAAGACATGTTCGATCCTTCTTCACATCAAATAGCAACTAAAATATGACGTTGAGTTGGTTTATGTTTTAACGTTACATTCATCATGGTATCGTTATTTAAACAAACCAGTTGTCAAACACAATCGAATTGGTAGTTTTTCACTATAAGGGCGGTTTTTTCAGGATGGCGAAAAATAGGCAAAACAAGGGAAATTAGTTGAACTAATCTCATCTCCGACTTGAGATGCTTACTGCATTTCCTTCTAATCAATCTTTTATCAGGTATCTTGTTTATATCCTCTCATCTTTGTCGGTCAGTTATGACTGCCGAGTTTAGTTTTGGTTTTCAGTCAAATTCAAAGTTTTTACAACCGAAAATCGTGGGGCACACTGGCAGTCCTAGTCGCTACAAAACGATCGAATGAAAGACGAAATTTTCAATCAACTCCCGATAAAAATACTTTGGCACTGAAATCCAAATAAAGGTCCGAACAGTTCCCATCCCGCTGGAAGCTTCATCCGCTTCCTTTGAAAAAAAAAAACCAAAGATGACCTCAACACCCTTTTCGACGTTTGGCTCGTAAACTTCGACGGGACATTATTTATTTATTGGGGAATAAACATAGTTCTTAGCGGGAAAAGCTCGTTTCAACGCCACTATTGAGATAGATTTGAGTCGGTTTTGTTACGTTTTTGTAGGTCTATTCCTCTAAATGAAATATGACTATTCAATCTGCCTCTGCACAATTATTAATCTCGACGGCATTTAAATAACTCCGTCCATGGCAAAAGTGGCAAAATATGATATTGGCGGAGATGGATCTTTAAATCACTATCGGTTAATTTTATTTAATAAGTTAGTTGGTTCAATCGAGCGACGCAGTCATTCTGTTTAGACTAACACCCACATCTATTGCATTAACACAACATTCATGTCGAGTTTTTCACCAGATTAATTTGTGACGAGGAAGAACTTTAAACACAACCAAATGGGGCTGCAGGAAAACTAACAAAATTCTAATGCCAGTGATTACGATTTTTGCGCCAGTTCCAGCTTCAGTTCTTCAACTCATATTCCGCGGTGTGACTGTTTTGCGCTGCACTACTGTTCTAATTGTTTAAATGCCATCAACTTGAACAATTTTGCAGAGGCAGATGATTACATTTACATTTACATTAGTGGAATAGACCTACTGGGGAAACCACATAAAAAAAGACTGACCCAGAACTCGCATCTGCCTTAAAGGTGGTGTGGAAACAAGCGCAAAGTACAGAATCATACGTATAAAAAAATATATTACTAGCACTTGTTCATAAATATTTTATTTTAAGTGGCCCTCGAAGAGGTCGAGTTATGAATGTTGGGTAGAAGATATGCAGTTTTATGTAGAATTTAAGGTGTTTTTTTGAGCGAAAGGGGATTAAGTTCCCTCTGTGGAGAGGGGAACTCTTCGGATCTATAGTTCCTAGTAAGAGTTTTGGTACAGTACCAAAAAGTCTTATTTTACTACACCGCGAAGTAAAAGTTTTGGTTGGTTAGTTAGTTTAGGATTTGGTTCGTGTATGAACTTAAAAATAATGTTTAAATCTTATCAATTTTATTAGGATTCAAGAATTGAATTAAAAACCGCAAAAACTAGAAGGAAGACCACAATTTGTGCTTCGAAACGGACTGAAATATTTTAGTTTTTTTTTTCAAATTCTTAAAAAAAAACAAGAAAAATGAAATTTCTCTATAATTTACCAATAGCGAGTTTAAGTATCTACCGATAATGCAGTAAGACGCTAGCACTGAAAATTTTGTTTGTGGCTTCTGTCGATTCCGAGCTGTGGCCATACAGGTAAAGTTCGCTGAACGATATACCGTTTTTACAACCTGTTATGGTTTTGACTTCGGGATGAGTTTAATACCCGCCTGTTGTAAAGCGGTACGTGTACGGCAAGCTAGGGCCGTATTTAAGACGTTAGCCGACCAAGAACTGTGCCGTGCGGACTGTTTGTATTTTAAAAGTAGGGAAATTTTCTTTGATTAAACTGTTATATTAATTCATAAATCTTTCTAAAACATTGAGGTAGCTCGATTTCAAGTTGAATTTGCCCATTAGATAGGTTGATCTCCTATTTTAAAACCACATTAGAAAACTTAAACTGATTTCAAATTTAAGGGTTTTACATAATGACATTAAAATATTTTCCTAAGAAAGCAATACAAAATCTTATATAGATAATTGATTTATTATGGATGTTTTCGCAGTTTTTCTATTGGTTGATTGTGGTGAAATTGGAGTATGCTGTCACTTTTATGAAACAGTATTAGTATTAGTATCAGTATTAGCAGTCGAAGTTTTGAAGTTATTTCTATTTTTTGCTTGAAAATGATATGTATTTTGAAAATTCTTTGTTAAAGCGGTTATTGGAAGTTCTTAAAACGGAAACGGAAGTATAATGTGGACAAGTTCGATATGGAGCAGCGATTAAAAATTTTTATTTTAAGAAAAAACAACAAATCGCCAGAAATTTAGTTCTGGGGAAATACGATTAATTAGAAGCGAAGTAGAAAAAATAACTGGTTTTAGTTGGAAAAAATGTGCGAAGAAGAAAATGTTTACAGAAGGTGACTAGAATTAATTATTAATGTGGGGGACGAACGCAGTGACTAGTGATTATTTTAATTGATATTCTAACATTGTTTTATAACTACATTTACTCCCTCATCTATATTTATAATTAACATTAAAGTAAGAATGGATTTTTTACTGCATGGAGGAATGTCGCCGATGAAACTACACAAACCCGCCAGCCAGTCATTGTGGAATTGCGAATCTATTCATTGAAGATTACAAAGAGAAACCCAAGCGAGGTAGGCCTGGGGTTAGACCTTCATACAAATTTACCAAAGTTAAATACCGGATTATGTGGTAAAAACGGTATATCTTTAGAGAACAATATAAAGGAAGTGAAAATTACTTATTAGGATTACGAATCCTCAAACTCAAACTAACCCCTATAAACACGACCCAACGCATCACTTGGAAGATTTATAATTAAAACCTCACAACAAACATAATCTATGTCGCAACAAATATGATTTTCAAGATTTAAAATTAAAAGTTTCCCTTGGAGTTTAAGTGAAATAAAACGAATATCAATTTATTATTCATAATTTTGTTAATAAACAGGTATATTGCCCTCTCGACAAATTGCAAATGAAAATGGTAACAAAAAATGTCATTAATCAACAATCAACTATAAACAATTAACGTTTCTCACATTCTTACTGTCTACAAACACAGCACTTACTCTGTTAGAGTGCAACGTCCCTATATTTTTGTACATCTTCCGCTGAATTATTACTCAAAGAGTTTTTACTATTCATTTTATCGACTTGCTTCTTGTAAATTAAAAAATCAGGTCCGTCCAAAGGACCGTAATAGATAGGCACGCCGTAACTCGCAACAGGTTGCGCATAAAACCCCGCACTATTTCTGATCACACGACTACCCCTGTTGATATCATGCAACGCATCCATCGATTTGCTTTTTGTTAGTTTGTTATTGTTGTGGATTGGGTAGCTGATTTCAGACATTGTGCCCAAATTGGGCATTATTTCTTTGTCTTGATCTGCATCAGTTTGGGAACCCCAATATTGGGCATTTTTCATTGCCGGTTGATCGATGTAGCGTAGATCCATTAAAGAGTAAGCTTTCTTTTCTGAAAATTTCGAATATCATTAATATTACTATATTATTTACTACGAAACTCACCAAAGCCATCATTACTTCCGTAGTGTGTCATAAAAACGCTGGCATTGAACTCGCTCTGGGCTGCATAAATTGGGTAACCATCAATGGGGGTAAAGTTATTTGCAAATTGATAACTCCACATTTGTTGCATAGATCCAGACCTAAAGTATACATTAAATTTTTTTTTTGCATATTGCATATGCATATATTATTCTAGACGATACCTTGTTAACAATTCATTGAAATTATTAACGGATTGTTCGTACCCAGCATTTTGGTAAAATGGTGCCGTGAACGGAGTTGTATTTGCTACCGTTCCAGGTACCGTTAAGTCTCTTAATCTCTTATCATCTAGTTCCTCGTCTTTCCACGTCGTGTAGAGAGACTGGACTAGTATTATTTCTATAACGTTTACTATTATCCTCAGGAGCCAACATGACAGCTCCGTTATTCCATATATGTGTGCTGTGCCCTGAAAATAGGCAAAGGTGAAAACATGATTTAGCGATTATACTTATATATAACAAAAACTTTAAAGAAATCAATTAATACAGAAATGGAACGTAGTAAAGTATCATATTATCAAATAAGAGGTTATTTATGCAAAACTATTATTGCATACAAACCCTTTAAAAATGCGTTTACTAAAGATGTAAACTTGTCCAGGCACATCTAGAAATTTTGATAAATTCAATACCTGCACCTGACTTATGGTCATTTTCAATGAGTTATAATAAGATGCCAATTTACTAAACCTGATTTCTTTATAAACTTGAATAATCGTTTCAAGGTCTTCTAGTGCTTCAACCACTGCCGCTCCTTTCACAAGGGAAAGCTGATTCCCTCACAAAAAGGTGTTAGTGTATCGGATTGGAGAGGTTGCCTGACATGTGAGTGAGAGAGGAACAATCCTTTCACGGTGTTGTACCTCCAGCCTTTTTACCGTACGTGCTTATATCGTTCATTATGGTGTGGTAAATGGAGTGGGTGCTATTAAGTTTAAAAATATACTCATTTTTTTTTGTATCAGAAAATTTTTTATGCGGTTATGGAAAGGAGGTTGGAATCTCGGAAACAGTAGAAGCTATAATGTCGGGGAGGTTACAGGACCTCCCTCAAAAATGAGGAGGTTTTGCGGTTAGAGAGTGAGTGAGATGTGCAGAAGTACGCGGGATTATCCTGTACCTCTAAAAACTTTGAAAAATCTTTTTGCTAATGTTTTCTAACCGATGATGGCGAAATACGCATTTACATAAGGTGCCTCGACAAGCTCAAAACGAAGATGCGCCATTTAAAATTTGTTGATATACCTATTAGAAGCCAGAATTGAGACTTGTAATTTGTAATAAAAATACATTGAGTGCATTTATTTAAAATATGAATAGTAATGAGAAGACACAAACAATATTTGCACATCCAATCGTTAGTTTAAAACACAGACGACCAACTATATATACATATGGTTTATAACAATTTACATAATTTTGGACGTACAACTCTGGCCTGAACTGACATTTAATTTGCTGCGATATACTTATGCTTTATTTTTTAAAATTGAAAAATATATTCACTACTTCTACAACTTTTACAACAGCTGGTACGGTTTCTCTTCATTTTTGGTCATGGCAGCAAAAAAATGATACGAAGAATTTCTATTCAGAATTAATCGGCATATCGACGTGTCTCGAGGGTTCTCTTATATTACTTCGGTAATACTAGACTTATGCACAGGGTGTTTCGAAATTAAATTAAAAGTTAATATAAACTATGGTCCACGACTTCTTCGATTTTAAGATACATAGTGTTAAAAGAGACCTAAATACGAATATGCATTTTCGAAAAAAATATGATAAAAAAATAAAATGAAAAAAATAAAATTTGGAAATTACTGAATGGACATTAACCTGTATTTTCTATATGGGCGTGGGGACATAAAAAAAATTAATTTAATTTTTCAGTTGTTAGATTTTGGTATTTTTCAAAATGTATAATGAAAATTATTAAAAATTAGCGATTATAATATTGGAGTGTAAAAACTTTGGTAACTGTCCAAGTTCAATTTAATTACTTTTTACTTTACCAAGTAAAAGAGGAAATTTGATAGAAAGTTATCCTGCATCAATTTCCAATGATTGCAAAAAATTTGTTATCTTGTAAAAATAAATTTAAGCCTTATATACAACCTAATAATTATTCCAAACACATACTTTATTCTTCGATTTTAAGAAACTAGAAGCAGATGTTGAGAGGGTTCAGTGATCATTTTTAGATGAAAGGGTTGGTCGCTCAGATCGGAGTTTTTCTTGTAATGTTAAAAACTGAAAATTGGAAGTTCTTTTCTAACTTTTTTAATTTCAATGAAGCTGCATTTGCATTTTAAACGACATCTGACATCAAAATTTTTACATAAATCAATAAAAAAGACATACAATGACAAATCTCAGTCCCATTGCCAATGTTTGTGATAATCTTACATTTCTTCAAATTCGTAAAAGAGAGAAGAAGTAAAGTTGTGCTGTGAAAAGACCTACCCAGTAGTCGACACTCATATAAATGACAAGTCCAGCTTCCGGAAACGTCAGGATTGTGGTTGAAAACATCCAAGTTATGAGGCACAGCGTGTTTTTCTAAAAAAAGATTTTGCTATTAAAAAATGAATGATGTACATTAAAATTTTCTCTCAAAAATGACATTTTGAGGCCAGGCTGCGTAACGCGAGACAGAGGTTTAATAAGTTATGGTTTGTATGGATACAAATAAAAAATTTTCTCATACCTACATAGCGAAAATTACGAGAGGCACTGTATATTCTTCGGTATGCATATAATATTTAGGGCGGAAAATATAAATGATCTCATAAATAGCAACAGAAATTTAAAACAGCAATATACCGGGTGTTTCAAAGTTTCAAATGTTTTGATAGCTTGTGAATCCTTATGTTGGTTAAAAATGTAATTGACTAATAGAGAAGAATGATAAAATGACGTCGAAAAAGTATGGGAACCAGTGTTGCGCAAGACAACAACCTCATCAAACCTCGTTTAAATTATTCGATAGAAATCTCGTAGAGTTTGGTTCGTTTAAGAAATTTAAACTAAACTCGTTTCGTCACTAGCAGGGACTCGCAAGCTACCAAAATATTTGAAAAATGATTGAAAATGAAAAAACATATTGTTTCATTTCGATTGTTTGAAACTATAAAGGTAACTTTTAATACATAGTTAAAAGGGTAAAAAATCCAATATGGCGTCCATAAGAAAAATTAAAGTCGATGGTGGTTTAAGAAAAACGAAACGTAGTACGAGATTTTTCACTTCGACAAAAGATGAAACTCAAATAGTTCCAATGGGAATGTATTTGCAGCCTTTTTTCTAAATTTTAAAATAAGCTGTTACAAAAAAAATAAATTGGAAACCGGAAATTACATTTTTAATGAAATTTTTATCAGTCTAGCGCCGGTCTAACATTGCCCAAATTTGAGCTACCCTGTATTTTTTACCACTTCCGAGATTTCACTGGGAAAAGTCGACAACATGTATAATCGGGCTGTCCGCCGTCATAAAAATATAGTCGGATGGCCCTCATAGACTTTAGTATAATTCGGAATTTTTAGTCGTCATAGTTTCCTTATAAAAAGATAGATGAAATTCTACGTGGAACACCCTGTATAATTGCTAACAATGAATATCTTGGTAGGTAATAAGTAGTACGATAATTTGGTATTTATAATAATAAGTTACGCCGGTAAGTAGGTAAGTGATTGAAAATCTAAGGAAATAATTTTCAATTTTTTTTCGTAATCGAATAGATCGTTTAATAATAATATTGCCGGTCTAGTTTTTCATCGCGGTCGACATTTCCTGTGCATATTACTTACGTGCGATATTCGCTATATCGCCATTATAATATTCAAATTGTAGAAAATAGAATAATACCCCCTCCTATGATACATCTGGTTATTACAGTAATGCCATTTTAAATATGCATTTATTTATAAAGAAAGTATGTATAATAATTCCTAATTGTTATCCAAACAACCGTAAGGAAATGAAACGCAAGTATTACATTATTGTAGCTATTGTTAATTAAAAAGCCAAACATTTACTTTTTCAAGGATACACAGGGTGTGTAGCAACTTGTATCTGATAAATTAAGGCGTTTGAGACATACATTCATATCTTTTTTATCTTTATCTTTAAAAAAATTATCGCTTTTAATAATAAGACGCCATCAAGTAACACCCTGTATATCATACGGTCAATGAAACCCAATGTCAGTTAAGTCCTACTGGACTTTGTTATCTTTGTTCAAGCTAATAGTTTATGTATTCAAAACTTCCGCTTTCGTTTGTACTGTGTTGTGGTCACTTTGAGGGTTCTACAAGGTGACGCCAACCAACCAGGGTGTGTAGCAACTTGTATCTGATAAATTAAGGCGTTTGAGACATACATTCATATCTTTTTTATCTTTATCTTTAAAAAAATTATCGCTTTTAATAATAAGACGCCATCAAGTAACACCCTGTATATCATACGGTCAATGAAACCCAATGTCAGTTAAGTCCTACTGGACTTTGTTATCTTTGTTCAAGCTAATAGTTTATGTATTCAAAACTTCCGCTTTCGTTTGTACTGTGTTGTGGTCACTTTGAGGGTTCTACAAGGTGACGCCAACCAATTTTCAGTGAAAAATTTCGTTTCGAAGATACCGTCATGGAATTTCGTTTTTCTATTAACATCTAAAAAAGTCCAGCAGCTATTGCAGCTATTTAAAAAAAAGCAAGTTTAATTTCCCAAATGAACTTCCACTACTGTAATACTTATACTTTTTACAAAACCTCTGAATTTCTTCTGCGTCGGTCTTTGTTGAGTCGAATGTTTCGTCAATCATCCTGTTGGCTTCTTTAGAGTTCGACTGAAACTGTTTCAGTCAGTCAAGTCCAAAGGGATGATTGGGGAAACGTTACCCAGTTCGACTCAATAAAAACGGACGCAGGGGGAATCCAGAAGTTTTTTAAAAAGTATTTAAGTATCTACATTCGCATTTCGAAACAATATTGCGTTTTCAAATATCAGTTGCATCGGATTTTTCTGTTAATTTGTCAAAAAGGTAAAAAAGAACTCTATTAGAACTTAGCGTAATGAGTTGTTCTACATTTTTGAAACATGTATTGGAACACTCTATATATTCACGAAATTAATTTGCCTTTTTAAGGTCTCAATAAACAACAAAAACAATCCCATTTTCCATATTTCGTATTCAAAATTTTGCTGCTTTCAATAGTTTATTTTGCGAGCAAATTAAAATGATAAATTTTGGTCACTGCAATTCATTCATATTTATATAAATTTTGTATTTTATTTTTGGTACCTATAAATGTAAGTAGTTGGCTAGAACTTTATTGTGCAAATATATCAATACATATATTTATACATAGTTGTTATATGATGTATTATCAAAAAAGTTTAATAAACACTGTTTTAGTCAGTAGTTTGATTTGGAACAGTGAGGGTAAATAATGAAGCTAACGCTTTATAATATAGCTATTAGATAATATAGTGGCCCTACTATAGTAGCAATATTTTGAGGAAATACTGCCGTAAAAATGCTGCATCCAAACTTATTGACGATTCGTAAGCGGCCATGTTGTTTGTTAAATGCCGCAAGGTCACTGGTTAAAAGCAAGACTTTAAATTTCGCGTATACGCATGTTGAATGTCAACATTTTTTCATAGCTTCATAAGCTTCTGTGTTATCAGAATAGACAGGACCTCTATATCTCTAGGAGCTACATGCTTTATGGCGACACGCACGCTTGAACACTGTATATTGGGTATTTTATTAATAACAAATGCTGCAAATGTAATATATTTTTTATTTGCGTACCATGGAAAAGAAAATAAAAATAAAAACATTGAAATTGCTTCATCTTAGATAATTTGGCGGCATATAATCGAATACACTAACTTGTGATAATTCATTATTTCCGCTTTCAAATGGAAACAATACCTCTCTATATCTATATACTTACTGTCGCTATTCCATGTAATAACAGTGCGCCAAAAAGGCTTAAAGCAAAATATCCGGCTGCTAACAGAACGGCGGCAGCCGGCAAGATATGCTTCGCTTCCAGAATCAGCCAAAGCAGTTCAAAAGCAAACGCTATTAAGTAAGCTATCTGAAACAATAGGTACGTTTTTTTACCGCTATCAGTATTACATGTATAATAACTCTTCACAAATATATTATGGTACAAACAATTTATTCTTGAAATGGAAATTTTGAATTTTTGGTAGAAAGACTTGTACCCAAAAATTTTGTATGAAAATTGGGAAAATGGAGAAAAATAAAGACAAAATAAAAAGGTATGATCGATGCCAGTGTTGATGTTCTATGATATCTGATCTGAAATTGTTCGTTTTTTTTTGTTTTCTTTATTAGGCAGCATTTTAAAAGGGCTTAAAAAATTGAGTTATTCGCATTTGAAATAGTAATTAAGATGCATAGTTTTGACTACACTTTTATGACGGTTTCCGTCCCTGTTTCGCTGATGGCGCGAATCTTTTTACTGCTCATATCGATTTTTCCTTTGAGTCATATTTGATATAAAAACAATTAAACATAGAACCAAAATTTTAGCAACCAGCCAAATATTTCCTCGAGAAAAGGTGTGCTCTATATGGTATCGCTAAACCTAATAAGCTGTTCCTGTTAAACGTTGATTATTTAGTCACGGTTTTATCCTTAAATGAAACTGATATGGTAACAAATACCACAAGTAAATATGTATAGACAAAAATAAATATCGTTAGAAATGTCTAGATTGTATCGTAAAGAAACCACGATTCTCAACGTGATTGTGCCTCTCATAGCACCTTTCCGACACTTTGGTAACAAAGTTATTATCAATTATATTATGGTTATTATCGCTAACTTTTAAACTTTTAAAATGATCAAAAACCATTATTTTATAAATTTTTTAATGACAATCAATAGTTTAATGTCAACATTTTTGTTAGTTTTGGAGATACTTATTTATAAAAATCGTCGAAATTTACTGTGTCAAATATCCAGAAATACCTAGATTTTAGGTAATACCTGTAACATTTGTTTCCAAAAGTAAAAGCTAAAAAGTTATAAAAATTTTTTCTAAAATTAACTGATTTCTAGATATTGACCAGAACTAAAAAAAACAGCTAACCTAACAATTTTTAACAGGTCTCAAAATTGACATTATTAATGAAATTCCTACAAGCGAACCCTTCAAATATCCAAAATCTCAAAATGTTGAAAAAAATCCGTGCCGTATGTTCACAAATATTGGCCCAGTAGATAAAAATAAATAAAATCCACAAATCTTAGAAAAGGTAAATCGGACGGACGAAAACTGGGTTAATGGACTACGAACAGGAACGTATAAAGCAAACAGACGAAATATTGAAACGAGCGGCATTTTCCCAAGAAAACAATAACAATTTTATTATTCTTCTCAGCCTTTCCACTACAATATCTGCGAGGCTTGTGTGTTGGTCAATCGTTTATAAGTAGCAGAATGTCTTTACATTATTTTTAGATTTGAATACGTTATTATTTCAAAGGTAGCCTTTTATATCGAGAATTGCGAGTCGAATTTGTAGACCATGTCCTTATCGAACGCCTTGAATTTACTAGAAAACCTTGTTTTTAGTGCTTGCAAATTACGGTAAACCCACAACACTTAACCAACGCGTCATCCGCCTTATCGGCACTGTATTACAAAATTTCGAATTTCGCAATATCACAATTTTGGTCGTCCTGTAACACGAATTGCTTAATTTGTGAATTGTTTCTTTCTTAACTTTCCAACATATATTTACTTACAGGCGGTCCAATTATATTTGTGACGAAATTTTCTTTTAAATAGTTTCAGAATCAAATGATTCTTTTTGCTTGTTTTAAAGACCATCGACGGAGATTTATCTCTTAAAAGCCCATTTTATCCACTTTTATTTTTTAAGTTTGGTCCTTTTAAATCGACATGTTGCTAAATTTCTATCCTTTTTAACATTTCACTATCGACAGGTATCTAATAGCTAGTATTTACTATCAATTCTAATAAAATGAATTCAAGAAAGTCAGTGCAAACAAAAAGTTCTGATTATTTCGCACTAACTAACAGTTATATGTTAGTTCAAATAGCTGAATTGCCTCCAATCTCATGCTTCTCCTGAGCCTCCTCAAAATCAGAATAATATCACGCGACTATCCATGATATTATTATTGTAACTTTTGGTTACATATACCAATATAATAAATTTCTAACTGGATGCAAAAATTTTTCTGCTTTCTTAATACGTGTCTGTGTATTTTTAAATAAAAATTTTACGTACACAAATAAAATTACTCCGTAGATTTACTGTTTGAAATGAAATAATTTGCCTATCGTTTTTGTACATAGTGAAAATGTAAGAATGCTAATGTATTTTCAAATTGTTGTTAGCTTTGCAAACAATTAATCTATGAAAATTGAAAAATCTGCGTGTGACCATACTCATTGCACTCATGGAGAACATACTGGCTACTTAACGATTTAAATGGCGAAACAAAGATAATTATCGAAATAAACAATGCTATTAAGGAATAATAAAATAAAAATAACTATAAACTACAAACGATCATTAAAAATTATTCCACTTTTGCTAATATAGCGGGTCTATCAGTAAGGGTAACGAGGGGGAATTGCAAGGTCCTAGAAATTTGAAAAAAATATAATTGCCATTTGGATTCCTAAAACCCGAATTCTGTAAATGTTTCTTATTTTGCCACGATTAGAGTGCAAAAAAAGTTGAGTTTGGCAAACAGGATTTCCACTGGTTAATGTCCGATTCCATAATTGATTAAATAAAACCCTATTTTTTTAATTAATTACGTGCCAAACCATATTTGAAATCGATATAAAATTTATTGATTGGACCGTTTCGCAAACATTTTTAATATCTAGGACCACCCGTTTCCCTAACACTGTACCTCGTTGCCTTTATAGAGACACCTATTACATTTCAAAGTGCCTAAGAAATTTGAGCGCTCTATGGTACCTCCTCATAAACTACAAGTTTTATTTAATACAAACTGTTCAGAGTTAAAAAAAAATTAAATCAAATGTAATATAAATAATACAATACAAAAACTTCCTACGAAGGAATAATATTTTGGGACAACAGCCTCATCCACAATTTGCCTTAAAAAAATTAAGTTGTGCTCCCAACCAAGCATAAAACACACTCTGCAAACATTTTTTGAAATGCGACATCGTCGCTTATTATAAATTGGTGGTTTTTAGATAGATAGGATAAAGTCACCTCAGTTTCCGAACTTTTTTTGGTTCCGTATGTTATTTCATTTATTAATTGTTACAGTGATTTCTTATAAATCAGCAATATTAATAGCAACCAGATGCGTCTGCAATATGAATGTCAATGAAAATTAATATTATTTCCCATATAAAGTCATTTGCGAGCTATATATATGTTTATACACGTAATTTTGTAAGAAATTACGACAGGCTTACTATACCATGAAACTATTAGGAATGATGTCGACTTTGAGCAGAAAAAGACACTTTTTGATTATTGCATGTTCAGCAACAATTGCATATACTGACTGATAAAAAGGCAAGAAATCCCTTTTGACCAGAAATGTGAAAAATCCAAATAAAATGTACATGTGAAATATCATGTTATTGACTTTTGATGTTGAACTTTCATAGTTATATGTAACGTATTTTAAATATATATAAATTAGATTTAAATCAATAAATGTGCACCGACGAGCTATTGTTGGCAGTGGCGTAGCATGGGTTCTTCGTTCTCCTTCGTTTATGACATAACCTATCTAAATCCAATATATACAATTCAAATTTAAATCAATAAATGTGCACCGACGAGCTATTATTGGCAGTGGCGTAGCATGGGTTCTTCGTTCTCCTTGGTTTATGACGTAACCTATCTAAATCGAATATACTATTAACAGCTGCTAAAACCACTATTTCTTGTAGTTCATATGGAGTTCATGTAAAACTTTTTGGCTACTTTCAAACCGGTTAATTAAATTGTGTCGCAATATTCTTAAAATGTCTTTAAGAGGTTGTTTCCGTTCAGACTATTGGTCATAATACAAATTGCTTGTGCTGCTCAATTATTTGAAAATGTACAAGATGTTCCACATAAAAAATCAATTTTTCGCTTAATAACTAATTAACTATTAGTTTTGAAAAGATTACATTGAAACTATTAAATTCTGCTGCTTTTAAAATGGTTTCATAAAAACGCAAAATTTTCCAAAATAACAAAGCTTTTTGAAAATGTACATTTTCCAAAAATACCCAATAATCTGAAACGGTACTAGGGACCCAGATACCTTTTTTTTACGATTGAGTGTTTCATGAAAACTGAGCTCCAGACACCGATATTAACTTTCGGCTTCTCCTATAGAAAGGGAAGTTTCCATTTAAAAATATCGAATTTGGCCAACCTTGTATATAAGCCTTGGAGAAAAAAGATAATGTCTTATTTAAGATTAAAAAAAAACATATTGTATTTTCATGGTTTATGCTTTTTATGTATATCGTACATAAGATTTAATGATCAATTTCACTATGTCAAAAACGAGTTGGTAAGAATTGTCAAGAGATTTTTTTCTTTCTATATAAACTTGTAACACTTTAACACAATCCGTACATAAAAAAAATGGAAAATAATTGTAGCGTACCATTTTCGTTTTTAATTTTAATATCTACTCTATTAAATAATGTGAAGATAAGTTATAATTTAAAATTATTTTGTTACTTTCAACTGTTAAAATCCTGCTATAATAAACAAAAACACACTGTAAATTAATAATATTAGAAGTTTTTATTAGGTTATGTAATATTCTACATTAAATATTATAAAATTATCGTAGGAAAAATACAGCACTGTAGGTAGTTAATAAATTATCATTACTACGGTTGAAAACTGGTCTACATGACCCTGGCGGTAAAGGACTTCATAAATTTCGTAGTTTGACGAAATAGATAGAAAAAATAGTTGCGGTTTAGACAAAGTAAAGCATCAGTTATATTACAGTTGGAGAAATTATGCTGTTTAATTAAAATTTCACTTTTATAGCAAACAAAGTTATTGTAGTATGACTGGCACTGTGCGTATAAAATTTGGCTAACTTGTCAATAATAAGTATTGAAAGATATTTGTTTATCCAGAAATGTTCGTTTTTAAAAAAATATTCTAATAAAATTCTATTACTATTTATTTTTAATCATGTTATGAAATATTTTTGGAAATATTATTTTTTCGAACTTGTCAGAGAAAGCAACTTTGCTAAAAATTGTTTCTTTTATTTCAACTCGATCAGTAAAAATAACCATGAAAAAAGATTTACCTCTAATGTTAAATTAAAAATGATAGCTAATTACATATGTCATATTAAAAATAGGGAATGGAGAAACTAGTTGTAGACATTTTAGTTCTCCTAGGCTTGACTTAAGTTGCACATTTAGAAATATTAACAATAAAACGTTTTTCCATTATAATCGTGCTATACGCATATTAATTGGTCAAGAGGATGAATATCGAACATGACAGAAAAAAAAACAATTGTGTACTACAGGCAGACCTGGCACACCTGACATTGTTTTATAAATATTATAAATCATTCCCGGTATTTACATTATAAAAAGTAGACCAAATTTGACCAAAAATATTTTGCGATTTGCTAAAAGATGTCCAGATGAACAAAAATCGATAATAAACTGCCTTGATAATTTCTTTTATTTACTATTTCAATTTTTAACATTATTTAGTTTTTTTAGAAATACGCTTTATGAGACCATTTTATTGTATTAAAATTACAATAACAATAAATAATGACTAAAGTTAAATAAAACTGTTAAATAATGATTTGCAAACTCACAGCAAGCCGAAATATTGACGTTTCTGTATTGTTCGATTGTTTTTTTATCCTGTTTCGTCATCATTTTGACAATTGAAAAATATTTTATTGCCAATATTTCGACATCTAAAACTTTTACCTTTTATTAAATACAACAAAATTATTTTAAAAAAATAGTTATTTTTTAGTCACCCTGTATTTATTTATTTTTAAAATATCAACACGGACCATTGAAGCATATACCATTCTTAAAGAAAATCAATCACTTTTGACAAAAGTGCAAAATATGTCGGAAACGGTAAGACCGTATAGGATATTCTATATGAAAAATATGTCGAGAAAGTTCCGAGGAATAAAAATATGCTTTGATCTACAGAGTGGTATTTTAAATAACAAAACATGTCTTATTAAACTTGCTATCGCTGTTCCCGAATGATTACAAAATAGTCATTTTCTTTTTTCTTTAAAGTAAATCAATTGATCATTTTATTTAAAATTGAAAATAAGTATTATAATATTGTTTTTATTCATTCAAAAACTGCCTTATCACTCAATTTCAAAAACCATTTTTAATTAGATCGGTAGAATATGCATATGAATATATGAATATATATCGAAAAAAATAATTCTTACTTTATTTGTATTAAAGTATCAAAGTCCACAAGAAGCAATATTGATAAGAAGAAAGTGTCAAAGTTTAAAGCTACTTTTTTAATGTCGTTACCAAGTGAACTCGTATTCCTTGCCGCTTCCGCAATTTCCATGCCTGTTTCTTTAATTAACATTCAAGATATAGTTCCGTAACAGTTTCAAGATTTGCTTAAAGTAAAGATTCGTGTCGCGCATGCAAACGCACTTAATTGACACCCAACTTTAAACGAATCCGCTAGAGTTATTTCCGGTTCCGCGGCTCATGAATTGTGGCAGAAAAAGTGTAATAATCCCTTTAATTCGAAATTCAGGAAGCCATTTTTCATTAAAATTCAATTAAGAAACTAATCACGCAGTAGAGCAAATTCAAAATGTTCAATACGTCCAGGACAATGCGTTTAATCGAGTACAGTAGATGCAAAGCCTCCGATAACTTATTCGCCCTAGTGTAACAGGTGATACTATAAATACATCTTGGTCCTTAAAAAGATTGAGATTGTTGAAAGTGATTATAATATTCCAAGGCGAATATCCCGCAATTTGACCATAATAGGAGTAAGTGTTTTCAGTAGTAAGAATTCCCTTGAATAAAGGAAAAAAATTACTCCTCCGGTAGATTTTAAGATTTATATTTCCCAAAAATATCTGTAAAAACCAAAAATCCGTATTCTTGAAATCGGGGAAAAGAAATTTAACAGGCAGAAAAATTTTATTCTGTCAAATTTCTGAATTGCATTTCCACAAATGCGCGTCGATAATACTGTGATTTTCATAATCAACCGACCAAAAAAACTTGCATAATAATGGTCCAATAACACGTGCCACTATTACATTTTATTATCAAAGAGACCAAGATAGTTTTACTGTCAACAACTTGTACCTTCTTAACGATTAATATTTACCACCACATTATTGAACAAATCTTATTTTGATTTATACTGTCAGGTGTTGCTCTATGGCGGATAAGTTATAAGATATTCTGGATACTTATAGTATTTGTATTGTTTTTTTTTTAACGTTGATATAGAAATAAATAAATAAATATTTAAAAAATAATAAATAAATTAATGTTTAGCAATATGTAACAATTTGTTTATTTTTCAGGGTTTTTTTTGCTTCATTTGTTTCCCTACATAGTTTTCATGAAATCCAATTGAATAAACAAAAAATTAAAGCCGATAAAAAAGATCCAGTATTTAGGTTTACTTTATTTCTTGGTTTATAAGCAGCGTAGACGTTTGGTGCGTTATTATGTTAAGTATTAACGATAAAAGATTACCAATTAATTAAAATCAAAGGTCCGTTAAAATTTAACACATTTCGTTTTAATTATATGATCGAAATTGATTTGATATTTGACAAAAATAAATTTTGTGCAATAATACTATCAACTCACCAAAAGATACGTTCCGAAAAATCCACATCCGATAGGTAGACTACAGCACAAACATTTTTGTATAAAGGCCATGTTTCCAAAGGGTATAGATATTTTTCGCGTTTATTTTCATTTTCGTTTAAACACGAAATATCTTATCTTATACACAGATTTCAAACGTAACGTCTCTCGAAACACTATCTACCCCGCGCTAATGGTTTTCACATTTTTCCCGTTTTTGCGTATAAAAATCATTTTCTCATCGTTTAAGCAGGTCTAACTGTACGTAGATAAATTTTTGTCTAGTCTATAACTCTACACATGCATGTGGGTGAGGCAAGACCGCATGAGTAAGAATAACGTGAGTTATTTGCGACTATTTGAATATTTTATTCACGTGCGTATTACTTTCTCTTCACCTTCCTCCAGCACATTGTTAAAGTAACAATACGGAAAACTTAAAATTGCGATAAAGCGCGGGCAAAGTGCGGCAATCAGTTTTTTACTAATGTGTTTTCTTGGTTGCATATAGAATTTTGAACGTAAAAGCCACATATACTCTGATTTCAGGTAAATATTAATGTTTTATGTTAAATATGCTTTTAATTTATGCATCAGTAGAATTGTATCTGCAAAAGGATGAGAAATTTCAGCAATTCGCTTATTAATAGCAGACAAAAAATGCAACGTTATTTCAATTAACTTGAAGTCTGATAACATTAAATTGAAAAGTTCAAAAATGTTGCCTTACGTTTAATATGAGCGTTTATCTTTTATTTGTCGTTTGGTTTGGACGACTAGGTTAACAAAACTCAAATTCACTTTGTCCAGCGGAGAGTTCTTCGAAGCAACTTTGCTCATGGATTAATATACCGTGCCATCAATTGGTCAAATCGAATGGATATGTGTCAAGGTTTATGATCTGTGACTCGTGGTCACTATTCTTGGAATCGTAGAAATAGAGATTCAGAAGAAAGAACAAATTATTAAACGTTTTGTATTTTGTAAATTTAACTTTCGTGTATTAGTAAGTCGGTAAGTGTGTATTAAAATACTATCTAAATGTTTCCATGTTTGTTCTGTCGGCCGTGTCGACCATTAGAGGTTTGATTAATTGGTTTGGATTGTGTAAAATTATTTAGTAAGCGAATTCACGCTTTTAATATAATTAACTTATTTGCAATTTTTTTCAGTTTAACCCTTCAACATGTCTGATAAGCCAGGACCAATAAGCAGACCCATGAAATATCCTTACACTTTTTCAGCTAAAATTGCTCAATTTCCATGGAAATTTTTTGCTAAACACAACTGGATTGTCAGATACTACGTTTTTGGGTTCCTTTCCGCTTTTCCAGTTTTTGTCGCTGTTGGTAGATTAGGTAAGTAGAGATACAAGTTAGGTTAGGAGTATTATATAACAGCAGGTACTGCAGCTTTCCATGGAAAAACCAATTTTTGGGCGCAATACTATATTTTATTATGAACAATTATTATATACTTATTTTGGGGTTTGAGTTTAAAACAATTTTTTTTACAGCGAATTCTCCCGAAAATGTAGCAAAATGGGCAGAAATTCGTAGGAAGGAAGCAGAAGGGCACCATCACTAAGAAAAATCGGTTTTCTTTATTAGTCTCTTTGTATGTAACTGTAAACTAAAAAATATATTAATTTAAAAGCTGGAGTTTTTGGTTTGCCAGTTGAAAAACTATAAACATGATTTAATACTGAAAAACAAGTATATCACATGACTGAAAATTTCAATAATTGAAAAAAAAACCTACTGATTGAAAAGTTTCAAAATATTTTTCCGATAGTTTCCTTTTTGTCTCACAGAGCTCATAACGAAAATATTTTCATTTTAAACTAAATAATTTATTTTTTCATTTCAAATTCTATAAACAACAGAAGATACCTTATTTAGAAGTAATTGGAATAATTCCTATATGCAGAATCGGTATTTTGTACATCGCATGACAAGAGAAAAATGCTAATTATGCAAAATTGCTACCGAGTAAAATTGTCTATGTATTATAGGGTTTATTAATAGATCAATTTTATGTGGCTATTACCTGAGATTATTCCTTCATTTAGTTACGTATATTTGTAAGTACAATGCTGTGAAAATTAATTAGTAGTTGTAAGTAAAATATTCTAGTTAAAACAATTTCTTAAAGCAAAAATTGTGCTTAAATTTTCGTGAAATTTTGGTTTAATTTTTCAATACATTTTAACATTCCTTTCATAAGTCATTGTAGAAAGGGAAGACAAGCGGTACATATACCCATACCTAATTACTAGATATATTAGTTTTTCAATTATCTACTCATTAAAAGGGAAACCTGTTTCACTTAAAGAAATAAGCACAATTAAGTTGTAATTTGAAATATCCTAGAATAATTACGTTGAGTTTAACGGCATGTTGTAGTGTTAATTTACGCGGGAAACACTAAATGTTACAGGTAAGTGGGTTAGGGGTTGAAAATATGTAAAAATATAAATTTTTAATATTATAGATATCCGATGATCTGTTGGATAACACTCATATTTGTCTCTTTTAGATTTCCTTAAACAATTTAGGTTATTTTTATGAAGGTTAAGAAATTCATAGAAAAAAAAACGGTGGGTTCAGTTTCGACGTATACATATAGGAATTTCGCATTTTTGCGTCACATTCTTGACACTGATTCAGATTTTATTTTGATTTTATAATATAGATTTTAAATTCAACTAACCAAAAGAAAAATGCACTGTTCAACACTCAACTGTCAGAATACGTTCATTTAAAGCAAGATGAATCTTAGGACAGGAACGTTGACGTCAATTGTTGTTAATATCGCAAAAATTTGAAATTTTTAAAAAAGGTGAACTTTATTTTCTAGAATTAGGAAAAATTCATTCAAGCAATTTTTTACATGTTAATATTTAGCTTTGATTATTTATATACCGGATGTTTCAATGAGGACGATTCCTGCCTACGTTCATGATTTTAACAAAAAAGGCCTAATTAAAGACCCAGGCAATCGAAAGACGTTTATTATACGTTACTTCACCGCGACGTGCGTCTCATGTGATTATTACTTGGATTTGAACCATCTTCCACGTTTTTTAAACTTCTGATTGCAAACGTTTTTTTTGTTTTGGTAGTCTCTTTCAAAAAATAGAGATTTTCTGCACTTGTTAGGCAAATAACTACTCACATTGTCATAATTCAAAAAGGTATTAGAATCAGAACTAGTCATTGGTATCATATCTACAAGAAAATGTGAAATCTTAAATAAGAGCAAAAAAAACATGTTTTTCCTGGGCGAAGCCTAACAATACAAAAATAAAGGACATGACAACAATAGAAAGGAAAAGTGGACTTATTCATACTAGCCATTCTATAGCATAACTAACAAGGCAATGTATGAAATGTTTTTATATAGTTTATCTAATAGGCAATCATGCAATCTCTCTCTTTAGTCCATTACCCTAAGAAGGGCTTAGTGACTATGATGCTCTTGAAGCAGTGCTTAAGGTATTGTGCCATTCCGTTCTATTCTGAGCCATGATTACGATTTCATGAAAGCCATGGCCGATAAGATCCTTGGTTTGATCTATCCATCTTTTGGGTGATCTTCCGCGCGACCGTCTTCCTTCTACCTTTCCTTCGACTATTAGTAGTTGCAGCGAGTCCGTTCTTCTTGCAATATGGCCAATGAATATTAGAAAGCTTCGATTTATCATCTTTGATAGATTTAGTTCAGTATTTAGTTCTTGAAGAACGGACTCATTTGTACGGTGGGCCGTCCAGGGTATCCGTAATAGCCGTCTGTACGCCCATATTTCAAAGGCATCTATCCGCCTTGCATCGCTCTTCTTGATCGTCCAGGTTTCAGCTCCATAAGTGGCAATCGGGAACACAAGTCTTCAACAATCTTAGTTTGCTGTTTTTAGTGTTCGCTGTATCTCTCCAGATCTTAGTTACGGCTGTTCGAGCTAGTGCAATTCCTCGCTTTATTTCACCTTCACATGCACCGCTATTGTCAATTAAGGATCCCAAGTACGGGTACTTATTCACCACATTGAACCCAGCTTTGTTTTTTACGTGGGGTTGGTTCTAGTTTTGCCGATCTACAATCATGACATTTTGGATTTAATTTCAATCCAAATTCTGCACTAGTTTCCTGGAGACGGGGCATAATAAATTCCATTTCTTCTACACTAGATGTTATAATTAGTGCGTCGTCAGCATATCACAGATTGTTGACCTTTCTTCCCCCTACAGATATGCCACCCTGCCAGTTATCCAGAATGAAACCTGTTTGATGTGACATCGTTGATTCTTATCAGACCGTAATTATGTTCATAGAGCTGTCTGATAAGTATTATTAAGTGGTCAGGGTCCCCCATTTCTTTGAGTATTTGCCACAGTTTTGTCCATTTTACCAAGTCGAAGGTCTTGGAGTAATCGACAAAACAGAGGTACATTGTTATGTTAAATTCTCTAGCTTTCTCAATTAGTTGTCGTACGTTTCCTATTTGTTCTCTCGTACCCTTACCCGGCATAAAGCCGGTCTGTTCTTCTGCAATCTGGGGTAGTAGATATGGTCTAAGTCTGTTATTAATGATCTGTAGGAGAATTTTGCATGCATGGGGTATTATTGCAGTCTGCTGGGTTACCCTTTTTATACAGTGGCATATAAAGTGAGCCGCACCATTCGCCTGGCCAAACTCCTGTCTTCCAAACTCGATTACATATAAAATGCAAAACATCAACTACAGGCTGACCTATTGACTTTAGTATCTCTGCAGCTATGCCATCTATGCCTGGACTTTTATTGTTTTTGAGGCTCTTTAAGGCGCGTTCAACCTCCGATTTAAGAATCCCGGGTTCGTGTTCAGTAAGTGTAGAAAAGTTTACGGTGTTAAAGGGTCCGTCATCGCTGTAAAGTTTATTGCAGTATTTCCGCCAGACCTCAGCAATGCCTTCCGGATCGGTAGTCATTCTACCATTTTCGTCCAGTATAATTTGTGTGCGAAGTTTAAACTCACGAGAGAGGTATTTTACTTTATTGAACAGTTCCCTGGATTCGTTGGTTGCGGAGTGCTTCTCTATTTCCATGTAGATTTTGTGAATGTGTGCGTTTTTATCCAGCCTACAGCTGATTTTTATTTCTTTATTGATGTTTTTCAATTTTAATTCTTTATCAGATATTGTTGCTGGTAAGGCTTTTAGGTGTTTTCGTGATTCCAGCAAACTGACAGTATTATCAGATAACCAAGGTTTGGGTTTTATCTCCGACTTTCCAGGTGTACAGCATTTTTTGACCATTTCATTTATCCAAGCTCTAGTATCATTCCACATTTCTTGTGCATCATCTTTCTGTCTAGGCATTTCGACAGAACTCAGTGCTATCATTATTTTCTCAGTAGAGGGTATTGGACACCTTGTCTTCTTGTTTAATTTCACTACCCTTAGTTTGCGATGAAAGCTTGCCACTTAGAGTTTATGATCTGATCCACATTCCATGCCAGGTCTTGTTTTAACATTGGTAATAGAGGACCGCCATCTACAGCTTATGAAAATATAATCAATTTGATTTTTCGTTTTTTGGTCGGGCGATGTCCAAGTTGAGAGTCGTCTAGGGTGGTGTTTAAACATGGTGTTTGCGATAGTGAGATTGTTGTCTATTGCAAATTGAATTAGTCTCTCCCCTCGAGCATTTCTGTATCCAAGCCCATACCTACCCAGGACATTCTTTAAGTTCTTCTTAAGTCTTTCCAACCTTTGCATTGAAATCGCCTAGGATGATTAATGGTTCTCTTTTTGGTGTGGCTGAAACTAATTGCTCTATTTCCTGGTAATCATCCTCCACTAGTTGGTCGTCTGCGTCAGTTGTTGGCATATACACCTGGATGAGATGCATGTTAGTAGGCTTTGTACGGACAGTAACTTTAACAATGCGGTCGTTGATTGTTTGGTCATTCGTTTATTGATCACTATGGCCACTCCATTTTGACTTACATTGTCTGAGCCTGACACGAAAATCTGATGGTCATTAGTTGTGAAATGTCCCTTACCTCTCCAGTGGGTTTCTGTCAAACCACATATATCTATTTCAGTCGCCATTAACTCGCGCTCTAATATTTGGAGGTTGCCTACGTTCAGAAGCCCTCTCACATTCCACGTAGCAATATTCAATTTGGATTTTTGGGGAAGCTTAATATTTTTTCCAGGAGCTCTAGCTGCAGACAGAGCCTGGTCACCCACATCTGTCTGCTCGGTCACTAATTTCACACTTGTTGGCCCGAACCCAATCAAGCGCCGGTCGCTACTCGGATCGCATGACACACGCATACTATTACCTTTTAAAATCATAAGTGTTCATGGGATATCCCGGCGGGATCTTTAATGTGGTAGTCTTCCCGTGGCTTTCCACATCCGTATGCCGTTGATTACTTACTTGTAATTCCTCCGCCTTTGAGGTCGATTTCTCAACCCCAGGACAATAGGGTGCCCTTAGCTGCCTCCCGTAGCTGCTTGCTGACAGAGGGAGATTACTTATACCGGTAATCCTTCGGTCGACAGAACCTCGTTGGTTATCTAGCAGGGTGCACCACGTGCAGGGGAGGTTGTCAGTTGGTTCGACTTTCTCAATCACATTGTCAATTCCCCCTTACACCCCTTTCATGCAATGCATGTACTAAATAAAAAAAACGGAATCCAGAACTAAGCAAACGTAGAATTTAAAAACTACCTGTAACCCTATAGCTTCGGGCGCATTAAAAATTATGAAAATTACTTCTCTTGTTTCTCCTATAAAGACGTTACTATAACAAAAACAAATTACTTTTACAGTTATCCTAAGAGGTACTATATTATGTTATCGCCTTGGTGATGCAAAACTGTCGCGGTGGAGATCCAGCTTGTTGTTTTTCAATTTTGGTTAGTTTTGGTTAGTCTCTGTTATTGCCTTGGCGATGCCAAAGCGTCGTAGAGGATGTCCATGTGATGAATTCATATGGGTGTGCCACAAGGAGCGACACCGCAGAACACTTTCGGTAGAAAGATAACAACTGTGTTGGAAAAGTACATCCAAATATTTATGAACTGCTTAAAATCCTTCAAGAGTAAATACGGTACTACGATATTATCGTAAAACAAACTGAGCTGAATATGAACACTCTATACATCTAAGGAGTACGCCCGAAACAAGCACAAACCTCCTTTTAATGGTGGATATGTTACTGGCTCGTCTATTTGGAGGACAGAAGATAAACTAACCAAACCTGACATACAAAAAACCCTTTGAATTAAAAAAAATATCTAAAGAAATTAACTCGATTTTCCGTTTAACTGCGGGCCCGAGCTAGGAAATGTAGAGATATATATAATATAATTTATTCCACAAAATACCTTCAGCCATTCTATATAATACTTAGCAATTCTATACAATTCCTGACGATTATTCTTAGTTTAGTGGGTAGATCGGGATTTATATAAACGAGAATCACTGTTCTCCAAAAAAAAATCATCAAAAAACACATTTTATTAAAAATAAAAATTGCTAGAACTAGTTTTTAAACCCAAGGTAAAAGATAAAAGGCATGCAAGGAATTTATTTCCATTATAAAGAGAATCAATCGCATATATTGTCGGTACGAATTACGATGGCATAGTCCGTCCACCAAGAGAGAAGGTTCGTCAGTATTTTATCCAATCGTATACTGAGAATGGCAAAACCCACTCATTTACCTGCCAGTATTTGAATATCCAATTATGCGCGAATGTCGTACACTCGACAGAGATATCACCATTTGCCGGAAAATTACCAACTAGCCAAAACTGCTGGCGAAACTCGGAAACTTCGAAGGCCGCCTTTAATTAATTATTATGCACGATACCAGTATATTATTGAAATTTTGTATTTGACGGAAAAAATTAACTCAAGAACATTTGATTAACGTATAGGTACTGAAAATTGAACCTTTTTGATTTAAAAATTATTTTATTTATATAGTATACCAAAACGGTGTTTTTGTTTAATGACAAAGTCTGTATATTATTAATTCAATTAATTCTACATTCAATAGGATTTTAAACAACATAACCTTCTTATATTACATAATTACTCGTCGTTGTTATATTCTGGAAGAACATCAATGAGTTAGGTGTAAAACTGGAATAGTATATTATGCAATAAGTGCGGTAAACGGCATTTGACTCACGAGTTTATTTGACATGAGCGGGGCGCAGCGGAGCAGGTGTTTAATAAACGAGTGTTAACTGAAACGAGTGTAACTGACCTAAAGTGACGCTTCCCGCACGTTAGATCGGTGTGTAATTAGGCATTTTATAGACGGGAGTAGAAAAAAGTATTTATTCAAATCTCGTGACTGTATTCCACAAGCAACTCGAAAAATAAGGGCTTACTTTTAATTAATTTTAAAATAATATTTTTGGGTTATAATAAGTATTTGCATTCGTATATAATAATTCTAATAACTTTAATAACGAGATATTTTGATTCACTTTTTTAAAATGTGCCCTATTAGTTTAAGTATAGGAAATTCACTATTAATATAGCCTGATTTCCGGTGGAAAAGGCAAGTGTTTATGGTGACTGAGGCGTACGACGTTGCTTCTTCGAAACAATATCATCAGCTTTAATATTTTTAATCTACATCCTGTATATTTTGGGATTTTCCTTTCGGGCCTCAATTTCCGGTTATGTTTGTTTAATACCCCTTATACCTCTTTAAACATTTTCAAAATTCAGGTATTCGTAATAACCCATTAACTGTCAAAATTTCTAAATGTTCACTGGAATTGTTAGTCAAATTTATAGCTATTTAAATATGCTAGTTTTTACAGAAACTTGCTTTTATTGGAGAAGCCTTACATATGTATAAGTGCAGGAATCTAATATATCATTTTATTAGACCTTCCTATGATCAAAATTTCAGCTCTCTAAGAATTCAAATATGGTTATAGTTATACAGGTTTAGTTCCTTTGCAGTAAAATATTCAACTCTGTTTCCCATAGCATTAAGATCCTCACAAGCGTTGGTATATTCAAGAAAAAGTTAAAGGATCGCTTGATCTGCTTTATAAAACTTTATACCTGTATATTTTTTTGTATTTTGGATAAAATATCAAAGTTGATGTTATTTTCTTAAGAAGCGGCAAGCATAGCTAAAAATACATAAGATCGTCGTCGCTTGGATTAATAATTAATTAATTATTAAAAGTTAATTTAATTAAAAGACAACTTCCTTACATAAGCTACTTGCAATACACGTAAACAGTAGCCCTAAAGAGATATTGCGGAAAGTGTATTTTCGGGTTAAGTACCCGAAAATTTTGAATTGTACTCAGAATTAAGGAAAGTACATTGATTTTGCATATATTTTATAAAAATTTATATAGACTATTTAAGATATAGAATTTAACGGATGCAAATAAATCAGGAGTAGAGAAAAATTTGAAAGGAGAAGAGCCCTACATGGAAATTAATAATAACAATAATGGTAATAAATAAGTAGCCTTTATTAATAATAAAACGAAACAGCATAAAGTAAAAATAACACAGGTGGCAAGGTCTAGAAGCCCCGTTCTAGGTCGCTACCACTGCAACGTAATATTATCATGTAAAGCAAACAAAGGGAAATGCAAAAATAAAAACACTTTAGTTTCTCATCAGTTCCATGAATTCCTTAACTTTTTTACTAAATATGGAACTTAATGGGGAAGGAATAATAATTTCTACTCCCTTCTGTAAAATACCTAATTTTACTCTTATCTAGCGTGAGGGAAGCGTAATTTTACCATGTGAGCTTCTTTTCCCACGGATCCGATCCACTTCGGACATTTCCGGGATATTACCGCATGGGTTTGGGAGCAATTGGATGTTTTCGGAGATTTTACCGCACAGCTTGAATTTTGACGTTTGTCAATTCTGACGGAACTGCTTAAAGCATGACGGAGAATAGTCTGGCAGGTGAAATTGTTACAAATTTTGATTAATATGTAATAATTTTGTTACTAACAACCCAACATTTTTATCGTTTTGCAATTTTTTTCAATTGAACTAAAACAAATGAGCTACAGTAACTTGAACAAGTCAATTTGAAAACATGCAAAATAAAGGGTAGCAAGTACAAATGGACGCGATTCTTCAGAAGATAAACTTTTATATCATTCCATTTTTTTAAATAAATAAAACCTATCATACGAGTAGAATTAATTTGATGGGGAACTACCGTAAAAATAAAATTTGTTAGTGTTTAGAAACAAGTATTTCTACTTATTCCTACAAACAACTTGGAGCATTTCGAAATATTTATCACATTATACGTGCTTGCGTAAATCTCTATGACATTTAACCCTCTAATGGGATGAAGATAAAGCGTGTTTTTAAAGTGTAGCATATTGGATCAGTTTAGATCTGGTTCCTAAGATGGCCGCCAATATCAGAGGACAAATCCTTTCAGGTACACAGATTGCAAAGTAAGTGTCATTTTTTCCTAACGAAAACTTCAACTCTAATTGTTGGCTGGTTTTTCGCAGTGGGATTAAAAACCAACTCAAAAATGAAGTTCAGCGTCTCAAACAGCAATTGCCTAGTCTGCAACCCCGCCTTGCGATCGTCCAAGTTGGAAGCAGGGAAGATTCCAACGTGTACATCAGAATGAAAGTACAGGCGGCGGCTGAAGTTGGGGTTCAAGTCGATCATCTGCAACTTCCGCCCAGTACAACTCAGGCAGAGGTTTGATTGAATCTTTTTTGTATTTGCAATTTTCGTGTAGTAACTATACTAGTGTTAGGTAATTTTTTTAATTTTATTTATTGTATATTCGGGAAAATATTTCTAATAATAGTCATGTTGCTTTATAGCTATAATAATAAGCTACTTACATTACTACAAGAGGAACTCAGGAATCGTTTAAAATTTCTTTTTAGATAAAATGATATGAAATAAATATTAATTTGGTAGTAAAGAAAATTGGTGGTATGATAAACTTTAGAAAACTTAAAGCCTTTTTGATATTGCATTAGAGTGATTTTTGTGTCTGCTTTGATGTTGATGAATTGAAATTTAATCTGCTGACACTGAAATGGGGTCAGTAAAAGTGGTAAACTTTTTTTAGATACTGCAGATGATATACTTTAGTGTTTTCCAGGGATACGGCCTATGAGAAAAAAAGTCTGGGAACTACGGCTCCACTTCAATGTAAATTTAAAGGTCTCCTTTAGGATAACAATATAACAACTTATCATTATTCTATTCTTCTAGAAAGATAATTAAACCTCCCTGTGAATTCCATGAAAAAAAAACTAGAACTAACCAAAGTTGGGTCTCCTTTGTCGGTATTTGCAGGACTGTCCATAGAATACCGTTCATCATTTTTTCACCTGGCTCAGTTAAGCATTTCTGGAAGCTCAATAAAAATCATTAATATCTAAAATTTTTAGGCCACTTTTAATAGCCACGTCCACAATTTTTATTGATTATTCAGTACCTTATTGCGCAGAATTTAGTTGTGCAATAAGGCATATATTCGAACAATGTGTTTATTAATCTCCAACGAATTGATTGCATGATAAAGAGGAAGCAAAGCTTTTCTGTGAAACTCCAAAAGCGAACTGTGTAAATTTAGAACGTTAAATTTATGATATAATTTTTTAAGCGCAGGAAAATTAATATTAAAAGAAAATTAAATCATCTGTAGTTTGCTTGGAATACACTAGAAATACTAAGAAATTGAACTATCATATTATATTTTAAATTACACAGCCTTCCTGGAACATTGCTGGGTTAAAAATACTCTAGAGCTGTAGAGCCCCTTACCTTAACATCGGCATTCAAAATATTTATACTTCTAAACCTTTAGTAGGCTGATTTAACACATAGTTTTACTTCGGTTCAAGAAGCAAACATATGGCGTGCTTCAGGTTCAAGCACTAATTTTTTAAATGTTGCGGTTGCTTTTAGTCCTAAGCATTTAACCTGACATGGTGGTTTTCTTTTTAGCTTCTCCACAAACTGGATAAACTGAATCAAGACCTTAAAGTTCATGGAATCATAGTTCAACTACCCCTGGATTCAATAAACAAAATCGACAGCAATTTGGTAACGAATTCGGTAGCTCCAGAAAAGGATATCGATGGGTAGACATTTCGAGATTACCTGGCATTTGGCTTTCGAAAAATATATTTTTTAGACTTAACACTGTAAATGAAGGCCAATTGGCAGTGGGAGATTTGTCAGGTTTCATTCCATGCACTCCGGCCGGTGTACTGGAGTTAATAAAATCGACGGGAGTGACAATAGCTGGCACCGAAACGGTTGTTTTGGGAAGAAGCAAAATAGTTGGTACGCCTGTAGCAGAATTGCTAAAATGGAATCACGCAACCGTCACCGTCTGCCACTCAAAAACCAAAGATTTAAAGCAAAAGGTACACTAAGCCTTAAATGAAGATCCAAGATTTGATTTGAATGTTGGTTTACATTTGTAGTGCCAAAAGGCAGATATACTCGTGGTAGCCATTGGACAACCTCAAATGGTAAAAGGTGATTGGATTAAACCGGGTGCTGTGGTCATCGACTGTGGCATCAGCGCTGTTCCAGGTACATTGGCATAGTTTTTATTATTTCTACTACGTTGGAAACGTATACTTTTAATGTGGAAATATGGTAATGGAATTTCTGTAGCCCTTTTCGTTGTTTCGGATATAGCCTTTCAATAAGATAAATAAAATTCAATACGAATCTACAGCCATTCAGCTCCAAACTGGATACCTACTTCATACAGTTTTGAAGTACTGAATAAAATATTTCCATTAGATAAAATTAAACAGAACGAATAATTTTTTGAATGCAGCTGCACATTCTGCTTGCACGATTTTTAAATTTTATTTAAAATAATTGGACCCTTTTAGTTCACCTTATGATACCATTTCGAAAAACTTTTGTTAATGTAGTTGAAAAGATTGGGAGGATATCAAGCCACATGCCACAAATATATTTCAATTACTCTAATATTGAAATCTGCAATTGTCTGAAATACGCTTTAATGTTTTAAATATGTTAACCATAGTCAACAAATTTAAAAATATAAATTGATGAAAATGCAAAATTTTTAGGTTGGTTGTTAAAATAATACAATTACATATTTTTCAAAGGCTCACTTTTTACTTTTCCTGAACTAGTTATTACTAAGTGTACCTGTTAGCTTGCCTGTCTGAGCCCGGACATAATTGCAAAAAAAGTCATATGAACTAGTATATGGCTAGTTTCCCAAACAAAAAACTGTTGGACACGATCCACGGAAAAAATAAATTTGTTAAGTGAAATAAATTTTGTTTGTTTGTTTATTTAATTTAATAAAAACTCAGGATGCGTTTCATTTAATTTAAATCCAAAGTTTTAAGATATTGAAAGCACACATAATATCCGCGACTGAACTAACTTTCAAATTTATTCCAGTCAAAAATTGACTTAAAGCAAATATTCAATTGTTAGCTCAAATACCAGACATTATTATATTGTAATATTTAAGAGGAATGTGCCATTAATTTTCATATTTTGTTGGAACAAATATACCATTCTTTTATTTTAGTTAGGAAAAAACTTTAACGGTAAAACGTAATTTATATCCTTTTTTTCTCAAAAGCAACATTATTTCACTTAAATTAAACCAAAACAAACTTATTACTAAATGTATCTTTATCCCTCTTTAAAATTGGACTTCTTCCGTCATCTTTTTCGTCTATAACCAACGTCGAGTAGTTTGTTCCAAAGACAAATTCTAGAATAAAACTTTAGTGAAATATCTTTGAATATTGCGCTATTATACCGTAGTTGCGTTGTAATATTTTACAATCTTGGTAATGGAGGAATTCAAGGTTGAGTTGAAAAAAAAATAAAACATGGATTTCTAATTTCTGGAATTATTAACCTTTGTTTAATAGTTCGATTAACCTCTTGTATAATTAATTGTAATAATTAAAATTGCACTGGAATATCTACCGAATTTGTGGTACGTTATTATTGAATGTTTGATGCTGACAGATCAAATATGCAAATATGTTCGATGAAGGTGTGCCTCTTGTTAAAAATTGTGATTTTTTTTATAGTACTTTTGTATATCTGAAAGTTTGCCATATCGAAATTGGGATGAAATCGCTTTTCATTGCCATTTTATAGTTTCAAACCGATTTCGAAAGTCCAGTAACATGTATGCCATTTTTGGAACGCTGACGAGCTTTTTAATAATTTTAATAACATTTCTCGAAAAAGCTGCGCAAAAAAATTATCTTTGTTTATCTATCTATCAGCTTGAGATCCAACAAACCTTATAACATAGTGATTTTGGTGAGGAAGAGGATCGATTTAATCATGTTTCATTTAAAAGAATATACATTTAGCTATGAACCACATAAAAAAAGTTTTTCGAATTTACACTACCCTGCAGATGGGTAATTCTTTTACCCTTAGGTACCCCGTATATAAATTTAGTTTTTTATTATTAGCAGGAAAACAAGTTTCGTTGAACATTCATCCGTTCTCTCAAATACTAAGGTTAAATGTAGGTGAAACCAACGAAATCTACAGGTGACATGTTTCGCTTACAATGGAATCATCAATCAATACAAATTAAAAACAAACAACAACATACAAATGAATGATAGTGTGTTTCCTTGGTCTTTTCTCAAAATATTTCGTAATGGTTTAGATTGGATTCTATTTTGTTCTAATTGACGAGAGATCGTTTTAGAATTTTAAGGCCATTCAAACTTTGGACTACCTGTCATAGATTTGGCCGTCTTTGATATGCAATAAAATAATGGGCCTTAGATTGTTCTCTCAACTGTTGTTATACCGGCACTCAACCAGTTTCATTTTTAAAATGATCTTCTCTATTTGTATTTTATTTCGTATTGTTTTTTTCATTCATTTCATTTAATTTTTAATCAAATCTATGTGTTTAAAGTTTAAATGGATTTGTTCAAAGAGACTTATTTACGTCCGTACATATTTATTCATCATAGATAAACGAAATTAATATCACTAGTAAATATTTTTCTACGGCATGCGGTTTTATCAAAAGACCCCAAGTGGACTTGCCTTGACCAATTAGTTTCTGATAAGTCTATTTATGAGAAGCTTAGACATTTCCAAAAATACAATGTGATAATAAAAATCTAAAATGGGTACAAAATTTAAAATCGACCAATGCCAGTAAGTTATATATTCATATTATTATAATGAAAAATAGGATCATTGAAAACGACAAAGAGGTACGGTTTAAATAAAATGTAGATTAAAATTAACATGACAATTATTTTAAAGACTTATTGGTGGTGTCAGTTGACAACCAAACTTCGAAATATATCTAAACTTTATAAAATAATATATCGCAGTCAAGTTACAAGTCGAAACATCAACAAAAAAACAAAAATAATCCTTAGACGCTATTTTAAACATCAACTGTACCTAAATGTACCTAAATAGAATAACAAATTAAAAGTATATTTCAGATTTATGCTTTTAGTTTGATATTATCCATACCCAGATGCTGAGATTTCTCTCTTTATTATCCATCAGGTTTTTGTTATTTCATTCCTAGCTTTCTAACATATTTATAACAAATATAATTATATTTTCGAAAATTCATATTAATATAGTTACAACATTATTCATCAAATTATTAATAGTTATAATAAAGATGATAGATACGTGCGATAAGTTGATGTCTAGTTATTTTAGATCTTGAAAATGTAATATTGGACATAAAGTTTGAAAATATTTGAATGGTATACCAACACGAAACGTGTCTAGGACAATGTGTTTTTTAAGCACGCGGCCAAACTTTAAGGAGGCGATTCTTTTTTCAAATTAGATTACTAAAAATAGTTCTCTTGTCAGTGTCATATCTTTTTGAGGTAAAATATCAATCAGGATTTCCGCCGGGGCGCTACTATTTTTATTCTTATTTATCGTATTTACGAAAGGGTTTTTTTAGTTGGACACCCTGTATCCAGAAAACTAAGAAGTTTTTTACCTCCAAAATTTGATCACTTAGTTAGAAAAGACTGGAGCGTGCCCAGTTAGTTAATTTTTTATACTCATTTATATTGAATGAAAAAGTTCTTCATTTTAGTTTCCTTTGTTTCGACAACTTTTTAACAAAGCTTTTTTTCACCTTAACTAAATCGGTGGGTCGCATTACTATTAGATTCGGGGTGCACTAAGATTATTTAGGTGAAATAACACATTCTTAGCAATACAGATTTCTGAAGTTGATAGTTCAAGCAAAATGAAAAATAAATATTTAAAAGTGAGTCTTGAATAACTAAATTAACAGTGCTATGTTGACTAGTGTTATTATTTTGATTAATTGATACATTAAAAGTTTGTTTAAGAACAATGCAGATATTTTTTACAGTTTCTAACAAAAAATCGATAAAAGTTGGTAAATATAAAATTCTAATTGTAGATCCTTCAGCGAGGTCAGGTCAAAAACTAGTGGGTGACGTTGCCTTTGAGGAAGCCAAAATCGTTGCTTCCTACATCACGCCTGTACCAGGAGGTGTGGGTCCCATGACTGTCGCTATGTTAATCAAAAACACAGTCAAAAGTGCCGAAAGGGTGGTGAACCAGTGGACTAAAACTTCTTGGAACTTAGCTCCCAATCCGTTGCACTTGAACACGCCAGTCCCGAGGTAAACTTGTGTTTTGCACAATATTGTCGCCACTATTATTTAACTTTTATCTTTTAGCGACATTGAGATTGCAAGAGCACAGGAGCCCAAAAATATTGTCGATTTAGCACATGAAATTGGTTTGTTCCCAACCGAGATATCACAGTATGGAAGCAAGAAAGCCAAAGTATCCCTATCAGTGCTTGACCGACTGAAAAACCATTCGAATGGAAAATATGTCGTGGTTACTGGGTAAGTATAAAGAACAACGAAATTTCGAAAATGTTAAAATTAAAATAAAATTAAAATTAAAAATTAATAAAAAACACACTTTTTAAAGTGTGACACTCCCCAGGTAGCAGAGGTCCGTCAAAGTGACGCCATTTTCGTGTCATAAGTGGTCGCTACTCGTCAGTGGTCCGAAAAACACGTCAAAGTGACGTCAAAAAAAAGATGTCTTATTAACATAATAAAAATGACCTCTGAACCATGATGTAGGAGAACATATCTAGAGGGTGTTCAAATAGTGTGTTATTATTTGTTTTAGAGAAAAATGCTAAATACAAAACGAGACTAAAAGAAACAATTTAAAATTATTTTTAAGTATACAAGGTGATTCATAAATGCATGGGACATCAGACTTATATTTTTTAATGGAACACCCCGTATATTAATAGATACTCAGTGTCAAAATGCCCTGTGTTTAATGCCGTTTCGGAAAGCTGTAATTTTATCATGCCAACAATTTTATAAAATGGTACAGTCATTTATCCTAGACTTGTCTTGAACTTAGTTCAAATCGTTTAGGGTGAGAAAATATTAATTTTCGTGAAAAAATCAAATGGAAGACGTTGTATATTATACTTTTATTATTAATTTTTATTCCTTATTCATTACCTATAATTCTCCATTTTCCGCAATCGCAAAAGACATTCTATGTAATTTAGAGCGGCAGTTTCTGTGTGATTTACCTTTGATTTTCCTCCCTGCAAAAAGAAAAAAAATAAAAAAACGTCATATTTTGGGCAATAAAGACCAAAATCTGACTTAAAGTTGATGTACAAAAAATTTCACTTAAAAAAGACGTCACTTAAATGACATCGTTCGTCTGAGACAATAGTAAGTTATATATAATGTCATTTTCGTCATTTAATTACGTCCTTTTGACGACCCTCTGCTACCTTGGTCTGTATGTATTTTATTTGACAGATTATTAATAAGAATAATAGAATAAATCCAAATTTGGGTTATAAATCGATTTCCAAGGAGTTTTTTTTTCATGAATAGTTAGTGGCACACTTCCAACATATTTTCAAAATATTAGAGTAGTACTAAAGATATTATAAGAAAATGATTTATTTTCAAATTTTATAGTCTAGTACCTCAAACCTTAGGTAACATATCTATCTAAGGTTTTTCAGTTCTGTTTCTAAGTCTCTATATAGCTTAAGCAGAGAGATTTGACAAATTCGACAGTCGAACAATGTACAATTGAAAAAAATCATCAAAATCAAAAAATGAAAAATCCTATCGATTCATTTTGTACCTGACCGTTTTATAGCAAGTGATTTTAAAAATTGTCTTTCTGGTACTGTAATTTATTAATGACGGAGATAACCCGCCAAAGCGTTTGTCCCATATTATAGCATAACACCAACCCCATTCGGCGAAGGCAAAAGTACGACCATGATGGGTCTAGCACAAGCACTTTCCACACAATTAAAAAAAAACGTTTTTGCGACAATGAGACAACCGTCGCAAGGACCGACTTTTGGAATTAAAGGTGCGTTGGCAAAACGTCTATTTCGAAAGTGTCATAAATGTTCCGCACAGGTGGTGCAGCTGGAGGTGGATACTCGCAAGTAATTCCCATGGAAGACATGAACCTCCACTTAACTGGTGACATTCATGCCATCACTGCTGCTAATAACCTTTTGGCTGCTCAGCTTGACGCTAGAATCTTTCATGAAGCCACCCAAAAAGACCAGGCCCTATACGACCGTTTGGTGCCTACCATTAAAGGAGTTAGGAAATTCTCCAAGATCCAATTGAGGAGATTGGCTAGAATGGGAATTAATAAAACTGATCCGAATAGTCTCACGCCTGAGGAAAGGAGCAATTTTGCAAGGCTTGATATTGATCCAAATAATGTTATCTGGCACAGAGGTGAATTTAGGTTTAAAATTAATTTCATCCATTCAGTTGATAAAATGAAAGATAATCATTTAGAAAAATCATTTATTTCTAATGCCTGAATTGTGGGGGGTTGGGGGCTTGAGGTAAATCGGTTAGCTATAATACGTACGATTTCGCAAAAGAAAGGCTATGAGATATTTCCTCCCCTAAGAATATGTCAGGTAAATTGAGAAAAAAAGAAAACAATTTTGCAAAAATTGCACATATTCAATTTCATTTTTTTCATCCATTTTAACATAAAAAGTCAAAAATATAAAATAAACAAAAAATTATCATCAGTCATGGACGAAACACATTACAAAAAGTTTGACATCATTGGATAGAAAGGAAAAAGTATTTTAATATATTGAATTTTTATTAATCTAACGGGACTCATAGTTCGCATCCTTATTTTGCACACAGTCCATAATATACAGGGATATTCATTCAAACGGTTCATTAAAGACTAGAATATGGGTTAGGAATTCGACGTTTTTGATTTCTGCGTTTAATGTCAATTAATTTCCAATAGGTTTGTTAATATCCATCACTTTTAGTTTTTAAAATATTTGACTTCGAAATAAAAATGCACAACCAGTATGGTAAATTCTATTGCTACAAAATTAGAAGTTAATATTTAAAAGAAATATTCATAACTTTGTTATTGAAAAAGCGCTGCCTAATGATATTTGTATTCGTTGCAGTTATTTTTCTTGAAGCCTCGCGCTAAAAAAAATAAATAATGCTAGTTTTTTACTTGAATCTTACGAGTGTTTCACTCGAGTTTGAACCACCCTTTATAAGCTTCAGCATTAAAAATGCTACTTTACCTAGCAAAAACCTAAAATTTTGTAACATCTTGAAATTGTGGGATGGCAAAATTCCTTATTATACTGGTAGGAATTACTTTGGTTTTCAAGGTCACCATTCAAAACCAAAAGCGAGCAGCCCATTGAAACCTAGCAATAAAACATAGGAAATCAAATTGATATAATATAATTGATATGTTCGTTTAAAATTTGCGGATTCAGTTAGGTGCATGACACTTTCGATTATTGGAAAGTAACAACCAAATTTTAATGACAAATTTGCGTGAATAACGCTGAATCGCTGCGCCGTTTGATCATTTGAAGATAATATGAACATGGCACACATGAAACCTTCTATTGTAGTTTTGGACATCAACGATAGGTACTTGCGTGAAATCACAGTCGGAGAATCTCCAACAGAAAAGGGTCTGACTAGAAAAACCGGCTTCATGATAACGGTGGCTAGCGAAATTATGGCTATACTGGCCCTAGCAAAGGACCTTGCGGATTTTAAAGATCGACTTTCGCGAATGGTTGTGGCGTTTGACAGAAAAGGCAATCCCGTAATCGCCGACGACTTAGGGATTACCGGAGCTTTGGTGGTGCTGCTTAAAGATACGGTGGAGCCGACATTGTTGCAGACGTTAGAAGGATCACCGGTATTCGTGCATGCCGGGCCATTCGCCAACATTGCCCACGGAGCCAATTCCGTTTTGGCCGACAAAATCGCTCTAAAGCTAGTGGGTCCTCAGGGCATTGTACTGACCGAGGCAGGATTTGCCTCTGATATAGGTAAATCGTCCATTATTATACTCTTAATATAATTCTTCTATCGATGTGCGATTTTTCGACTGTTCCTTTTTTCAAAAATCTCGCCCACTACGTATAAACAAAATCAGTAAATATAAAAATTATAGCCTACGCCACAACTAAAGGAACCATTTGTAACAGTATTTCATTTACGGTTAATAGTTTACTTCTAAAATGAACCCTTGTGGTCGGCGCATTGCTCGCACAGCGTGTGCAATACGAAAACGTAACTCTCGATACGGCCTATTATGATTTTGTTAATTTACTCGTAAAATAGTTTTAAATTTATGCCCACAACCGGCACAACAAGTACATTTTTCATAAAATCGCACAAACCACAGGTATAGAGTCAGATCTTGCCTGTCGAGATTTTTTTCTAGGCGATAAATACACTCTGAGTGGAGCATGTTATTCTAGTCACCAAAAAATTATTTAAAATAAGTGTGTATTGCACCATAAATAATAGGTGTTTAATATTTTTGCAAAAATCTGTTCAATAACATCAAACACACATCAGCCTCCCTTTATTCATTCAACATTTTAGTAATTAATATGTTTTTAGGAAATTGTTGGATATCCCAAATATTAAAACTATTTTTTGTGTTGTGTTGTGTTAAAATTCAATTTGACTGATTGAACTGACATATTCAATTCATAATATATTACGCAACAGCAATAACAATGACAGGTGTTATTGGTTGAAAACAATTTCAAAAGCATTCGCCTGCGTATATTGAATGGCCCTTCTGAACATTTTCTTTTAAATCGTAATTTTAAGAGTTGCAGTATTATCACCATGGACAGACTCCATATATCTAGTAGTTATATATGATTAAAATGGGGAATAAAAAAGTGATTGTTTATGCAAAAATTTAAAATTTTAGCCTCCAAGAGCATGTGTCGTAATTTGCAAATTGTGAAATTTACTTCCACCGCCACCATCGGTGAGCAGAGGATTTTAAATTTATCGCATTTGGAAGTATTGAAGTAGACCAAAAATCTTAAAAAAAAAAACATACGCAATTTTCGCATCTATATCGGCACTGGGTGTCTGGAAATTAGTAGTGTATATATTTTTGGTTAGTGAAACATTCTTTAAACAATATACAACAATGTATGATCTGTTCATACATATAAGAAAGTGACCAATTGCTCTTAAACGGATTATCCAAGGGTGGTCAGTAACATATAATGCAACAAGATTATTATTATTAATTAAGGTAATTAATAATTAAGGTAATAATCTTATGCATTGTATGTTAATGACCACCCTTGGATAATCCGTTCAAAAGCAATTGGTCACTTTCTTATATCTATGAACTTGTCCGGAGTTTTATGAGGCCTAAGGGATGTGCGTTACAATAAGTGTAATTGGCATTTCATGAGGTGTGTATGTTATAGACTAGGATTCTGTTTCGAATATTGTTGCTGAATTGCATGGCAGTAGTTTGTAGTCCTGGCGGTCTATGGTTTCTTCGGAAAAACAAAAAGCACTATGATTTTAACAAGAATCTTTACAAACTTGATCTTGATATGATTAGTATGATTACGTCAGTTGAGTGGTTGTTGCGTCCTATAGACGGTTTATTGTTATTTATTTGTATCTTATTGTCTTATATATTTATTTTTGTGACAATGTTTAACATTAATAGAATAATTCCAATTAATTACACTTCGTACTTTATTTCTCATATGACACGTTAAGATAAAATTAAATAGTTAATTTTTTTTTATTCATCACGTTTTAGGTATGGAAAAATTTCTCAACATTAAATCTAGAACATCGGGAGATATCCCGAATGCAGTCGTCCTGGTGGCAACCATAAGAGCTTTAAAAATGCACGGTGGAGGGCCAGCAGTCACCCCTGGAGCCCCATTAGCTGCGGAATATACTCACGAAAATCTCGATTTGTTGAGGAAAGGAATTCCCAACTTAGTGAAACATATTAACAATGGCAAAAGACACGGTCTGCCTGTAGTAGTGGCCCTAAATCATCATACGTAAGTTGTGTGTAACAGTGCAAGAAACATTTTTTAAATTTAAAAATAACTGTATTGATTTTGTACAAAAACTTTTTCTTCTAAAACTAGGGACGGCTGGAAATATTCGTTATTACTCTTTTGCATGCCACTGTCGGCAAGGGAGAAACATCAGCGAATGAGCAAAGATTTGCGATAGTGCCGAGTTGCCAAATCTTGCTACCGTGGACCTAATAACTCCAAATATGAAGAAAAAAAACTAATTCAGAGGTTTTATTGCTTCGTCTACTAACACTATAACATTTTTTATTTCTTAAATTTTCATTTCATTACTGAGAACCAAATTTCGAAGAAGAAAGTGACTCACCAGTACTCTCTAAGCTTTTCAAAATGTTTTTCCTTTTAACAAAATCACTAATTCACTATTGTCTAAATATGAACGCTTAAAAATTGTATTCCCTTAACAAATCGTGCACAGAGTACATTATCAAACACATCACAATTAAAAACTTTTACTAGTTATTATTTGTAAATTCCAGAGAACTAACAAACACATATTCAAGTCCAAAGTTTGTTTAGGTCTTTATATGTGTATTCCGCCAGTCCTTCAATCTCACTGGCGAGTTCATTCTTCTATTTTCGTTTAACATAAGTGAAGGATGGTTAAAAGACACCATGTTAAAAATAATGTTACATCTAAACTACCAAACTAACCAAAGTTTTCAAAATAACCACAATATCTTAAAAACTATTAAAATTAGATATATAGAAACCTGGCAGAACGATTTAAAATAAGAAAGTTTATGCCGACTTCCTGTAGGACTTTAAACACACTTTTAAATAACAGAATCTTTCATCCAAATAAGCGTTGATACTATGTAAAATCTGATAATAGTTCGTTTTTAAAAAATAAATAAAGGAATTTCATTTTTTTTACTTTGTTGCGGGAATGCCAATATTGATTATATGTAAATTTTGCTTTGGTTTTCTTTGTCAATAGTGATGGCAGACAAGTGTAATAAGAGATTGTTTTATATTATTTATCATTTTTTCTACCTCTATGAGTTGAGTATAATTCGTTTACTAGAGTACTTTGAAGTGATGTATTTAACCGTTTACTCTTTTTCCACTAAGTGGTTGCGATATATATTGGCTATTTTTACATACAATCTTGTATGTAAAATATTTTAAAATGGTAATTAGTTGCAATAAAAATAGCCATGTAAAGATTGGGTTGCGGCCATTTTTTAAAATATTTTGCATGTTGTATATTGTATGTACTCGAACCATACACTGGTTTTGGAAACAAAATTTCTTTTTGGAAAAATATCTATCATAAAAATAATTAACTAACTTTCAACCACTTTGATGTAACAATCTGAAATATTGTTTACGGCTTTCCATTACTTTTGTGTGGTGCGAAGTACCTATACCTATCGTTTTCGAAAAAATAAAAATCATAGATTCCTTAATGCTAATGGTAATAATTTTCAGGAACGACTCGGAAGCAGAAATTAAACTAGTAATTGACGAATGCAAAAAAGCGGGTGCGTTTGACGCGGTTTTGACTAAGCATTGGGCGTTGGGTGGCAAAGGGGCAGAGGATTTGGCGAAAGCTCTGGTTCAAGCGGTCAGCCAACCTAACAAATTTGAATTTCTTTACGATTTGAATCTAGCCCTCAAAGCAAAAATTGAAATCATTGCGAAAGAAATGTACGGTGCGGGACAAGTTACCTACACTTCTCTTGCTGAAGAAAAACTAAGGAAATATGAGGAACAGGTAAATAAACTGTCACCTAATTCAAAATATTGACGAAATTGTATATTGGAATATTTTAGGGCTTCGGGTCATTGCCAATCTGTATGGCCAAAACTCAATTGTCTTTGAGTGGCGATCCATCGATTAAGGGAGCACCCACAGGCTTCACTTTGAATGTTAAAGACGTCGCAGCATCAGTCGGTGCTGGTTTCATCATTCCATTGACAGGAGAAGTAAAAAATATATTCTTTTGATCGCTTAATTCATAATTAAAAACAAGGACGGTTAAACGGAAGGAGATACACGCAATAGCTGCCTTGTTATTGAGCTTTTTAAAACTGCCAATAGAGGCGCATTTGTTCTAAGGGACAACAAATTAAACGATATCTATATGCTGCGGCATCAAATGACGCATGTCTGTCTTAATTTATATCAAATAAATACAGGGTGTCCCACCGGAAACGTCGCCGATCTGTTATGGGAAACTATAGTAGCAAAAATGTTAATTAATGTTGGTGAAGGCAATCCAGATATACCAGAAGTGAGAGTTGACTTTCTTATTCTAAACAGAACACTCTATATATTATTGCTTATTTTTCGATTTCGGTAAATTTTTTGCATACGGAATCTTTTTAGTATATTATGCAACAAGTGCGGTAAACGGCATATCACTGACGAGTTTATTTGACACGAGCGGAGCGAGCGGCCATGTGAGTGAATGTATTCGTGTTGTTTTACGAAAATGTACCCAAAAACTGACGGTCGTAGAAAAAGTATAATATGCAACACGTTCGGTAAACTTTTTGAGTCACTCGTTTATTAAACACCCGCTCCGCTCGTGTCAAATTAACTCGTGAGTCAAATGCGGTTTACCGTACTTGTTGATATAATATACTATTACCGAACGTGTTGCGCACTATGCTTTTTCTACGTTAGTTTTTAGGTACATTTTCGCAAAACAACAATACATTCATTGACATAACCGTCAGAATTAACAAACGTCAACTTTCAAAGCGTGGGAAATATCTCCGAAAACATTTGTTTGCTCCCAAAACCCGTGCGGTAAAACCTGGGAAATGTCCGAAGTGGCTTGGATCCCTGGGAAACGAAACGGACACGGTAAAGTGACGCTTTCCGCATGCTAAATCGATATTTTACAGACGTGAGTAGAAAAAAAAATTACTCTATTAACTTACTCTGTAAAAAAATGGTCTGTTGACCAAATTTAGTTAGTAATTTATAAAATAATCTGGTCTAAACACTTCAATTACAAGCAAAGAAGAGAGTACACGAAAAATGTCTTGCAGCTCAAGAATGTCAATTTGACTGTTTCTTGAAAAATTAAGTTTTTCTTAAATTCTGCTATTTTTAAAATTTTATCGTTTTTTTTTAATAAGTATTTTTAATTTACAATGTTTTACATTGCTTCGCTTCCGCTTTAACGTTAAAATTTTTCCATTTATAGTTTTCCCATAACAAATCGACGAAGTTCCCTTTGAGATACCCTGTATAGTATTTGAAAATTGGTATTACATGTATTATCAGTTTCTTGGAATTTTTGTCACAGGAATAATGTGTTTTATACCGCAGAACAAATATTGGCGTAAAATTTATATGAAATGTAATTGTATGAAAATATAAAATAATCTCCCACAAGTGGCGCTCCGCCGACATCGAAAACATGTCTTTATTGATATCATTCCTTCTTTTAGCCCTCCATAATTAAAATTTAGGAGAGAAATGTAAAAACGTTTCTTTCTAGATAACCAAAATCCCGGGGTTGCCTACGAGACCAGCCATATATGACATTGACCTGGATACCGAAACTGGGGAAATTGAAGGATTGTTTTAGAAGATTTTTTTAAAAATTTTTGTGAGACACAAACGTGGCAATTGTTTTTATTTCATTGTGACGGTTAAACTAATGCAAATATCCAAAATATACCAATAATGAAATTTATATCATTTTTAGTTGCAATTGACAGAAATATTTTTTAAAAATAAATACGTTTGAAATAAAACCACTGTTCTATTTTTTCATTTTAAACTGGATCTTCTAGTTAATTCACAACTTTAAAACAGCTAAATAATAGAATGAAAAGATAAGGAGGAAAACAAATGCCGAATGTATTTTATTTTTCGTACTTGTCTCAGCATAAATAAAAGAAAATAAAAACACTCACTACTTTATTTTTATAGCAGCTCTAAGTTTAGAAGAACGACTACGACTGTTAGAATCAATTTCATCAAAACTAGGCACTATTACATTTTTGTGTAACATATTCCAATTCAATTCTAACACTTGGTTAATTATATTGGAATCCATAAACAAATTATAGCTAGAGAATTTTAACGGTATGGGATTAGCAGAGTTTGCTATTAAGTTACCTGATAAATGTCTCTTTACAATCATATCTTCCAATGAATGGAAAGTTATAGTGACCACTCGGCCTCCTATTTTCAGATAATGGTGGGCCAAAAGCATACCATAGTTGATTTCATTCAATTCATTATTGACAAAAATTCGTAAGGCTTGAAATGTTTTAGTGGCAACATGAATCTTCTTGTCCACAACTGGGTTAAACTTGGAAACACCATCCACAACTGTTTCTACCAAATCTGCTAGTTCTTCAGTGCTGGTTAATGCTTTAAACAAATACCGAGCTTCAACTATGGACCTGGCTATTTTTCTTGCCTGTTTCTCTTCTCCATAGTATTTTATAATTCGATAAATATCAATTTCTGTGGCTTTTGACAGAACATCTGCAGCAGTTGGAGCATCTGAAAAAAAAATGGTGACAACCAGGCGGTACAACTTTAGACAAAGTGAACCTTCTTTCTAATGAAGGAAATGAATGAATAAAAAAATAAATAACAGAAAAACTATTTTAATGATAAATTGTATCATGTATATACCTACCTGGAATTCTATTTCCATCCATTCTCATATCTAAAGGGCCATTTTTGCTAATTGAAAACCCTCTTTGTGGTAAATCAAATTGCATAGAAGAACAACCAAAGTCAAATAAAATACCATCTAAAGAACACTTTCCAAAACTCTGCTCTGCCAATAATTCTGGCAAGTCAGAAAATTTACCTAATAATGGGACAATCTGTCCAGGAAATTGCGTAGCTAACTTTAAAGCATACTCATATGCATGGGGATCTCTATCAAGAGCCAAAATTTTAACATTGGGGGCATGTTCTAAAATCTTTTTTGAATGACCTCCACTTCCGAAAGTCATATCCAGAATAATTTGATCCGTCTCTGGTTTAAGGTAGTGTAACACTTCATTTACCATTACAGGTATATGAGCAGGTTTTATCATAATGTTTTGAGCTGCTGTACTAAAATTTTGAAATACATTGAAAACAATCTTGGACAACTTCATTTTAATTCTTTTCCTCCGAAGTGCCGGAAAATAATTGCCTAATAGAGAACTTTTCCTTTATGTTAACCTGATTTAAAAATTCATTCGATAAGGCAATGCTACACTGTTCTTTGGTGAGTCCAGTTGCTGTAGAAGATAAAGATCGCTTGTATTTATGTTTGTTTGTATTGTTGACAATTTTTTGAGCCGCCAGGTATTGTTGATCCCAGTACTTATGATTCGCTTCAAAATGGTTTTCCCTGTAGGCTTTGTCAATGTGAGACCGTAGGTATTCAGCAAGATCTCTAAAAATAGAGTAAAAACAATAACGGCTTCTCAATGGAAAAAAAGAGGTTAGGAACTATTTCAATTACCTTCCACCGGCTTTACTTTTATCTAATGGCCACTTCTCCAGTAACTGCAACATACGTTTATAGGATCCCGCAGCACTTGCCATCGGTATAATTTTTCGTAATATGGTTTTAGTAATTAAACATTTTGTTGGTTATGTTCTGCGCAAAGATCTACAAAGCATTTGCTAAATTGTCCTTGGTCACAGCATACGAAATAAAAAGTTTGATAACTGCGGGTTAACTTGCACCCGATTTTTTACGAACGCTACCATTTCGTGCCTTTGTAGGTATTGAAATGTTCCTTAATGTATTGATTTAAAATTTATATTCGCAATTTTTTTTGGTTGGTGTTGGTGAATTTTGGTTATTTTTGGTTACTACAATATTACTTACAAATATGCAGCCGACAATGTTGCTAATCTCTAAAAAGAAAAAATATGTTTGGATTGAAGGTAAAATTAAAGATTTGTTCATACGCTCGGGGGGAAACAATCGCAGGTGTAACTAACGTTGTAGTGTCAAATGTCAATATGCAGCCCAACTTACCAATCTGATTTAAAAATCAGATGGTGACATCTTAAGTGTGACATTTGACATCACCTCCAATTTATAATTTTCGGATTTGGTATGATTTTGGGAAGGAATGTGTGCTAATAGTTTGAGTGCTTTTTAAGATTTATTTTTTTTTAAGTGCCAATATTTGTTTTAAGTTCTTAGGGAATATTTATCCAATCACTCTGGAAGGGTATTAGATAACTATCAGCGATGTCCAGTCTAATATCTTTAATCAGGTGTGGATTTTCTCGCCTTGTAGCTCGCAACTTACATAAATATGTAGACAAAAATAATGAGGTGAGAGCATAAAGCTAACTAGAGTTTAATAAGTTCCTTATGTAAGAGGTTAATTTAAGTTGCTATTTAAAGTTCTATCAAAGATGGAGTTTCCATGATTGAAAATGTTATATAATTTTAAATCTTAGGTGTCTACACAAATATTACGCCTTGGAGCAAGCACAATTTGTAAATACAGTACCAAACCTCAAAGGGAACTGATTTTAAAGTAAACAGCACATAAATGTGGATGTCACAGTCATCTAAAAATGTATCTTTTTTTTAGACCTGTTAAATCAGTATGTTGCCGCAGTGATCGATATTTTCGGATATCAGCTTTGGTATTGCAGTCAGAGACCGTTACCTGCCCACCCTTCCCAGAATCAGTAACTGAAGGAGATGTAAGGTATGAACTGCAATTAAATTTCCTCACCTATTATATTTTTTGATATATTATGTTTATTTTAAGACTTGAAAAGAAAGTTGGAGATGCAGTAGCTCAGGATGAAGTGGTAATGGAAATTGAAACTGATAAAACGTCTATGCCAGTGCACTCACCCAACCATGGTATTATAGAGGAGATTTTGGTCAAGGATGGTGACACTGTTAAGGCTGGGACACCATTATTTAAACTAAAAGTGACTGGTGAAGCACCAAAAAAAACTGAAGCTGCACCTGCCAAAGAGGTACCAAAAGCAGCGCCTGCTCCACAACCCTCAGCACCCATTCCTCCACCAGGTAAAAATGACAGTAATTGCAAATACATTTTTTATGGTGGTAGAAAATGGAAATTCAGTTTTATATTGTCATGAAAATGTATGTAAATGAAGAGAATGCAAGAATTTTAGTAACCTTTAAAATGGCCAAAAACTATTTTTACATTATTAAGAATCAAAACCAATAATAAAGCTGATTATGAGTCTATTTCAATTCAGCCTTTGTTTGCTTTGAAATTTAAGATAAAAACAAAATAAGGTAAATTATGGCCACATACTCATCGATTGCTCTAATAGGTTGGGAAAACACAATTGTAACAGAACTTAATTAAAAAAATGGTCTTCTGTTATTCCATTCATGGATAAAATATTGGCCACTACTTACTGGAAATTTTAATGAACAACTAAAACAATTAAATAAACTAAATCCAAGACAAAGATAAATATCCTATTTTACCTATCTCCCATTTTGCTCAATAACCAACATTTTTCTTTAAACATATCTACATTGTGAAAAATAAAAGAAATCATCAATATCTCCCAACCTCTCGTCCTATGGGATTTTCCAGCTTGGCAAAGCAGTATATCACTCACCAAAGACAGGAAAAATATTAAATTATTTAATCAAATGGAAAATAAGTTAGGTACATTAATAATAAGTAAATAATATTTAATCAAAATACACAATTAAAAGGTATAAAAAATAAATAGAACACATCCCGAAAAACAAATAACAAGTCGTTGAACTTTTGTGATTGGTCTTGATCCTTTATCAGATGTGTGTCCACTATGAATGTATGTTTCATCAGTGTAGACAATATACCTTCCATCCTTCCAAAACTTTGTTATTTATTTAAGGAATTTGACCCTTTTTAATCGAATGTTATGTGATTCCATTAGTGCTTTTCCATTGTCATCAGTCTTCTTCTACAAAAAAATTGAATACCATTTTTTGTGAATAATCGTCAATCGCTCAAAAATAACTTTTTTTACATATAATGAATACTAATAAAATATTTTGTTGTCTGATTAAAACTAAAAAATAAAAGTATTTCAATTATCCAAAATCTAATGTTAGTTTGGTTGCCGTTGTTAATCAGGCTATCTTTATTCTTCAATATATACACTATTGCCGTTTGTTTTATTCTGAATAACTGGAATATTCAATAGGACAACCAGAAAACAGGCACAAGTAAATAAAAAATAAGGCGCTAAAAATAAACGTCCTTTTCCTGTATCTGTAGACCCTTTACATATGAACGACTCGTGGACTGTAACCTTAATAATTTCGAGCAATTTGACAGTTCTTCAGCCTTAACTATGCTGTAAAGCTTGGTCACGCATTATGTGCCCTGGCCAAGACTATGTCTTTTCTGACGTCATTGGTTCACATCCGAATAGTTGGATTGTATATTTGTTGGGTAGTATATTTAAGAGGCAGCAGACCATAAACTAAATAATCTCCAACACTTTGACAGTTTTTTATTTTAACCATGCTGAAAAGGTTGGTCATGATTGGTGTGCCATGGTCAAGACTACATCATTTTTGACGTTTTTGTTCTTACCTGAATAAGTTATATTCATATATATTTAAGACAAAAATCACTGATTGAAAATAGTAAATGCAAGTTACATTCAAATATTGCAATTTTTCGAATGAATAAATGTTCAAAATATGAAAGCAAATCATTCCTTGTTTATCAAATGTAATGCCATTGTCATTGTGACATTTTTTTAAAGTTTTTAGTTACTCTGAACGCGTTTGTAGTTGAAGCTTACAAAAGATGCCCTCTCATAAAGTATTTGCGCCGTATGTAGTTTTGAGACAGTGCTTTCGTTCCTTTAGAGTTTGTACTCAGAAGCGTAAAGATGAAAGTGGTAAAGAATTTATAACATAGTTATTAGTATTTCTTATATATTAACAGAGATTCTCTTATATGAAGTGGCATTTTCTATTGTAAGATTGGTCTGGTAATGCAGTTAATAATGACGTAATAAATGCTTTGTTGTGAAAATTCTAGTTGCATCAACATAGTTTTTTAATCAATTGGATTGTTGAAAAATAAAGTAAAAAGAACATGCCACTACTTTAATTATGTTCTTTCGTTGTTTGTGTATGCTTGTCATTGTTGATGTTTAACTGAAGTTGCCACAGCTCCACCCCCAGCAGCTCCAAAACCGGCGGCGGCGGCGCCCGCCCCGCCTCCTAAACCGGCATCCCCGATGACTTCAATTCCGGTTGCTGCTATTCGACATGCTCAGTCTTTGGAGGCGACGGCGACCGTTAAATTACCGCCCTCTGATCCCACCAAAGAAATCACCGGCACGAGAACCGAACAAAGAGTGAAAATGAACAGAATGAGGCTGAAAATCGCGCAGAGGCTGAAAGAGGCTCAAAACGTTAACGCCATGCTGACAACGTTTAATGAAATTGATATGACGTAAGTCTAGATGTTTTCCAAATCAACAACAAAAGCTTTATTGGTGTTTACAAATATAGAGTAATTTTATTACAAGTCACAATTTTTAATTAAGTTAAAGTTATCCTAACATATATCCACATATATATTTTACAGTATACAAAGGTTTTTAATTAAGAATATTTTTATTTTTTATTTGAAAGTCTTTGATTCTATGTGTTTAATATTTTTCTGACAAAATCTTGTTAGAACTCCAGCTTATGAAAGTGTTCTTTTACTGAATCTTTATAGGTTATCCCCACTATTATTCTTACAAGTCTTTTCTGTAATGTAAAGATTCTATTTGCATATGGACCCATTGCTATATCCAAAGCTTCAGGATTCATTCTGTTTAGTTCATATCATATCCAAAATAAAGTCTTTCAGTAAAATCTATCCAAAAAAAGAATTATCAACAAATATTCTACAGGAGTAATCCTTCAGCAAGGCGCCCGCGATATTTCGAGCACCCTGTATTCGAACTTTATGGAAATTAGTATAGTTAGGTTTTATGTAGTCCTGAATAAGAATTCGTTGACACTTTATTCATAAAGAAGCCCCTAATAGCACCTCAGACTTTAAGTTGAAGCAATAAGCAAAACAAGGTTTTAGTGCATTTTTCAGAGACCTATCCAACAAATTTTTTTTATCAAAATCGAATCATAAACAAAGACTTTAAAAGGGTGTACAGTTCTTAAGTGGGACACACTGTATATTGGATGATGTTTCCAATCTTTACAAATTCTTTATTGTCGCATTTTTTTTCGTCATTCTTCTAGAAATATAATTGAGTTCAGAAAGCAACACCAGGAAGCGTTTCAGAAAAAGTATGGAATAAAGTTGGGTTTTATGTCTGCATTCTTGAAAGCTTCAGCGTACGCGCTGCAGGACCAACCAGTCGTTAATGCAGTTATAGATGGCAACGAGATTGTGTATAGAGATTATGTTGATATTTCGGTCGCCGTCGCGACACCCAAAGGTCTAGTCGTGCCTGTCGTTAGAAACGTGGAAAATATGAATTTTGCAGATATCGAATTAGCTTTAGCCGCATTAGGTGAAAAAGCAAGAAAAGGTAACTAGAATTGACCCCTACACGTTAATTTGGGATTGTTTTTGTTTCATTTATCGTTGCAATAAGAACTCTAAAAAGTGTTTGTGATTCAGGTCAAATAGCTATCGAAGATATGGATGGTGGTACTTTCACAGTGAGCAATGGTGGAGTATTTGGTTCCCTTATGGGTACGCCCATAATCAACCCTCCTCAATCAGCTATTTTGGGTATGCATGCAACTTTTGAAAGACCCGTTGCATTAAAGGGACAGGTAATGATGCGTGTTTTTTAAAAATAATTTGTCATTTGATGTATTTTAAAACCGCAATATTTTGATTTTCGAAAAATGTTTTGGGCGTACCATTCTATTTTTGATTTTTGGCTCAAAAAGCATTGAGGCTTTTTTTGTTCTACTACCAAAACGAACTAAATTTGACCCGAATCTTATTGGACTGAATCGGGTAATGCAAAGTAAAGCTGTAATCCAATTCTTGTGTTATATGTGAAATAAAACAAAAAATGCCATGAACAACAAAGTTCTTCATAGATGTATCGAAAAGATAAAATAATATTGGTATAGATTTTACGGAGAGTGCAGTGGTGAAGAGAATGTTTGTTTCATTTGACTGTTTTTGGGTTATAAATCAAATTTATGTTTTTATATTTATATATTTATAGGCTGTAAAATATGTCTTTTACCTTTTCAAAAATATTTAATAGTATGTACTTTTTCTCAGAAACTTATTAGTAAGTCATGAATAACAATAATATACTATGGTTGCACATTACAAGGAAGAATTTGGATAACATACATATAGGTAGACTTCTGAAAAACATTTTAGACAATGCTGAGAATCAATTTTACAGAAAAACTACAGGCGCTTTTAATTTTTTATTGCTATCTATTTTGCCTCCAATAACATGTTTGATCATTTTCACACACGCAACAGATTCGCTTATTTCGGGAGAAAATATTTTTTAAAGAGATTTCTGAAAAATATTTTAATCAATGCTGAGAATCAATTTTACACAAAAATTACAGGCGCTTTAAATTTTTTATTCCTATGTATTTTTCCTCCAATAACATTTTTGATCAGTTTCACACATGTAATATAATTCACTTATTTCGGAAATAAATATCTTTTTATAGATTTATGAAAAATATTTTAAACAAGCTGGGAAACAGTTTTACAGAAAGACTACAGTCGCTTTTAATTTTTTATCCCTATCTATTTTGCCTCCAATAACAAATATTTGTTTAACAGATTTCTGAAAAATATTTTACTGATATGTATAATGTTATAGGTTGTGATAAGACCAATGATGTACATTGCTCTAACGTATGATCATAGGCTGATTGATGGACGCGAGGCTGTGTTATTCTTAAGAAAAATCAAACAGGGAGTTGAAGATCCACGCACCATGATCGCCGGGCTATAAATGCATGTAAACTTAGGACAAATATAATTTGGTAACACCTTAGTATTTGAAAACAGCGACACAGTTTTGAATGTTTTTCAATCTTATGTTAAAATTTTCCCGTATTTACGTCCAAATTTTTCGAATTTATTTATGTGTTTTTCTTTGTTGAAAAGACTTTTTAAACTCATAATTTGCATCATGTTTTTATTTATTTGTTAAATAAAAAGTTTTACTGATTTTTGCTTATTAATTATTTCTTACGCCGACCTTTTTGGCAGCTGAGCAACTGACCACACAATTTACGAAATTCGCAAGGACCACGATCCCAAGGTATTAGTATAGTATTAAAGAAGGTAATATAATAGTCATTTGAAGTATTGAAGAAACTCCAAAACTCTACAGACTTGACTTCTAGAAATTTTGCCATTAAGAAAACAAAAAACACTCCCAGTTAACATTAAACATTTATAAAAGGCTGAAGGGATATCAAAAAAATGTTGTGCATTGTAAGTTGTCCAAAAGTCTTGTAAAATGAAGTTCTTGAAAACAGCAGTTCCGAAAATAAGCCAATTTCCTATAAAATCAGAAAGGCTTTGTTTTGATAGTTTTTATATGAAGTTTAAAGATAAAAGTTTTTGTATGCAGTGCATCGTGAATTATCTGACTAAAATGACGTTTATCCCCAAAACCTGTATAATATATATATTAATTGCATATCTTAGTTTTATTGCCATGGAAAATCTACTTTGAAAAATACCAACACGGTAAATTTTTAGACCAACTATATCTACCGGTACCTACGAAATGTCTTTTTTTTTTCATTGAGATTTTTGGACAATTGTTGTGTCCTCAATTTTTATAATGTGTGCTGTAACTGAATTTTTCAGATTCTGAATTGTGTTTAAAATTACATACTTTATTAAATTTATAAAAATGTGACCTACAGTGCCCTTTGGTTCTATTTTTACTGTTACTACTTGTTTTCACAAGTGTTCTCTGCAGTTAAAGATACAGTGATACGGAGCAAGCTAAATTAGCCAAATTATCACATGTGTATTATTTTGTAATGGCATATATGAATTTAGTGATTCCAAAAATTGCGCTCTTTTGTAGCTGAATTCAAAATAAATATCATTTGGAGCTTGGAGTTTTCTGTAGGTAGCAGGCCGTCAAATATATGAATAAATTATGTTTTTTTACTCCCGTCTGTAAAATACCTAATTACACACCGATCTAGCGTGCGGGAAGCGTCACTTTACCACGTCAGTGTCGTTTCCCACGAATCCGAGTCACTTCGGACATTTACCGCACTTGCTGCATAATATACCATTTCTACTGCCGTCTGTAATAGTATATTATGCAACCGGTGCTGTAAATGTCATTTGACTCACGAGTTTATTTGACACGAGCGGAGCGCAGCGGATGTGATGCGAGTGATTTAAAAGTTTACCGAACGTGTTGCATACTATACTTTTTCTACAACCTTCAGTTTTTGGGTACATTTCCGCAAAACAACACGAATGCATTCACTTACATGACTGTCAGATTTGACAAACGTCAAAATTCAATGCGTGAAAAATATTTCCGAAATCATCCGATTGCTCCCAAACCCGTGCCGTAAAATCCTGGAAATATATGAAGTGGCTGAGATCCGTGGGAAACGAAACTGACATGGTAAAGTGATGCTTCCCGCACGCTAGATCGGTGTTTAATTAGTAATTTTACATACGGCAGTAGAAAATAGTATATTATATGCAACAAGTGCGGTAAACGGCATTTGACTAACGAGTTTATTTGACACGAGCGGAGCGAGTGTTTAATAAACAAGCGACTTAAAAAGTTTACCGAACGTGTTGCATACTACAGTTTTTCTACGAGCGTTAGTTTTTGGGTCCATTTTCGCAAAACAACACGAATACATTCACTGACATGCCCGTCAGAATTGACAAACGTCAAAATTCAAAGCGTGGGAAATGTCTTCAAAAACCCGGAAATGTCCGAAGTGGCTCGGGTTCGCGGGAAACGAAACTGACGTTTTAAAGTGACCGTTCCCGCACGCTAAATCGATGTGTAATTAGGTACTTTACAGACGGGAGTAGAAAAAATACCTTATACCCCAATCTAGGTGGCTGTCAGTGTCATTTTACCACGTTAGTTTCGTTTCGCGCGAATCCGAGCCACTTCTGACATTTTCGGGATATTACCGTACGGTTTGGGAGCAATCGGATTCTTTCGGAAATTTTACTGTACGGCTTGAAATTTAATTTGTCAAATCTGACGGTCATGTCAGTGAATGTATTCTTGTTGCTTTGCAAAAATGTAACCAAAAACGTAGAAAAACGATAGTATGCAACACGTTTCGTAATTTTTTAAAGTCATTCGTGACTCTAATGCCGTTTACCGTACTTGTTGCATAATGTACTATATTGATTTGTTTACCAAATAACAATAGGTAATAAAATCGTTTGCAAATTTGATAAACAACATCGACACAAATTAGATTGGGAACGAGCGAAGCGAACGACAGTCAGAATTGAAAAACATCAAAATAACATCCGTAGTTAAATTTTAGCGAAAACATCCGATCGCCTGCCTCTGTGAAGTGGTTACAATTGGGTATTTTAGAGTAAGGAGTGGAACAGTATATTATGCAACAAGTGGCGGTAAATGGCATTTTAGCCACGAGTTGATTTGGTGCTAGCGGAGCGAGTGTTTGATAAATGAGTGACTCAAAAAGTTTACCGAACGTGTTGCATACTATACTTTTTCTACGACCGTTGGTTTTTGAGTACATTTTTGCAAAATAACAGGAATAGATCCATTGACATGACCGTCAGAATTGACAAACGTACAAATGATATGCGTGGGAAATATCTCCGAAAACATTCGATTGCGCCCAAGTGACTTGGATCCGTGGGACAAGAAACTCACGCTTCCCGCACTTTTAAAATGTATTAATTTTAGTAATTTTGTTTTTGGTTTGTTCTCCTTTCAAGGAAATCGAATACTTAGTTTTGGTTAGTTTGCAAAATTTGTAAGATTTATAAAAAATGTTTTAGACAAAATGTATTGATTTTTAACTATTCCTTGATTTATATTTATTTAACTATATGCTTCCATTAAAAAAAATTAACATGTAGGCAAAAGTGTATTTATAGTGTTTTGTAGATATTAATAATGCGAACACTGAGAAGCTGTGAAATAACAGCTAGGAAGCCGGAATTTTTCAAGATGCTCTTTTCTATCACACAACGTTGTTAAAATCACAGCGTCGCAATTATGTTTTTTTTAAGAATAGCAAATGTCCAAAGTTCAAGACGAGAGTTCTTAATGCTGATATTTAAATAATTTAATTTCGACTAAGTGATTTGAGAGATTAATAATTCGCGCAGCTGCCTTATCGGGCTCCGAAAACACAATATTTCTCTTCATTACTGTAAACGAACCCATGATTTATTGCAAGCGTCCAAAGTTCCACTGTAACAATAATTAATATTAATAAAACTATCACTAATTGTTCTCCACACGGAGCAGTGTAGGGAATAGACAAGGCATTTTTTGTTTACATGTGGGATGTGAATTTTTAAAACTTGCTTATTCAGAATCATTGCAAAAAAATTGATTAATCTGAGTGAATTCTAAAATTAAACCTTTGCTAAACTATTGTCATTCATATTAAATATTAAATTTTAATTCCAAATATGCTCATTGTAATGTCAGATAAGCGTAAGCGCAGTAGTATTTGTTTTTTCACAAAATTAAAAATATTACATGCTTAATAATTTATTAACGGACAACTCAACTAAAATTTGGCTAAAAATCACGATCCTGACTTCGACGATACCTGTATGACAAAGCAAAATTAACGTCATTGCAAATGGCTGCAATAAATTGGATAACATCTGAATGTTCCATAAGTCTGATTCATTTTAAGCGCAATAAGCAGTAAGTTTAAAAATGAGGATCTGTGAATTTTTGAGGAAAAAACCTATTTTAATAATATTATGCAAAGACAGACATATTATTTTACTCACTTTTTAAATTTTCCAGAATTATGAAGGAATAAAATTAAAAATTAGTTAAATAATTATTTAAAATAATTAGTTAAAAGCAATTCAAATGTATTCCCTATACAATTAATGTAATTAGTTATTAATATTAATTGCTCTATATTTGTACCAACTTCTATATTACCAATCTGGTCTCTAGAAAATATTATATTTCTGTAGGTAACACCTCTAGGTTTTAATTTTTACTTTCGTAGCCTCCAGAAAACTTAAAATTAATAGACTAGAGCACCCATAGCTCTATTAAATACCTTGCAGTTAATTGCGATAGCTTAAGATTACTAAGGGATAGTTAAATAGCTAAATAACTATCTATAGAAGTGCTACTTGAATGAGATACTAAAATTTTAGATTACTAATTTTTTAAAAAAAATCGAAAATTGGTTATTTCTGAATCGATTTAGACCAATCTCAGTTACTTTCATATACTGTTGCATGTACATGTTTGTCGCCATAATTTAGCAGTTGTTGACGGGAAAAATTCTTAAAGTATATTTAAATCTCAAACCTCTAGAATATATCCACAGAACTTTTATAATGTGTCCTTTTGCTATCCCCGTAAGCGGAATTTTGTGGCATACTTGCCATACGTGGTAGGAATGTGTACACATCCTGCATACATCTTATTTAGGCAACCAAAACTAACCAAAACTTACAAAACTTATTTATATGTTATTTATATATTTGTTATATTTAAGCATCCTGAAATTAGGCCCGTGATGAATGAATCCGCGATTTTAGTAATATAGCCACGCAGTTTTATTATTGTAGTTAAGTTACGTTACAATAAATAGTAACAATCCTGCCAGTGTCGAATTCCACTTACCTAATATGAAATGTATTTGGGCAATTTAAAAAATCCCTTCAACAGACTCGTATTAAAAAAATGTTTCCTATACAATTAATATAATTATATGATAAATGTAACTAATTACTTTATCTGTACCATTCCCATGTTATCCAACTGTAAATCATCATATAAATTGCACTTTTGTAGGTAACATATCTAGTTTTAATTCCCAGTTTTGCAGTTTCACAAATAAAATAAAAATCAATGGATCAGTTACAATAAATTTACTATATATAGTAAAACTCCTGTGAGTGTCAAGTTCTTTACTGAATATAAAATGTATTTTCTCTCTGTAAATATTCGCATGTATAGCGCACCTTCCGAATGTCATCGTTACATATCTTTCCGTCTATGTTCCGTCGAATCTTATCTTAGCACCCCTTAAAGTGTATAAACACTCTTAGTTGACGGAAACCGCAGAGCGAAGGAAGTGGCATATCTAGACAAAGAGACTGGTTGCTCCTTTCATTATGATATCCTTGCAGATTGCCATTGCCGTAGGTGACAAAACGTTAATGAAACACAGGGTTATTTGGTTTTCCAACCTGGCAGGTCATTTTCAAAGCTCACTGTCAATTTACGAAATAGAGAATTTGAATTATACTATATATATTTTTTAATAAAAATTAGATTGTATTTGGTTTGTAGATTTTAGCAGCCGAAATCTTTTGAGCGTGGAAAACTGTGGGGTTTCGTAACGACAGGACAGGATATGCCGTGTTTAGAAAAGCAAGAAGCTGAATCCTCTCATTTCTAAAGCTTTTCTGCTTTTCTAGGGGTGGAAGGGTAATGAACTGGCAAGTCTGATGCCTCCCTGTCTACCATAGAATAGGGAGGCATCAACATCAGGAATAATTACTAAAACTGGATAAAGGACACTTGTTATTACACAACAAGCAAAAGAAGAAGAAGAAGATTAGAAATGGCTTGACCCATAAAAGTTCACTCAAACAAAAGTTTTTTTAAAAACATTATAAGGTCGAACCAAAAACAATAATTTAATTTTTTTTAGTTTTTAAACTCCCCGTTTTAGCGTTCCCACCTTTGTCACTTCCAAGAAGAACCACAACATAACAATTTTTGTGGTGAGTATATAGACGGTTCTTATCTGCATCCTATATAAATGCACTTACATAAATTATTGAGATGCTGTTGATTTTAGTCATAATCATTAAATACTTTTATAACTTAGATTATTGTACCAACTAACCAAAACTAAGTAAAAATTTATATATATTTATATATATATATATATATATATATATATATATATATATATATATATATATATATATATATATATATATATATATATATATATATATATATATATATATATATATATATATATATATATATATATATATATATATACGATTCTAGCAGTTTACTTTATTATGTTGCTGTTTAAGGCTGAACCAATTTTGCAAATTGGGTCTTGCTTATTATTAATTCAGTTAATTATATTAATATATTACATGTAGGTTAGTGGTTACCAGACGTTTATTTCTCATCGACCACTTTCAAAATTTAGCTGGTTTCGGTGAACTCCCTGCCGCTACATTTCTATCATATTCTACATCCCCGTCAAGTCTCCCGTAGAGGATTGGGGTTTCACCTGGACCACTTTGGGAATCAGCAAAGGTCAAAGTTAGGTAAACACTATACAAATGAGGCAGAAAACATTAAAAATTTATATAATAAAAATATATGACAGAGCACAACAATGCAGTGATAGCAAACATTAATAAGTAAAATATTCCTTTAAATTATAAATCAGTTCTGTAGGAGGAGAAAAAAAATTAGTTTGGATATAAAAATGTTTATATTACTACTGTTTTTTAGTTCTGGGGAAAATTTACTGTAGACTTTAATACCGATGTACATAAAATATTTTTTTGAAAATTCTAGTCAACTTTTTTTATAGAGAAACAGCCTTTGTTATGTGTATTATAGTCGTGAAAATCTCCGTTTTTTTAAGTTATTTTTGTTTATATACACCCATAAACAAACTTCTAATATGAATATACAAGCTAAAAGCAGTATTTTAAAGTCACTGAAGAGGGCCTGCACGAACCACGAACTATACGGCGACACTCCAGTGATACGTCCTGGAACTTTCTTTTGGGATTTGAAAACAGATATCGCATAACTTAAATTTCCCCTAAAGGAAATACCTTAGAGTAATCGGATATGAGCATAGTAGAAATTTATCATGCATTTCACACTCACACCAGTTTTTAAATTTTTTATTAGGAAAAAATAAGCAGCTTTGAAGAAAGTAATTGGCATTCAGTTTCCCAAGATAGGGTTTCGTCGAGTTCTAGTCCCAAAAATTTAGCACGCTTTTTGCAAGGGCCTCCCCGGCCGAGTGGAGATTCACAGAAAGGTTTTCTTTGTTTTGTGAGCATTTGAATATCGGTACACTTGTTTCTTGGACATTCAAAAAAAGTTAGTTGGTGCTATACCAGCTATTTAGCAGTACAAGGCTGAATTAATTCTGTCTTAAAGAGTTTGATAACAGTGTGAAGAGATTAAACTTGAACAGTGGTCAGCAAACTGATAAACCCAAACCAAGCCGGTGAGCAGAAATTTTATTGATAAAAAGGATAAATAAAACAGGGCCAAGCACGGTACGCCTTTATGGACCGAGTGGACTTGAGATTTTTTAATTTGAGACAAATTGCCCTTTTCCTGCCTTATTTCAACATACTGCCTACGATTTGTTAAAAACAATCTAAACCATTCCAGATATACCAGTGGACCTTACTTAATTATTAGATTATTTCCAACAGCCTATGAGAAATACTGGAAAGGTAATGTCCAGTAGTCCAATTGGTTGTACGACTACAAAAATTTTATCCCAGTATTTGGTACTCGCGTGTGATGGATGGGTCATCACTGGAGTAGCAGGCGATATTTGAAATGCACAAATTTTTTTCTATTAGGTAATATTTAATCTTTAATTTTGCTTTCGATGATAAAAGTGAAGGACTGCCGATGCATACCATTAACAAAACGCATTTTATACACACCTGATTTTTTTCTATTGTAGTCATGAAAAATTGTAGGTATATAATGTAGCAAAAATATAGAATAACCCAACCTAACCTAAAATATCTTGAACTAAATTCAGAATAATTAATATTTGACAGGTTCTCTCTGATGAAAGTAGCATTTTTCAACAACATTCTTTTGATGTTTGTGTTGTATTTGCCTTCTTATCCGCATCTGAAATTATTTTAGTTTTGAGAAAGATAGGTTTTATATATCGGTACTTTCTAAAAAAACTACGAGGCTGGCAGATTTAAAAAATCCCTACATCGGCCTTTTAAGTAAAGGCTTGATTTGACGCTGATAGTACTTTCATGAAAGTGATCTTAGATGCTAATCTCCAAGACGAAGTAGGTATATATTTATGTATTTCATTTCATTAAATACTAACCTCATTAAACTCGCATCGGTACGATCTCTTTCATGAGAGTAGGTACTATCGCGTGCAAAAAAAAAACTAGAACAAATATGACTTTTCAGTTTGACAGTTTGATAGACCTATTTTCATGCCAACCAACAATTGTCAACCTAAAAATGTTCCTAGTTTTTTTTGCTCGTGATGGTACCTACTATTACCATGAAAACAAGCATTTAAAAAAATAGGGAAAACGTTTTCATGAATTAACCCAAAAACCATTTTAATGTGAAAATTGTACTTTACGTCGCCTGATCTTGCTATCTTATTGACTTAGCAAAATAATAAAAAACAAGGCATGATGTTGGTAGATTACATGACAATGGTTCGTTCAGCTTAGAATTTATCAAATCTTATGTTGTATATTACCATACAGCTTCACTTACATGAATTATTAATTATTCAGTAATAATAATAGCACAAAAAAATAACTGAAAAAATAAAAACAAGGTTAAAAAGATGGCAGACGACGAGACTGAGGAGAAGCAGAGCGAGTCCGGCACGGCACGACCGCGAGTAGTTGCGTCATTGGTTGCAGCCGAACGGTGTTGTCAAGTGGGATCTTATAAACAAATATATTATTGTACGTTTTTGTATTTTTATTAAAATAACGTTCCTTGTCTCGTTCGGGCCCAAAAATAATAAAAAACAAGTTGATTTTCACGGTTTGATTCCGTTTTTTAGGGTTTACCAAAACTGACGTCGATGTAGGTGTACACAAAAACTTTGCCAATAAAATGTACCACAAATCTTAAAGTATTTTCGTTCTCAGTTGTTCAAAATTTAACTTTTCAGGTTTCTTTTCTAATGTTCCGATTATGGCGGAAGGTGATATCCTCAGGCCATCTGTTTAGAGGATATCTGTGGTATATCGTGTACAGTAAATCGGCAAGCTATCCATCATCCCTGGGATGTAGTTTACAGTATATTCTAAGTATATATGCTAACGTATATGCTAAGAATATCTTCGACATGTCCCGGGACATGAAAACTAAAACAAATCTACTTCTATAAATCGGCTATAGCTCAAAACGGGTGAGATAGCCAATCGTGGCAGATGACCAACACCTAGAAAAGAAAATTGGTTAGAAATTATTACGTCTTACGATTATAAAAAAATCTCGTAAGTTTTCTGAAATTGTACGAACTGTCGAAAATAGTGGCCGCCTTATTCTACTTTCCCTACAGTAAATTCGGCATGTCCCGTGACATGAAAACTAAAAGAAATCTACTTCTATAAATCGGCTATAGCTCAAAACTGGTGAGGTAGCCAATCGTGGCAGATGACCAACACCTAGAAAAGGAGATTGGTTAGAAATTATTACGTCTTACGATTATAAAAAAATCTCGTAAGTTTTCTAAAATTGCACGAACTGTCGAAAATAGTGGCCGTCTTATTCTACTTTCCCTATAGTAAATTCGATGCGTCATTTTTTAACGGAAAAAAGTATCGGTTATAATCTCGGGTGTTTCTCGCATAGTTAAATCCCTGAATAATAACATTGGCACGCCAATGAAGTGACGTCGTTCCTTTTGTGAATTGCTTCTTCGGATCCAACGCGGCGTCATTTAAGTGAAAGCTCCGTCTAATTCCGAACTGGGTAAGTTTTGCCAACTTTGGAAACGACTGCTATTCAGGTCTTCATGGGCATCTTCCTAACGAGAAAATTATGATGACATTTAATGTTCTGTGCAAAACTAAAATGCATTTATTACCTTCCTTCTTTTTTTAGACAGCATTGTTTGCTAGTTTCAGTTATTTATGTTCTATATGTTTTATATCGTTGAGATACAATATATAAGATTTATTATTATACAAAGATCCTAGTGTATTATGCAACTACGACCGTTAGCTTTTGAGTACATTGGGTACAATATGTCAATATTCAAGCCGTGCGGTAGAATCTCCGAAAACATCCGCTCTCAAACCCGGGCGGTAATATCCTGGAAATGTCCGAATCCGTGGGACAAGAAGCTCACGTGGTCATAACTAATAATAATTGGATATTTTACAGAAAGGAGTAGAGGAGTAGTTCAGAATCAGGATTGTGAGTTTTAGATAATGTGCATCAAAAACTTTAAATTTTTGCAACGTCAAATTTTTCCTAGACCAATTCTACTAATAAATAACAATATCGATATCTTGATTATTTTTAAAATTTTGGAAGATGTAACATTATTAACCATTTTGGACTGGTGGTAAACGCCCGCCTGGTAAATGACATTGACCATTTAATTAACACTAATAGGATGATCAAAATTTATGAACCAATTACATAATTTTCCAGGCTGCAAGACTTCGTCTGTCCTTTCTACATTGTTACGTTTTTGAATCGACTAAAATCGTTGGGCTTCGTCAAACGCGTAGATGTTAATGGAACTGAACATTTATTTCGTCCCAAAATAACAAAGTCATTAACTATTTAGGTACTATTTAGGCGTTCTCGGTTACACTTTCCTAACTGACTCCCCCCCATGGAGCGGTGCTCGCTTTTATAGATCGCAGTGACTTCTCGCGATGGGTGTCCAATATTAGAGCAGACCTTTCGACAAAGGCGGCTTTTGTGATCATCCTATATTGTCCTCGTGTTCCTAACTTTCGTGCAGCGCATACAGAGCAGGGCCTAACCCATTCGGCTTACTCTTCATAATATTAACGATGTAGAAAATTGAATAATTATATATATTCTTATTTTCAACGGTTTTTTTGTTATTTTACATATTTTTTTATAAAAATTTGAACCGGTTGTTGATTGATGGCCAGATTTCAGGCCCTTTTTCTCATTTTGCTGTTACGTTGACTGATGTAATGGTTCATAAATTAGTTAAGACATTTTTTGTATATATTAGCCATGGGATTGAAGTTTTTATTTATGTCGGAATTAGAAAAGGCTGCTGTTGCGTTGCAATCTACCGCTTGGCTATCAAATCCGGGACTACAATATTGGAAATGTCCGTAGCTGGCGTCTTACAATGACACTTTGTGCACGCTTGATAATTGCGTATTTTTGGGATATGAGAAGTAGAAAAAATTCCTTTGTATTTAAAAAGCGGCGTGGGATGGGTAAAGAGGCATGTTGTACGAATTCTATGATATATGCTAATATAATAACAACATGTGATATGCCAGGAGTTTACAGGATTTCATGCATATGCGGCAAAGTATACATTGGAGAGACCGGACGAAAAATATCAACTAGGCCCAAAGAAGAGCCTTAAGACTAAGACAAATAAACTAATCAGCAGTTGCACAATCACTAAACCGGACATAAAATTTTATTCGATAAAACTAAAATTCTTACATGTAATTCTATCAACGAAAAATCCGAGACTATATAGAAATCTATAAGCAACCTAACAATCTTAACCGCGACTCAGGTCTCTACCTGTCACCAATATAGGAATCAGTCATCCGAAACGGTGTTTACGCTCCTCATTTAGTTCCGCCGCCTCAAACAATATAAAAACAGGCACAGAGTAAAATACTAGCCAGTTTCAGTTAAGCTCTGAACAAGCCAACAGAATGATTGGCGAAACGTTAGCTAGTTCGAGTCAACAAAAACCGGGGCAGGAGGAATCCAGAAGTTTTATAAAAAGTATTACCGTAGCCTGTGAAAGTTTCTTGGCAAAATTAACAATTATATTATTTAATTTTAGTTTTAATTTAAACACTGTAATTTATACAATAAAATGAATTTTTTGATTGACTAACTTCTCTTTTCATATATGCAGTTAGTGATTGTTTCTATCGTTTACGTTTTTATTGTGTTCTGTTCCCAATTTCCACTGCAATGTGAGCAGCTGTAGAGCTAGATCCCGCTTAAATCTCCTTTATTTCACAAAAATCTGTTTGGTTTGATATAATAGAGTAAAAACGACTTATTCTTTGTCATATAGGTGAAGCCCGAACAAAGCGAATAATCCCAGTTTCTTCAAGACAACGGTAAATCAGTAAATCAGATCCGCCCAAGCGCGCCCAAGCGATAAATGAAACGGCACTTGGCGTTATTACTGGTTTTAAAAATTGCGTTGTTCTGTTAAAATATTTGTTTTAAGGTAAGTTAAACATATTTCTTGATATTAGAAAAGTATAAGGGCCTCTTTTTTATTGCTGCTGTTTGTACGTTTCAGAGTATGGTATTTCACACGCTACGCTCTATAGACATTAGAAAAGTAAGTTTAGCTAAAGTAAGTTGGGCAGGTTTCTGAGCGTTTTCATTAGTTCACAAGAGATTGAATAGAAGAAATGTAAATGTAATTGGTTTAACGCGATCCGACTTTTTAAAATTGGCGTATGATTTCGCGGAAGCTAATCAAATTAAGCATCCGTTTAGAAATGGAAAAGCTGGCGAAGACTGGCGAGCGAATTTTAGAATTCTGGAGAATCATAAGTTTTGAGTGACTTTTATTTACAACATGCACGAAACCGCCATAATGTCGAATTCAAATAAACCCCCCAACATGTTTACTATACCAGGAAAAAAGCAAGTCGGAATGTAGCAAGCTGTGAACTAGGACAATTAACGACAGTAATATCTTGCTGCAGTACTGAGGCGACATTTATTCCACCTTCTTTTATTTTTGCGCTAAAAAGAATGCAGGAAAGGTTGACGGATTGAGCTCCTCCAGGTTTTCAAGGATCCTGCATCAATAATGGTGGTGCAAACGGTCCAACATTCTTGCTTTGGCTTAAACATTTTGTGGAGATTGTTAGACCAACGGAAGAAAGAAAGTGTTTTCTGAGTCGCATAAGTTTTATCCAGCTTTGGAATTTGCCTCTCCCAATAACTTAATTTTATTGTCGTTTGCACCTCACACAACGAATAAAATGCAAACTCTGGTCACTGGTGGGTTCAGCAAAATCGGGATCAATCCTTACATTCCTAACGTCTTTGGAGAAGAAAATTTCGTACCAACTTTTTTAAAAGGTTCCAGTAAATAGAAATGAAAATGAATCCCTGACCTATAGTTCAGATGAAGATATCCCTTCAATCAATTTTGTTAAAAAAGATTCAGGTTTTTCGAATTCGTCTTTTCTATCTGATATTGCTGTCATTAAAATCTTCATGCATCTTCTAATCATCATCTTCTGTACTCTGAAAAGCACGTGTTACGTCATCACCCATTCCTGTTGCATTAACTAACAGAAATCTTAATATTTTTTTGCCTGTCACTATACTAAAATTACCAGTTAGAAGAAAAAAAAATCTACAAGAGGCAATTTAATTTTGAAGTTCGGACAGTTGTCTGGCCTTAACATATTCTTTCATTCGAAGACTATCAAAGAATAATATATTTTCTCTCTTAACATGTTCGCTTTGCCCCGGCTTCCCCTAACTAAATAGGTTAGTAAAGACTTTTGGAACGAAATATTAATTTTCCGAAGAAATAAAGGAGTACCGTTATCAAGCAATTAGTACAAAAAACAACGTAAATCCCGTTTCAGTCTGTCCTGCATATTAAACCCTACTCTTAGCTGACGGGATACGTGTTCTCACATTTTATGATTAAATATAAAATGTTTGCATGAGTTTCGAATTGTCTGTGGCCTGCCTCTGTAGTGAACTATTTTTGAAATTTCGCTCTTAAATCTAAGCTTAATATTAAAATTTTTTTTGAAGGTGTAGCCCACCCAGGTCCAAAAAACAACTGATGTATTTTTTACACCTCATTAACTATTGCTATAAAGTATCTAAGCCCCCATTTTTAAGGAAACTTTTTCTTAGTTGTAATAATCATCACATGCCCCACTGATGCTATTCACATCAAAGGTATGGATGAAAAATAGCAATGGTCCCAAAGTCGACCTTTTGACGCTTTTGATTAATCCTGACCGGCTGAGGCATTGTCGTCAGTGCTGCACATATGTTTTTTACCGATACACCATACACAGAATAATACGTTTCTGAATTCAAATAATAAATAATAAAACAAAACGTCTTCCTAATATTTCGTTAAACATTAAATGCATTGTTGAATGTGACAACATTGCAACCAATAAACGCATTTTTGGGGGGGTATTGGTATTGGTATTGGTATTAAAGGGGGGCGCCCTCGCGGGCGTCCAAGCACTTAGGCCACCAGATGGGCCCGTTGTGCCCCCAGGCCGCTCTAGAGGGCGTCCAGAATGCCGCCCCTCCTATAGAAGGTCAGCAACTCCTTTACCCCTCTAAAATGTCGTACGGACCCCGATTGAAGGTTCCCTCCCTCCAGAGCCCGCAGCTCGCCAGCCTCACAGCTGTCCTGGCCGCCTCCATCTGCACCCGATCCGCCAGAGAGGGCAGCCACACCAGAGCCTCCAGGGCCCTCGTGGGCGCCGTTCTCATGGCGCCCGTTATGCAGAGGCAAGCCAATCTCTGCAGTCTGTCAAGAACTAGCCTTGCTCCCGCTCTTTGGGTCCCCCGGGGGGTGGGGGGGTGGCGATTTAAAATTTGCCTATTGTACTACTTCTGCCTGCTTTTGTTAATTTTTTGTGAGGAAAGCAACTTTTTGAAAATGAAAAAGTGTTTTTGAATATTGCTACTATTCTTGTGCATTTGTGATTATTATTGCAGACTAGCGTACCCAGCAGACTTCGTACTACCTCAATCGATAAATAAAATACCTAAACTTTTGTATAAAATAATCTTAAAACAAACAAAACGACCTCGTTGCATTCTAAGCCTATCTACTTCATTGTCAGTGAGTGATTATAATTTAATATGAACTTTTACTACATTTTATTTAGAAAAAAACGTTTATATGGGAAAAAGAAAAGGTCTGTTTTTAGGGTTTTCCCGGCAATTATTATAATTTTTCGCATCTTTTAAACCTTCCCTAGACCTCCACGAACATTTCAAGACGAGGATAAGATAAATACGTTCTGACGTTCTCGAGTTTTAGCGAGACTGACGAACAGCAATTGATTTTTGTTTATATAGAGAGATTTCTAACAAACGCCCATGTGGTTGGCATCATCTTCAAAAGTGAGCAATATTTGTTTAATTTAATTGTTTATAATGTGATTATGAAATTTTTAATATTGTTAGTGATTTATTGCTCCTCTCGGGAATTATTTTCTCCCTCCTACGTGGTCATCATAGCAACCATTTATATTTAAATAACACTCCGCACCCCACACGCCCTTTGCCCAAATGCCCACAGTAGCATCAGTACAATAGTAATTTTATGAATGAATTATGCGGTTTCTTTTACTTAGACCTCTGTGTCAACATTAATGAAATGGTTAAGAACTCCAAGTAATCGGCACAGGTCATCGTCGATAACTTTCTCGGAATGTTCTTATTGGCGGTCCTGGTAAACGTCGTGGGTCCTCGTCGAATCCCCTGCAACGTTGCAAACTTGTAAGCCCACGTAACGAAAAAGCTCATAAGACGAGACCCTAAAGTTGGTCGTAAGAAGGCGCCTCCGGGAGCTTTGTTTGCTTTATGTTCAAATTAGTAACTAAACGAGAAGCTTACGTGAGCTTTGTAGTTTGGGCAAGTTGCAAGTCAGAACGGCTATAAAGTATAGGGCGAGTTTCGGTCAGCCGCGCTTTATTATGCTCTAGGTATAAACACTTGTCGAACTAATTTAACTTATTATCTATAGTCCTACACGACTGTATAGTTCAAGAGGTTTATAGTTGAACGAAGTAAAAATTTCAATGCTTGATGTCGAGACACGGAAAATTTTGATGGGCGAAGCCCCGGACGTGCTTCAACGTTGCTAAGTGAGAGTTTGTCAAGTCGCTGAGAGTTATGGACAAACCTATTTCCTACCATTTTTTTTTGACACAGGTCGTCAATTTATTAAACTTGATTGTACATTTTTAATCTGTTCAGGACGAGTTACAAAGAAAAGTATGCTAACACACAAACAGAAACTTGTACACAGTGAAAACTTCCATTACCGGACACTCACGCTTCCTATAGTTTCGTCCGCTTATTAGAGGTGCATGAAAAAAAATCAACATAAGTCGTAAATATGTATTACTTTTATTTCTTTAAAAACATGTAGGTCAATGAACTTTAATTATTTATTTACAAACTCCAAGATACTAGTCTGACGCATATTTATTGTTTTTTGATTTAACAAACTTGACTGAAAATGATCAAAATTTTTAAGATGTTAAGCAAAAACTTTTAGATCGGTAATTATTTTTAAGGCGTCATTATAGCTGTTAACTGTGCTAGGTTCCCTACTATGAGAAAGAATTATTGAGTTATGTTCATTTCTCTAACACATGGTTCCAGTTCCAAGTATCGTAGATAGTGGGATATTCTCTTCTGGATCCCATTCCATTGATGTAGAGAAATCATTATTTTTTGAAAACCAGCTTTGTTTGAAACAATTTTCTATGGATTTTTTTTTATGGTTTCTGACGAAACTTTATTCTATTCCGGGCTGACTTAATAAAATAAAATATTTACAGACTTAGCTAAATCTGACGCGGATATTACTTGATCCATCTTTGATAAAATGTGCTTCAATATGAATCCACGATAATAGAATTTAACATCCTGTATGATACCCGGATCCAGAGGTTGACATACTGATGTCGTATTTGGTGTCGTAATTTTACCTCATGGGGGTGCGATGCTGCGTTATCCAAGAGTAATAAAAATTTTCGCTTTTGTAGGGCCAATTTTCTATCAAATTGTAACAACCATTCATTCATAATGTCTCGCGTCATCCATGCTTTCTTGTAAAATTTCCATATTGTCGCTAAATTTTTAATTGCTACATTTTTAAATGCCCTAGGTCGGACAGCCTTTCCAATCCCGAGCAAATCTTTTTGTTCTGTCATATTGGCACAAAATAAAATTGTAAGCCTCTCCTTGGAAAGCTTTCTACCACTACATTTTTCGGATTTCAAAGCAAGTGTTTTGTTAGGTAAGACTCGAAAGAAAAGGCCAGTCTCATCGGCATTGTAAACATCGTGTGGCTGATATCCGAGGAGTAGTGTGGACAACTTATCTTTAACCTGATTTACATCTTCTTGAATCACGTCTGCTGATTCTCCGGAGATACACTTAAAACTTGTCGCATGTCTCTTGCGCCACTTTTCCAGCCATCCATTGGAAGCTTTAACATTTCGAACATTAAGTTTTTCGGCTATTTCTTGAGCCTTGGCCTTTACTAAGTGCCCCGATATTGGAATGTTTTGACCTCGCAAACGAGAAAACCAATCAAAACACACTTTGTCAATTTGAAGTCTCTCAGTTTTTACAAAATTTCCTTTTTGATCAATATTGCTTCCCGACTCCCATTGTACACGAATGCTGTCCTTATTTTTCACAATTTCCGGCGTTTGAGTTTTCCCAATTTTAAATTTTTCTGAAAAATTTTCCTTTCGAAACGTTAACAATTTCCATTTTTTCTCGCAAAGTAAGAAGTTTTTTAGTAGGTGCCATTTTAAAAATTGTGGAATCCACTTACGGCATTTGCTTGCAAAATAAAAGTGCAAGTCACGGAATAATGAATAATATATGACATGAAAAATGAAAAAAAAAATTTAAATCAGGAGAATGTTGTCCGCGTCTGTTTAATGGAGTCGGTTAAAGGAGTTCGTTTTACAGGTAAAAGGGTAGGCAAATATTTCGTTCCAAAAAATATGTCCGTTTAAAGAGTGTCCGTCTAATAGAGGTGATCGTATTGAGAGGTTTCATTGTATAACTACAACATATGTCACTAATATCTATACAATAAGTTGAAAAAAGGGGTAAAACAGGTTATTCCATTCGAGAAAAAACTGATTGGGGAAATCTATATCAGTCTCTTTAAGGGACCTATTACAAAAATTGATACAAATTTTTAAATAATCTCAATTTATTATTAATATTTATCGGTATTGTATCGGTATCAATTTATTATTAATATTTATCGGTATTGTGTTATCTTCTCAAGTGCCAGACCCCCTACGTTATTATTAAGTCATTTTCGCCACATATGCCCTGTTTTTCCAAATCGCTCATTTTTTGTAATAAATCGAGCTGGGCATAGAGCGTTAAGTTTTTACACAGAGCTGGTACTAATAGTTCAACATTGCGGCAGTAAAATTTGATACTGTTTTTTGATCCTCATTTTGTTATTTTTTTATTGGCTATGATAACGGACTGTCCTCTGAATAAATTAATAAGCGAGTGACGGAATTCATAGTGCTTATTTTTTTTCAAATATTTTTTTTACATAAATGTGATTGTAACAATTCCTCTTCTCTTATTTGCTTGTCTTTAGTTTATTTATTATAAATTTACCATATTAAAAAACTCTAACAAAGAACATAATTTCCTTCTCGTTTTTGACTGCTTTCATTATAAATAAAATTCAAATATAGGTAAAGAAAGATTAATAATATTTCCAAGAATAGCGGACATATGCAGTACGTCTCACCCAGAACTTTGTCAGTCTATTAATATATTATTATGAATGAATTTAATCATAAAAACTTCTTTTATACCCATTTTAATTCTAAATAATATCAAGATATATGGTTTTTGACGATTTTTTCTAAATTTGATTTTGATTATTTTTTCATCAATAATTAATTTAACTGGAATTATAAGGGGTTTCGTATAGGATAAATTTTCAGACATTCTTCGATATGCAAACATCATTTTTTAGAGAAAATATTAAATACTTCAAAAATATATAGTTTAGCTACGAAGATATAAATTCCAGAAAAATTAAAAAATACAATTACATATAGTCGACACCTATTTTGGATACTTAAAAATATCGAAATAACGTTTTGAAAACATATTCAAGGTATAAGAAAATATAAATTAATTTATTTAATGCTTTGTCGGCTATTTAAATATTCCCGAGATTTGTTGTTTGATGATGCCGTTAAATTCCAGTCTTTTAAATAATTTTTAAAAAATGGTTAGTTGAATATTCGCAATTAATTGGCCCATGTTCGTCCAATTATGAGAATAACTGACGTTCCGATACCCCTAAAGTTTCTTCAATCTGTTTTCCACTTTGTTACTGCCTACATAACGGAAATATTCCATTCATATTAATCATAGTCGGAGTGCCCCTCGCAGCTCGCCACGGCCTCCACTTATAACTATTGCAGATAGTTGAGAAACCGACTGAACATCTTATAATTAAAGGGTCGTATCGATCCGAGGGGGTAATTTTTATTTACAATGGCCAGACTTGGAAGCCCCTCGAAACAATCTTTCAAGTAACTGCTTCGGTCTGCTGCGACGTATACAGGGTTTCTCACGGCAACCTCTCGTTAACGGTATTCGTGATCAGAAAAAAAAATAGAATTCTGAATTTTTGCATTTCATATTCGCATTCATTTTAAACTATTTTTAAGGTTATAACACTTCCGGTTGTGGCGAAACTCATCATTGACTTTCTAATTCGTAATACCTAATTTCAGTAGTTTTTAAGATAGTATTGATTATTTTGAAAATGTTCATTGTTTTCAACATCCTACCATTTTTATGGCGATCGGGCGTTTGGTCAACGGAAATACAAGGACGCTGTTTTCGAAATTGATACTTAGAATTGATATATCGCTTGCAGAAATTACATAATACTTAATGTTTTGCAAATACGACAAACATATTTTCGATGGTTTTCTGGTTTTTATTGCAAGTTTAATCACAAAGATTACATGATTTGTCGCCTTTGGATTTTCACCTTTTAGCCGTAAAAAGTTTTGCGGGGTATTTCCCTTATTAATAAAGTCAGCGTATTGCGGCTTTCATGACCCGCTGCTACCTTTTCGCAACCTCAATTGTGGCACAAACAAAAATATCATAAGCATCTTCGATTTTTAGATATTATCTAATTTTGGAAATTTTGGATTTCTAGACACCCTTCGTAGTTCGATTCTGCGTTAACATCGAAAGTTACAATACAAATATATTACAATTACAATATAACTAAACTTTTTTTTTATTTTATTAAAATTAAAGATGTGAAATACCTCATAGCTCATAATAGTCTTAATAAAATTTTTAAAAGGCACAAGTTTAGTTTATGTATGAGTTTCAGGAGAAAACTGACTATACGACTGGAGTCTATACATAAAAACATAACATAACCGAACTAAAAAGGTGGTCTAAAATGCAATATTTTTAAAATAACCATAACGATGCACTTTAATGGTCTATTTCGCGAAAAGTACTAGATACAGAATTATTCAGTATTTGGTATTTATTTACTGTAAAATTTCGTTTTCATTCATTTTGTATTTTTTGTTATATTTATGGTCCCAGTTGTTCTCATTCTAAAGAATTTTTCTGTTTTGCTTTCGCGTATTAGTTAAAGTAATTTTTTTCCGTGTGTCATCTTTATTTTATTTTTACAACAAAATCATGTTTCAGTGGCCGCTAAAAATTACGTCAAAATGGGAAATGTGGTAAATGAAGGTAAGCATTTATTAATTCCTCTGAACGACAATGTATACAAAATAAATTATGGAATCGTCAACTTAGAAAAGTTAGTATCTAAAATTTAATACACAAAATATTACACGGCGACAGGTATATAAAATAATAATAAAATACTTCAAACATTAATTTATATTTTCAACTCTAAAAAATTATTCAACTGAAAAGTAGTTTTTATTTAGAAAAAAAGATTTTATACCTATATATATATATATATATATATATATATATATATATATATATATATATATATATATATATATATATATATATATATATATATATATATATATATATATATTCTCCCGTATTGATTCACGGATGGAAAAATGTGATGACACTATACTCCGGGATATCATCCGTTCGCTCGTTGAACTCCGACTGGAATCCTGCATCCGACTGGAATCCTGCAGACGTTTCGCCAAAATCTCACTTGGCATCTTCAATGCTCGCGCTCCGAAAACACTTCGAACACACACACACACACACACAAATATATATATATATATATATATATATATATATATATATATATATATATATATATATATATATATATATATATATATATATATATATATATATATATATATATATATATACATATATATATATATATATATATATATATATATATATATATATATATATATATATATATATATATATATATATATATATATATACACTGAGTGTTCGAAGTGTTTTCGGAGCGCGAGCATTGAAGATGCCAAGTGAGATTTTGGCGAAACGTCTGCAGGATTCCAGTTGGATGCAGGATTCCAGTCGGAGTTCAACGAGCGAACGGATGATATCCCGGAGTATAGTGTCATCATATATATATATATATATATATATATATATATATATATATATATATATATATATATATATATATATATATATATATATATATATATATATATATATATATATATATATATATATATATATATATATATATATAGCTGCCCAACGTTTAATCTGGAAAACGGTAGGTGGTACAAATTTTTATTCCTATTATATTCATGCCCTTCACATCTCTTAATGATATTTTTGATATGATTTTTTGTGAACATTGAGTAGCCCATGTGAAGTGAGATTTTGATCAATAAATAATTTCGAGAAATTTTGTTGCTCCAACGATTTTAAGTTTTTTTTCTATCAGAATAGAATGCTGGAATTGATTATTCCATTTTTCGCGGTAAACCAATTTGACATTATTTTTATGGCCGATTCTCTCTTTGTCTTAATGTCTTGGTTTGATGTTCTTGGTATCACTACATTGAAATCGCCAATTAAGTTTCGGTTAGTGTTAACTAATTCAGAGCTGCTGTGGTTTAAGCACGTATTTATTGTTTTCAAATTTGATTATTGTAATTCGTGTTTGCGTGCAAGTCTGTCAATTACTTAATAATAAATAAATTAATAAAAATAAAACAGAACTAAACTGCCGAATAATAAACAATTCTGTTACTAAATCCTAATCTCACTAAGTGGTTATTTATATTTAAAATACTAAACTCTTTTAAGGCACTTTTATTTAAGATATAGTCATAATAATCTGAGGGTCTAAAACGTTATGTCTGCGTACTGGCAAGTATCATGAATAAATTATCGTCTCTTCCTTATAGTCGCCAAAATCTTGTAGATTAGCGAGGGGTCCCGCAGAAACGTCTTCGGGGAACACTTCACGGCGTCCTTACAATCGTCCTGCGATAGCGTCCTAATTGCCTGTTTCGGAAGGGAAGCGACTCCATACAGGCCTGAAATAAACAGACACAGGATTAAACACATGAAATTTTCTTACGCAAACTTCAAATATTTAAAAGACAAACAATATTAAAGGCGTCGCTTTTAATAAAACTTAAAATATATATTTAACAAGTTACAGGTAATCATTATTGGACTTGTGTGTATTTAGTTTATCCAAAAGATCATTACAAATTTATCACATTAGTATAATTAACTAATAATGTGATCTAATAGCTCAATATTAT